TGACAGTCTGAATGTCTTTGTCGCTGTTTTACTGCTGTAAGGTTGATGAAGATGTTTGATGTTTATGAATGATTTCTGGTATTGTACTATTGTTTGATTCAGAGACTCAGCCATGCAGAGACTGGGGAGAGTATTCAGGGGTAAACTAAGGTGGTTTTCAGTCGATATAAATTTTTATATCCGTTCCATATATATTTAATAACAGTGTTTTTTGCATGTAAAAGAAAAACTTGGAAAGCATGCAAAAAAAAAAAAATTTGGAAAGAATGTAAAAACACCCAAAAGAGATCATCCAGCCTATGCCACAATCTAACCTGGTTATACAACCGGCTGCAATATACCAACATAGTTACAACTACGAAAGGTGCAAGGACAGTTGCATAGGAAGAACTTCCCCCCCATAACTCACATCTTAACGGCCGTCTAAGGGGGAGATGCACTACGGCCCCCAGACCATGATGTATGTGCACCTAACCGTTACGTCTCAGTGAGAAACAGAGTATGCATCGCCACAAGCCTAGCGTCATAGACGAATCAGCTACAGTGGCTAGCCCTGAGAGCGAAGATAAATTTAACGTATTTAAGCTTTTCCTGGTCTCGGGAGGCGGTCCCTAACAAGTATATGCATAGAAAACGACTAATAAGGCACACGCTTGGAAATGACAAGATTTAAACGCCTAAACGTTTTTTAAGTGTTTTTAACGAGAAATTTTAGTGTTTTGATATCCTTTTAAGGCTAGTTTCCACTCAGGAAAAATCTCTTTTGGATCGGAACGGACAGGAAAATTTCCTTTGCCGGTGAGTTCTCAGGCGGCGTTTATACAAAGGAAACTTTTCAGTGCTGTCCGATCCAAAGGAGAATTTTCCTGAGTGGAAACTAGCCTCTAGAAATTAGATAGTGTTTTGAAACAATCCTTGTTGGTTTTTAACGTCAAAAGAGTCATCATTCTCCAAAGGAAACTCATAATAAATGACTGAACGGATTAGTTTACTTAAATGTTTTGTTAACTTTGTGTTTAGTATATGAAGGTCTGAAAACTTAACACGAGTTCCCGTAATGGATCTGAGCGTGAAAGATCAACAAATCATCAAGACTGTTATCCAGTTTATTGTAGCCTTGGGTATTTGTCCCAACCTTTTTGAAGGAGTAGGTGCAGCCTCTACACAAAGAACTGGTTTTGGTGATGCTTTGTGTGCTGAGCAAGAGATCAAGTGTCCGCAATGTTTGTATAAGTGTGCATAATGGTCTTAGTTAATTGTCTTGACGAGCCCTCATTAAGCGGAGAGATGTTGTGCTGATGTTAAGTTTGGCTAACTCTGGCTTCAGTGTATAATACCTGCGTGGTTCGATTCATTGTGGCGAGGAATAGAATGGTTGCAGTAGGTTTGTCGACTTTCTCTACAAGTGCCGTCCCAAACTTCGAAGTTATGTATTTGAAATTAAATCAAAGTTGGATTTTATATGCAATCAAATGGGAATAACAATTGAATGTGCTATTAAAATGCCCATAAACACGCTGTGTTTCTTGTTGTGGAATGAAAATTTAGCTACAGAAGAATTCAGGGTGATTCATCGAGATTATGGTCTGCATGTCATTGGGATCTAACCTGGATTACCATACTGCGCTGGTATACCAAACAAGGTGAAGTCTTAGTTCAAACTATCTCATGGATCAGTATTAATGAATATTTAAACTAAGTTCACAATTAGTAGAAAATCTTGAGTTGTTTTCAATGTCAGATTATTTGAAAGTATGAATTTGAAAACTCGCAGGGAAAGCCAGGGGATTTATCCAGACTTTTGATCGACAGTTCTCGGGCTGAAGGCACTAACGAGAACGCAGAGTTGACAGTCTGAATGTCTTTGTCGCTGTTTTACTGCTGTAAGGTTGATGAAGATGTTTGATGTTTATGAATGATTTCTGGTATTGTACTATTGTTTGATTCAGAGACTCAGCCATGCAGAGACTGGGGAGAGTATTCAGGGGTAAACTAAGGTGGTTTTCAGTCGATATAAATTTTTATATCCGTTCCATATAATTTAATACAGTGTTTTTTGCATGTAAAGAAAAACTTGGAAAGCATGCAAAAAAAAAAAAATTTGGAAAGAATGTAAAAACACCCAAAAGAGATCATCCAGCCTATGCCACAATCTAACCTGGTTATACAACCGGCTGCAATATACCAACATAGTTACAACTACGAAAGGTGCAAGGACAGTTGCTATAGGAAGAACTCCCCCCCATAACTCACATCTTAACGGCCGTCTAAGGGGGAGATGCACTACGGCCCCCAGACCATGATGTATGTGCACCTAACCGTTACGTCTCAGTGAGAAACAGAGTATGCATCGCCACAAGCCTAGCGTCATAGACGAATCAGCTACAGTGGCTAGCCCTGAGAGCGAAGATAATTTAACGTATTTAAGCTTTTCCTGGTCTCGGGAGGCGGTCCCTAACAAGTATATGCATAGAAAACGACTAATAAGGCACACGCTTGGAAATGACAAGATTTAAACGCCTAAACGTTTTTTAAGTGTTTTTAACGAGAAATTTTAGTGTTTTGATATCCTTTTAAGGCTAGTTTCCACTCAGGAAAAATCTCTTTTGGATCGGAACGGACAGGAAAATTTCCTTTGCCGGTGAGTTCTCAGGCGGCGTTTATACAAAGGAAACTTTTCAGTGCTGTCCGATCCAAAGGAGAATTTTCCTGAGTGGAAACTAGCCTCTAGAAATTAGATAGTGTTTTGAAACAATCCTTGTTGGTTTTTAACGTCAAAAGAGTCATCATTCTCCAAAGGAAACTCATAATAAATGACTGAACGGCTTAGTTTACTTAAATGTTTTGTTAACTTTGTGTTTAGTATATGAAGGTCTGAAAACTTAACACGAGTTCCCGTAATGGATCTGAGCGTGAAAGATCAACAAATCATCAAGACTGTTATCCAGTTTATTGTAGCCTTGGGTATTTGTCCCAACCTTTTTGAAGGAGTAGGTGCAGCCTCTACACAAAGAACTGGTTTTGGTGATGCTTTGTGTGCTGAGCAAGAGATCAAGTGTCCGCAATGTTTGTATAAGTGTGCATAATGGTCTTAGTTAATTGTCTTGACGAGCCCTCATTAAGCGGAGAGATGTTGTGCTGATGTTAAGTTTGGCTAACTCTGGCTTCAGTGTATAATACCTGCGTGGTTCGATTCATTGTGGCGAGGAATAGAATGGTTGCAGTAGGTTTGTCGACTTTCTCTACAAGTGCCGTCCCAAACTTCGAAGTTATGTATTTGAAATTAAATCAAAGTTGGATTTTATATGCAATCAAATGGGAATAACAATTGAATGTGCTATTAAAATGCCCATAAACACGCTGTGTTTCTTGTTGTGGAATGAAAATTTAGCTACAGAAGAATTCAGGGTGATTCATCGAGATTATGGTCTGCATGTCATTGGGATCTAACCTGGATTACCATACTGCGCTGGTATACAAACAAGGTGAAGTCTTAGTTCAAACTATCTCATGGATCAGTATTAATGAATATTTAAACTAAGTTCACAATTAGTAGAAAATCTTGAGTTGTTTTCAATGTCAGATTATTTGAAAGTATGAATTTGAAAACTCGCAGGGAAAGCCAGGGGATTTATCCAGACTTTTGATCGACAGTTCTCGGGCTGAAGGCACTAACGAGAACGCAGAGTTGACAGTCTGAATGTCTTTGTCGCTGTTTTACTGCTGTAAGGTTGATGAAGATGTTTGATGTTTATGAATGATTTCTGGTATTGTACTATTGTTTGATTCAGAGACTCAGCCATGCAGAGACTGGGGAGAGTATTCAGGGGTAAACTAAGGTGGTTTTCAGTCGATATAAATTTTTATATCCGTTCCATATATATTTAATAACAGTGTTTTTTGCATGTAAAAGAAAAACTTGGAAAGCATGCAAAAAAAAAAAAATTTGGAAAGAATGTAAAAACACCCAAAAGAGATCATCCAGCCTATGCCACAATCTAACCTGGTTATACAACCGGCTGCAATATACCAACATAGTTACAACTACGAAAGGTGCAAGGACAGTTGCTATAGGAAGAACTCCCCCCCATAACTCACATCTTAACGGCCGTCTAAGGGGGAGATGCACTACGGCCCCCAGACCATGATGTATGTGCACCTAACCGTTACGTCTCAGTGAGAAACAGAGTATGCATCGCCACAAGCCTAGCGTCATAGACGAATCAGCTACAGTGGCTAGCCCTGAGAGCGAAGATGAATTTAACGTATTTAAGCTTTTCCTGGTCTCGGGAGGCGGTCCCTAACAAGTATATGCATAGAAAACGACTAATAAGGCACACGCTTGGAAATGACAAGATTTAAACGCCTAAACGTTTTTTAAGTGTTTTTAACGAGAAATTTTAGTGTTTTGATATCCTTTTAAGGCTAGTTTCCACTCAGGAAAAATCTCCTTTGGATCGGAACGGACAGGAAAATTTCCTTTGCCGGTGAGTTCTCAGGCGGCGTGTATACAAAGGAAACTTTTCAGTGCTGTCCGATCCAAAGGAGAATTTTCCTGAGTGGAAACTAGCCTCTAGAAATTAGATAGTGTTTTGAAACAATCCTTGTTGGTTTTTAACGTCAAAAGAGTCATCATTCTCCAAAGGAAACTCATAATAAATGACTGAACGGCTTAGTTTACTTAAATGTTTTGTTAACTTTGTGTTTAGTATATGAAGGTCTGAAAACTTAACACGAGTTCCCGTAATGGATCTGAGCGTGAAAGATCAACAAATCATCAAGACTGTTATCCAGTTTATTGTAGCCTTGGGTATTTGTCCCAACCTTTTTGAAGGAGTAGGTGCAGCCTCTACACAAAGAACTGGTTTTGGTGATGCTTTGTGTGCTGAGCAAGAGATCAAGTGTCCGCAATGTTTGTATAAGTGTGCATAATGGTCTTAGTTAATTGTCTTGACGAGCCCTCATTAAGCGGAGAGATGTTGTGCTGATGTTAAGTTTGGCTAACTCTGGCTTCAGTGTATAATACCTGCGTGGTTCGATTCATTGTGGCGAGGAATAGAATGGTTGCAGTAGGTTTGTCGACTTTCTCTACAAGTGCCGTCCCAAACTTCGAAGTTATGTATTTGAAATTAAATCAAAGTTGGATTTTATATGCAATCAAATGGGAATAACAATTGAATGTGCTATTAAAATGCCCATAAACACGCTGTGTTTCTTGTTGTGGAATGAAAATTTAGCTACAGAAGAATTCAGGGTGATTCATCGAGATTATGGTCTGCATGTCATTGGGATCTAACCTGGATTACCATACTGCGCTGGTATACCAAACAAGGTGAAGTCTTAGTTCAAACTATCTCATGGATCAGTATTAATGAATATTTAAACTAAGTTCACAATTAGTAGAAAATCTTGAGTTGTTTTCAATGTCAGATTATTTGAAAGTATGAATTTGAAAACTCGCAGGGAAAGCCAGGGGATTTATCCAGACTTTTGATCGACAGTTCTCGGGCTGAAGGCACTAACGAGAACGCAGAGTTGACAGTCTGAATGTCTTTGTCGCTGTTTTACTGCTGTAAGGTTGATGAAGATGTTTGATGTTTATGAATGATTTCTGGTATTGTACTATTGTTTGATTCAGAGACTCAGCCATGCAGAGACTGGGGAGAGTATTCAGGGGTAAACTAAGGTGGTTTTCAGTCGATATAAATTTTTATATCCGTTCCATATATATTTAATAACAGTGTTTTTTGCATGTAAAAGAAAAACTTGGAAAGCATGCAAAAAAAAAAAAATTTGGAAAGAATGTAAAAACACCCAAAAGAGATCATCCAGCCTATGCCACAATCTAACCTGGTTATACAACCGGCTGCAATATACCAACATAGTTACAACTACGAAAGGTGCAAGGACAGTTGCTATAGGAAGAACTCCCCCCCATAACTCACATCTTAACGGCCGTCTAAGGGGGAGATGCACTACGGCCCCCAGACCATGATGTATGTGCACCTAACCGTTACGTCTCAGTGAGAAACGAGTATGCATCGCCACAAGCCTAGCGTCATAGACGAATCAGCTACAGTGGCTAGCCCTGAGAGCGAAGATGAATTTAACGTATTTAAGCTTTTCCTGGTCTCGGGAGGCGGTCCCTAACAAGTATATGCATAGAAAACGACTAATAAGGCACACGCTTGGAAATGACAAGATTTAAACGCCTAAACGTTTTTTAAGTGTTTTTAACGAGAAATTTTAGTGTTTTGATATCCTTTTAAGGCTAGTTTCCACTCAGGAAAAATCTCTTTGGATCGGAACGGACAGGAAAATTTCCTTTGTCGGTGAGTTCTCAGGCGGCGTTTACAAAGGAAACTTTTCAGTGCTGTCCGATCCAAAGGAGAATTTTCCTGAGTGGAAACTAGCCTCTAGAAATTAGATAGTGTTTTGAAACAATCCTTGTTGGTTTTTAACGTCAAAAGAGTCATCATTCTCCAAAGGAAACTCATAATAAATGACTGAACGGCTTAGTTTACTTAAATGTTTTGTTAACTTTGTGTTTAGTATATGAAGGTCTGAAAACTTAACACGAGTTCCCGTAATGGATCTGAGCGTGAAAGATCAACAAATCATCAAGACTGTTATCCAGTTTATTGTAGCCTTGGGTATTTGTCCCAACCTTTTTGAAGGAGTAGGTGCAGCCTCTACACAAAGAACTGGTTTTGGTGATGCTTTGTGTGCTGAGCAAGAGATCAAGTGTCCGCAATGTTTGTATAAGTGTGCATAATGGTCTTAGTTAATTGTCTTGACGAGCCCTCATTAAGCGGAGAGATGTTGTGCTGATGTTAAGTTTGGCTAACTCTGGCTTCAGTGTATAATACCTGCGTGGTTCGATTCATTGTGGCGAGGAATAGAATGGTTGCAGTAGGTTTGTCGACTTTCTCTACAAGTGCCGTCCCAAACTTCGAAGTTATGTATTTGAAATTAAATCAAAGTTGGATTTTATATGCAATCAAATGGGAATAACAATTGAATGTGCTATTAAAATGCCCATAAACACGCTGTGTTTCTTGTTGTGGAATGAAAATTTAGCTACAGAAGAATTCAGGGTGATTCATCGAGATTATGGTCTGCACGTCATTGGGATCTAACCTGGATTACCATACTGCGCTGGTATACCAAACAAGGTGAAGTCTTAGTTCAAACTATCTCATGGATCAGTATTAATGAATATTTAAACTAAGTTCACAATTAGTAGAAAATCTTGAGTTGTTTTCAATGTCAGATTATTTGAAAGTATGAATTTGAAAACTCGCAGGGAAAGCCAGGGGATTTATCCAGACTTTTGATCGACAGTTCTCGGGCTGAAGGCACTAACGAGAACGCAGAGTTGACAGTCTGAATGTCTTTGTCGCTGTTTTACTGCTGTAAGGTTGATGAAGATGTTTGATGTTTATGAATGATTTCTGGTATTGTACTATTGTTTGATTCAGAGACTCAGCCATGCAGAGACTGGGGAGAGTATTCAGGGGTAAACTAAGGTGGTTTTCAGTCGATATAAATTTTTATATCCGTTCCATATATATTTAATAACAGTGTTTTTTGCATGTAAAAGAAAAACTTGGAAAGCATGCAAAAAAAAAAAAATTTGGAAAGAATGTAAAAACACCCAAAAGAGATCATCCAGCCTATGCCACAATCTAACCTGGTTATACAACCGGCTGCAATATACCAACATAGTTACAACTACGAAAGGTGCAAGGACAGTTGCTATAGGAAGAACTCCCCCCCATAACTCACATCTTAACGGCCGTCTAAGGGGGAGATGCACTACGGCCCCCAGACCATGATGTATGTGCACCTAACCGTTACGTCTCAGTGAGAAACAGAGTATGCATCGCCACAAGCCTAGCGTCATAGACGAATCAGCTACAGTGGCTAGCCCTGAGAGCGAAGATGAATTTAACGTATTTAAGCTTTTCCTGGTCTCGGGAGGCGGTCCCTAACAAGTATATGCATAGAAAACGACTAATAAGGCACACGCTTGGAAATGACAAGATTTAAACGCCTAAACGTTTTTTAAGTGTTTTTAACGAGAAATTTTAGTGTTTTGATATCCTTTTAAGGCTAGTTTCCACTCAGGAAAAATCTCCTTTGGATCGGAACGGACAGGAAAATTTCCTTTGCCGGTGAGTTCTCAGGCGGCGTGTATACAAAGGAAACTTTTCAGTGCTGTCCGATCCAAAGGAGAATTTTCCTGAGTGGAAACTAGCCTCTAGAAATTAGATAGTGTTTTGAAACAATCCTTGTTGGTTTTTAACGTCAAAAGAGTCATCATTCTCCAAAGGAAACTCATAATAAATGACTGAACGGCTTAGTTTACTTAAATGTTTTGTTAACTTTGTGTTTAGTATATGAAGGTCTGAAAACTTAACACGAGTTCCCGTAATGGATCTGAGCGTGAAAGATCAACAAATCATCAAGACTGTTATCCAGTTTATTGTAGCCTTGGGTATTTGTCCCAACCTTTTTGAAGGAGTAGGTGCAGCCTCTACACAAAGAACTGGTTTTGGTGATGCTTTGTGTGCTGAGCAAGAGATCAAGTGTCCGCAACGTTTGTATAAGTGTGCATAATGGTCTTGGTTAATTGTCTTGACTAGCCCTCATTAAGCGGAGAGATGTTGTGCTGATGTTAAGTTTGGCTAACTCTGGCTTCAGTGTATAATACCTGCGTGGTTCGATTCATTGTGGCGAGGAATAGAATGGTCGCAGTAGGTTTGTCGACTTTCTCTACAAGTGCCGTCCCAAACTTCGAAGTTATGTATTTGAAATTAAATCAAAATTGGATTTTATATGCAATCAAATGGGAATAACAATTGAATGTGCTATTAAAATGCCCATAAACACGCTGTGTTTCTTGTTGTGGAATGAAAATTTAGCTATAGAAGAATTCAGGGTGATTCATCGAGATCATGGTCTGCATGTCATTGGGATCTAACCTGTATTACCATACTGCGCTGGTATACCAAACAAGGTGAAGTCTTAGTTCAAACTATCTCATGGACCAGTATTAATGAATAAACCAAGTCCAGAATTATTAGAAAATCTTGAGTTGTTTTCAATGTCAGATTATTTGAAAGTATGAATTTGAAAACTCGCAGGGAAAGCCAGGGGATTTATTCAGACTTTTGATCGACAGTTCTCGGGCTGAAGGCACTAACGAGAACGCTGAGTTGACAGTCTGAATGTCTTTGTCGCTGTTTTACTGCTGTAAGGTTGATGAAGATGCTGATCTAATAAAACAAATGTTTGATGTTTATGAATGATCTCTGGTATTGTTTAATACGTTAAATTTTTCTTCGCTCTTAAGGCTTGCCACTGTTTTAGATTCGTCTGTGACGCGCTAGGCTTGTGGCACACCCATTGGACACACCGCACAACGCACACTCTCTTTCTGTTTCTGTTTAGGAGATGTGAACTAGTGAAGAGTCTTCAAATAGTAAGTGTGTTAGTGACACTGGGCTATATTCCGAGCAATAGTATAGTTCAGTGATCAGTGAGTGTAAGTTGTGTAGCCAAAACAAACAAAATGAACAAACGCCATGAAGTGTAATAAAGACAAAAGTTCGGTGGTTGCCAAATTTACATCTCTCAAAAGAAGAATTGCATTGCAGTTGCGAGAAACGCTGTGTAACATGGCCTTTAAGCCTGTTTTCCACTAGGCGGAATTTTGCTCGCGGAGCGGAATTTTTCTTTGTTTTTCTCACATTAGTTCTGCGTGAAAGCGCGCAGACAATTAAAAATTCCGCTCCGCGGGTAAATTTCCGCCTAGTGGAAAACAGGCTTTAGTATGACCGAAGAAATCTTCTGGTTTGTCTATTGTATAAAAGTAATTTATGCTCCCACTGATGATGCACGTGATGGATGCGATGCACTCAGCACTCCCATTGAACTCCCGTTGTTGTTCGTATGTCGTATGTTATCCATAAGTGAACCCTGAGATCCACGAAGCAAAATTTATTTTTATTTTGAACGAAAGAGCCACAATACAAATATGGCGCAAGATGAAAATTCGTAAGTCAAATACCTCTTATAATTTTTTCATTTTTGTGTATATCCTATAAACAAATATTAATAAATATTTCATCATTTTATAAGATGGTGGAGTAGTTGGACGACTGGAATACTGGAAAATGTCAGAGAGAAGGTGCAAGCATAGCCTTTCATTTAGTTTTACATATTAAAAAAACATTCACTTTGATATCAATCGTGTGATTCGTAGGCAAAGTATTGTCGTAGATCAGAAATCGTATCGTTCGAAAACATTTTTTGTTCAAAATTCTATCTACAAACTTCTACAAACATTTTCTGCTTTAAATTCTTATTGTATTCGTTTATAATAAAAATAGACTTATAATATGATTTAGCATAATTTTTAATGAATTATATATACACCATCTTAGAGGCATCAAGGCGACTGTTGGTGGGACTGAAATGACTACCCATGATTGTACTGGCCTGAATCCCCGCCCCTCTTCTTTTCTGTTGAACTAAACACATGCCTATGGAGTTCACACTTATCTCATATATTGATTTTAATAATCAGCCTGGATACTGGATAGGGTGACCATATTTTCACATGATAGTGTTTTTTTCTACCACTTTTATTATTTCAAGCTACAGACAGTTCTACAGCATGCTAAATAACAATAATGATTGATCTGGTACCTATACCTGGTATATTACCTGTCAATAATGCATGCTATCTCCAAGATTCAATATGGAGCAATAATCATTTACGCAATAATAAATATTAACTGATTATTGACCGAGCGTGAGGTCTGTACTGTGAAATATCAGACTGAGGCTTTTCAGGATTCTTATACTTCACAGTACAGATCGAACAAGCAAGGTCAATAATCTGTATATTATATGGCTGAGCTGCATAAGACATCCGAGATATGTACTGGTCCAGATACGGAATATACAGACTACAGTCCGGATATGGGTTTTATAGACCGCTTGTCAACCAATCAGACATCCAGGGTACTGGTCCAGATACGGAATATACAGACCACAGTCCGGATATTACCTCACTTAACAATCTTCTGCAGCCCCTGTGTTGATCACATGCATGGATGGAATAATTTTTCAAAAAAAAATATGTGCCATATTGTACGGGTGAAAAACACAACAATATTGTTAATTTCGCCATTGTAGTCCATTAAGCTACGCTAAGAAAAATTCCTATAAGAGACAATCCATGTTTTCAATGATATCATGTCCTGTTCTGTTAGTTGAAATATTGTCAATAGTGTCCTGTCGTAATTATTTTAAATGACCAAGGGAATGTATTGTTATTTTACTTTTCAGACAACGACGGCTCTTGAGTTTGTTCAAAGTGATTTGTCCGAATTCGTAAACACAATTCAACATGACACTTCTGTGGTCATTGCTGACTCCGCTACGGCTGTTAATAGGAGCATCCAGGTACATATAACAGTATCAAGGTACATATACAGTATCAAGGTACATATAACAATTGGTACTGACAACTAGTAAAGCCTGGTTCTTGTATGTTGCCGACACTCGACGATGTATTGTTTGTGGTCAGTGACGAGGAAAATATAATCGAAATAAAAAGCACTTCATTCATCAATGAAAACTGACAATAGCTATCGCCGACCGTCTGTGACATATGAAAACCAGGCTTTAACCCTGATTCACACTTGTCCTAAGAATCTGGGATTCCCTTTATCTGAGGTCGCTGGTGTGCAATATGCTTTTTCTATATCGGAAAGTAATACAATGGATCCCCGATTCTTAGGAGCTAGTGGGAATCAGGCCTTAATGATAGTAAAGCCAGGTTTCCATATGACACTGACCTGTCGACGACTCATTGTCTGTAATCCATAGAGAAAATGATTTCAGAAAGACAAAAGATTTAACTCATCAATAATCATCGACAATAATACTTTGCCGACGTTTGCGTCATATGGAACGCTTTTCTGCCCGGAGGCTAGTTAAAAAAATGATTTGAAGAGCTGCCGCTGGTGTTATGAACACTTATAATTTATAAACTGTCAACTTTAATCATACTCACTACACTAAACTGAAGCAGTTACCTAAATAATATCACTGATCATAATACTGTGACGCAGGTGGACGAGACTGAGAAAAATGCAACCAGTGGCAAAGTAAAACAAGGTGAATTATTCTTGTCTTGTAAAGACATTATTATATCCAGCAGATATCTAATAAAACCCAGCAAAAACATACGAAGAACAAAATTTTGTAAAGCCAAGATTTAAACTCTGTGGCAAAAAAGTTATAATTGTCATTGCCATGCAATGTGTTTTCTTATCAGGCTCCAATCTTGGGATCACAAAATTTCATTGTTCTTTGAAATATTTTTTCTTGTATGCATGTCTTGCATATCTTCATGCAGTTGAACCTGGAATAGTGCATGTGTGTAACTTGTGGCTATGTTATGTTTAGGATTCTCAGATATCTTGACTAGTATTTCTACGAGTCTCCATCAAGCAGCTGATAAAACTTCAAAACCAACATCGTCTGAAGATGAGAATAAAACTGACGACCAAAGATCAACATCATCAACTATGCCCGCTGTCTATGATAGAACACAGGTTAGCCAAATCACTTTGAAATCGTATTTTCTTAGCTTTTTGCTTTCTTTCGGCATTTCTTTGCAGAACAACGTGTGCATGGAAAGTGATTTCGATAAAACTTAAAGTATTTTAATAATTTATGCTTGAAGGCAAAACTTCAGGAAATGCAAACGAACCCAGAAACCTATTCCAACGAGCCTGATAGTAAGTTTTATTTGAGTATTTCTTATAAACTGGATCGTTTTCTATATTCAATTATCTCGGGTTAGATACTTTAGCAAAGAAATTTCTGTTTCCAGGCGATGGTTACGAAACCTGGTGTGCCACATTTAATCTTGACTCCAAGAAAGGAGAAATATCTGAACTACTCGTAAACAATCCTGATGTTAGAAGACTGTATACGAAATTTGTGAGTTTGATGCATGAGTTGTCCATCAAAAATCTGTTTTTGTAGTTGGATTGTTTATCTCATATACAACAGAATTTTTTTTTCAATATAGTTCGCTGTTCTCTATTTTATGTCGACAGTATATATCTATAATGATAACAAGCGAACAACAGTCCGCTAATTAGTATCATGAACTGTGAATGGATTAAATTTTTAGTAAAAAAATTTGCGTGTTTCACTCGAGTGCTTCATAATTTGCTGGCTGTCATGATACCCAAAGGAATACTAATGAAAAAAGTGAAATATGCGACTCAAATGAGTGATGTTGCACGGATAATTTTTATGAAATATATTCATTTCCTTTTGTTTTTACTCCCCAATTTTCAAGGTTCCGAGTGTTCAAAGCCACTCAACGTTTTGGCATCGTTATTTTTATAAGCTTCATGAAATAGAAACGGTAAGGAAATCTTTCATTTTATATATTCCCAAAAAACCCCATAAAAAATCCACGTGTTTGTTTGTCTATACACAACACACGCAAAGATTACATTTAATTTCTATGGCTAGCTAATGCAAGACTCTCGAGATTGGTACACACTGAAATAGCTAGACTAAGTCGAAGTTTTCGTTACATTTTTAGCTAGTTTGCACCTACAACTATATGTGCATGGTAGGGCACACGCTTGGTAAAGGCATACAGGGCCGAAACTAGACTTGGGGGTGCACATTCATTTATTCACTCGGCTTAGCGGATTTCTTTTGTGCGTTTTCCGTCAAGCAGAAGAGAATATACGAATTTTCAACCCCAATTATCGCGCATTATTGTTTTATCCCTGAAAGCATCCATATGTCTATATAGTCTGATTATTTGCACAATCGCAGGCGAACAAAAGATTAGCGGATATTGTTGAGAGAGCAAGTCGAAATGACAGTCAAGATTTGGGTTGGGATGATGAAGATGATGAGGAGACAAACAGTATCACAGGTTGTTATAACCATATCTACAACCGATTTACAATTTCGTCGAGGAAAATCACCACAACATTGAATTTACATTTTATTTCAATCATCGTCATTTGAGAGAAACGCAATGAAATCCATAGTTATGGACTTTCATAATTGAGAGAGGGCTTGCATGGGGGCTGCAGCGCCTACACCCCCCCCCCCTCCACCCAAATACGGTGTTCATCAATTGCCTAAGCCGATGCCGATGATGAAATATAATTATGTTATAACACAATACCTGTCATATTTTTTATTATATAATAAGTTTTATTCACGAGTATCAAATTTCATATATTCGTGCGTGAACTACCTTAAAATATGATTTTAATATTGTAATAATTGACTCTGGTTTAGCGACACCAAAAGACGAAGAATTAACATCAATTGATACGAATGTTATAACAGATAATCATCCTCGGCACGAAGTGTTGCAGGAAGAGACGAAATTACAACAGAACAATAAACCACACTGCATCATTCGATCAAAAAATTCGTCAGCAGATAAAATCGACACGACCGAAGCTGCAGCAGACAAGAATTGTGGTAATCAGAATAAGGAAGTAAAGAACATTGTTCATGACGCGAAATCAACTTCTGCGCATAATAACCACGACGACACGCCGTCCAAGGATTCATCTTCATGTTTAGAAACGAAATCTGAAGGGGATTCGTCCTCCAGAAAAAGCGATTCTTCTGACAGCAGCTCATGGATTAAAGTTTTGGATAAAGAAGGTAGTAGTCTTATGTTTATAGCGGCGTCGCGCCTTAATTTAAAGTTCTTCTAAGAATTTGAATACTTAGGCCATGTGCACTTAGGCCATGCATGTGTTTTCAAGCGTTTTCATATTCGTTTTCATGCCATAACCTTAGTCCTAGTTCTCATACGTATTGCCACCATGGCATATGTAAGAAATAGAAAGCATTTTCCGTGTTTCTATACAGTTATAGAAACACGCGTGGAGTTTGGGAGAACGAGAAATAATCAGTGGATTTTTATTTCGAGTTTTCCCAAACGCCGACAAGTGTTTCTATAACTGTATAGAAACAAAGGAAAAAATGTTTTCTATTTCTTTTATAATATAACTCAATGAAAAGATTTTGTACAAATATTATAATTCGATTCAATTACAAATTCTCATTACATTACTTCGCTTGTCAAGTTCGGCGGGAAAATTCCCGAGTTTTCGACCTCAAACACGCTTCTCGACCAATCAGCACGCGCGTACTATGAATATTATATTATAAAATACATTGTGAAATGAGGAGTGTTATTTTACAATTCTTAGGCGTCCCGAGTCACCGATATATTAATATATTAGAGACTAATATAGTAATGGTAATTAGAGAAAGTGGCTATCTACTTTAATCCTAAAAACATGATATGTGTGTGCCACAATAAAGACGTACGTGTATACGATATATTAAGGTACGTCATCAAGTTCAAGTGTTGTTGTGGTGAATGATGGAAAAGAACTAGATTCTGATGAACAACTGGCAAATGAGGTCGATGATGATGATGATGATGATGATTTTGATTTTAATGAAGATGTTACAAATGAAGACGTAGAGAAGCTGGTACAATCAATAACAGCGAATGAAATTGACTCTGAAGATGTAAGTACTGAGAAGGGGAATCAGAAATTTTCCAGATTTGATAGAAAACCTCTCGTTGTTTTGCTCTCGCTCAGACTCCCTGCCCACCGCTAGATTGATTATTGTTTTTCTGTTTTTCTATATTATTAGGATGACTGGGAGGACTGGGAATGAAAACATCATGAGCAAATGACGTATGCGTTACGACGTAGTTATCAATAGCACTCAAAACAAGTGATGTTTTCAGTTATAGAATGTATTAGAGACTGATGTAGTAAAGGTGGTTTATAATAAGTGGTTAACTTAATAAGAGTCGCGTACAAAAAGTGAAAATGTGAAAATAATATGAATCTCGTTCATGTATTGTTTTTTAAATATTGATACATATGTCACTTCATCAACTGTATATAACTTCACTTACTATTCCTTTTTAATTTCATATCCAAATTTGCGAGAATCTTCCTCGGATTTCAAAGAATTAACATCTTTCACATTCGAACAGCGTTTTTCTATATACTTTTCTATTAAATTCGACGTGCAATGCACTTACCTGCGCATTCACATGGGAACAGACGAATTTTGGACCGTGCTTGAATTCGTCCGGTTCAAATGTTCCCACGGTAAAATAAATACAAATTTGTCAGGTTCTACGTGTTCACAAGAAAGCAAAAAGAACAGACGCGTGTATATCAGAGATGTAAAGGTTTCACATGATCCAATTTTGTCGGATTCAATTCACTGTATAGTCTGTTGACTTGCAAAGTATATATGCAGTTGATCAACTAAAAGCAATGCTGTACTGTGTTGTCAATAACAAAATACATTCCATATGTCGGAGAAGTGAATTGGATCCGATCGAGAAGTGGTCATGATCCAATAGGTTGAGCATGATACTTCCAAATGAAATTGGGCATGGTGGCCAAGAACAGGCACTACCAGAGGTGGTACTTGACAAAGATTGACTTTGCTCAGCATGTTTTATGGACCAGTTTTGACTTTGGGCACGGACACACAGTCTGATGGACTAAACGAAATATGTGGAATGAACTTAAACACATTGATTGAAAGTAATTCCGAAAAATGAAAGCATAATACAAATTTTATTCTGTATATTTCGAATCAAGATCGATTCATCTTCAGGAGAATGGTTTACAAGATTTGCGTGAATTTGACCTGCCAATATGATGCATATATTCCTCTGGCAAATGGGCACTGTCGTCCCTATTCAGAGCATGATTATACTTATATTTATATGCCACGTTTCTAGGCAAAGTCTTTGACCATGTGTTAGTGGTAATTACTTTAGAGTTTTCCCATGCAATCTTATGTTTGGTGTCACACACGTGCTCTGCCAAAGGAAAACTCTATGAGGATTGTCGAATTCTATGAGGATAGCATATTTAATACCAACAATAATATGAGCAGATACCATCAGCTGAAAAAAAGCAAAAGGGCCTAAGTTAGACCAAAAAATGAGTTCTACAAAATGCTCAGATACCATAGGCATATTTTAGACCAAAGTTTTAGCAAACAAACTAGAATAAGTTAAATTATACCCTGACGAGTGGAAAGCAACATTTAACTTTTCCTAATTTCATCCTTTTCATTGCTCCTAAAAAGTATTGCGCGCAATTTTCGTGGTCCTAAAACTGTTTTTTTCACAAAGGCAGGTGAAAAATACAACAGAAAAATTTAGTTACAAAGTGTGAGGATAGTCAACTTCTTGATCTATTGAGTTATGAATGGATCTCTATATAAATGCAACAATAATCTAAATATGCTATATGTGAGACCTCATAGAATCCAAAACATTGCTAATGGATTGGGTTTTTTTTCAACATTCTATAATTTACATACCTCTTCTTATAATCTCAGTATTGTTCAAGCTTTATTTTCCTCCCAGGTGACCTTTTCAAAATACCAAACAAAACATCTCAAAAATAGTGGACACATACATGCAATGTCAATTTCACCCCTTTGGCTTTTTTCCTATGTTGAATATTAATTCTAATAAAAAGACTATAGTAAAACTTTTATTTAAGCCTAATTACAGAGTGTGAGGATACCCTAATTTTCGAGCTATACTTTAATGAAGATGGGTCGATTTGCAATAAAATTCGTTAATAGAGGTATATTAACAACTATGTCATCCGCAAGATTGAGCTTTGGAACCACTTCTGAGACATTTTACTGACACTTTACTGAATATATGAACGGATTTCGACGCATTTTAGTTTATCGTAAACCGCTTTTCTTTCTCAACAACAGTAGCGAATTTTTATGAACATGCTTTAGAGTAAATAGCAAAACTATTGCACCAAAGTCTGTATTTTTAGTTCTTCGACGCGAAAATGCAAATTGAAGAAGAAATAAGCCCGCAATTTTCGGTCAGCGCGAACAAAATGCCCACCTGTTGGGCTGGCATTATTCCGCGGGCGCTTTATCTCGCCGAAATGCAAAATATCTTGCCTGTTTCTTTTGAATTTCGACTACTTGAATAGATTAATTCTGCTTCATTGCTCACAACTCAAAAGAAAGAGGCGAAATATTTCGCATTTGCTTGAAAATTAAGCCAGTGGAATTAGCGCTTTAGATCGCTGTTAAATAGAAGGAGTTCAAGTTTGTTTTAATTTTTATTGAGTGTTTGATAATATGCAGATATATATCAGTTCTAAAGTAGCGATCTAAAGTATCATACTGAGCAAGTGACTTGATGAAAGATGTTCTTTGTGACGTGTTTATTATCTTGGCAGTGTGTTTGTTTGAGCCTAAGACAAGCTTAATTACTAAGTAAAGAGCTGAAAGAAGTTTGAAGAATTTGTTCAATAGTTTGTTTTTCAATATGAAACTAAAAACTCGTTGCCAGGTATTTCTAACAGTGGCCGTCATTACAATCTTTACAGCGATGTATTTTCTTCATAGTCGTTCTACAAAGAAATGTCGTGGTGATGTGTCTGAACATGGAGATCCTTGGATAATGAATTCGAAGGTCAGTATGAAGGCTCGGTGCTACAACATATATTGATAGCAAATATCAGTACATATTATGATGTCCTTCATAGGCCATTAACCATTTTAGGGCCTCCACAGACTAGGGATTTAGTTTTCGACAACTATTTGTGATCGACAACTAGCAAACGTAGTCTGTACTCTGTCGCGCTAGTTGTCGACGGCCTCATTTTTTGGCGTTTTTTAAGTGTGTGAAAACTGAACAGTCAGTTTGTTTTATATCGACTACTTTTAATCTCCGCGCTATTTCGGTTGCTAAATTAGTATTTTAGCACCAGTCTGTGGAATCCTTTATCGGACGTATTTACTTGTCGATCACAAATTGTTGTCGACGACTAAATTTCTAGTCTGTGGAGGCCCTTACTCGAGTTGAAAAACCTTATTCTGATCGATACCCATGCAAAGCCGAATTTTGTTCCGATTAATCAAATGGATAAATGATGGCACCACAAAGCCGATTTCGTTCGGATTGATCAAATACCACGATGAAGCTGAATTTTGTTCAAATGGTTGCATTAGGATCATTTAGCAATTAGGCTATTACGAGCATAGAATAGCAATATTGGACAAACGTTTAATAACGTTCGGCTTAATTTATTCGCACGAAAGTTGCCAGCTTGGAGAACTGAACGCTCCCTTGCTTACGTACGGAACGCGAGCATGGAATTTGCTTGCATGAGATGTTATTACTCTGGACCTGTAGCATATCACAAATTTTATATTTCATAACTCGGGGAAACGGTATATAGCTTACTCACTAACTTTCTAAGATCGTCGTGCATGTAGCTTTGTGCGAATGTATCCCATGCAGTTTTAAATCATAGTACTTGCTTGAAATCCCTTGAATATGTTACGAAAATATTTCTATTCCCGAAAGTACTGAATATTTTGGAATTCTTAAATCTGATCGTGAATCAAATGATATTACTGCACTGTACATGTAATGATAACAAATCATCGATATTTCACATGGGTTAAGAGCCACTATAGAAGCAATTCCTTTAATGCTTAGTTGACTAGCTGTACTCAAACGGAAACGTAATTGATCTCATGCATTCAATTTTATAATAATATATAGGTGGAGGTGAAATCTTCAATGGAACGGAATATTTCGCTCAATTCTGAGATTCACTTGATAGATCACAATTGAAAAGAAAATCAAGCGAAAAATTTACCTATATAATAGAAAACCGGCCTAACACCTAAAAACAGGCCTACCTAAAACTTTGTTAATGTGTTTAACTCCAAAAATGGAGTTATGTTTTAAATCCCGAATTGGAGTTAAATTAACTCCAAAAGCGGTGTTGAATTATAGCACCAGAAGTGGAGTTATTTGTTACTCCAAAACCTACTCATTTTGAACCGTTTTTTACCCCTTTTTTTACCCCTTTTTTGGTGTTAAAATAATGTGTAAACGGGGTCTTAGACCGGATTCACGTGGTCACCACATAGTGACGATCTTTGTACATATATTGGTTGTGCACTGTGTGTCATTGACAATAAAGAATTTTTCTAGGCACCATTGTTACCAGTTCCTAAAGATATAGAAATGACAGTTGGCCCTGAGGAATGGATAAGCAGGACAATAATTGATCCGAAGGTAAAGTTGGTAAAACTGACCTAAAACTAACCTTATAATACTGCATTATCATTTTGATTCGCTCACATTCAATTTACACATTATAATTTATTTTTGTTTATTACATAGTATTCAGTGTTTTATTGGCGAACCGCCATTGTGAAAAGCGATAATAACACATGTGCAATTATCGTGTTTGATCCACCAATCAGAAGTCAAATATTCGTGCCCTGGGGCCAGTTGTTCAACGGTTTAGCGCTAACGCTGGGTTGAACCTAGTTTATGTGCTTCTGAAATACCGCTCGTTTTAAAACTTTAGAAAATATTGCTTCTATCGGTTTAGAGAATATTTATGAAAAAATATATTCAACTTTGTAAGCAAGCGATTAAAAAAATTAATGTAAAGTCAAAGATTTGTTTTGACCCAGGGTTAAGCAGCCCCTGGGGATTAAAAAAACTTTCAAAAAAACAAAAATACATGGATGCTTGAAAATATGGAATTTATTTCTTGTGTTCAGAATCATATCTCACTCGTTCGATATTATTCTCAACACTTCGCGCGTCCATGTATTTTCTCCATGTACTTGTCTGTTTGAGTAAGGAGATAACGTTACAGTTTTCTAAACTTGACCGCGATATTTTCATATTCTATTGTTATAGCGAGAATGTCCATCATTGCTACAATTAAAAAAGAACGATTCAGATCTTGCTTGTCGGTTACCAGAGATTGATCCATTCCATCCAGCAATAATGAAGTTATTCTCTGATGTGGCAAACCCTAACTGTGCGAAGCACAAATCCTATGGAAAATTAGTAAATGGAAAAATACAATTCTTAGGTAAGCATCTCCTTTACAAATTAAGTACTCTCCTTCGTATTCAAGTGAAACAGACAGACCCCCTTTATGCATAAGACATCTCTTATACTCTTCAAATGGCGGGCTGGGCAGTTAAGAACCCTTAAAATAAGGAAGGAATTATTATGTCACTTGATCTTGAAATAACGGGTTGGAAATTTTAGATCTCGTAATCGCGGCTATACATTTCTTTTTGCTGGCCCCATGCATAGTCTACTCCTTGCTGACCAATCATATAATCAGAAAGATTAATGATATAGTTGGTAGTTAGAATGGGGATTTAGTAAATTCGTATATATCATACTGTAATTTCATCTGTACAGAACATTAACTTGTAATTAATTGCTTTATAGATCCTGAAGTTATTTCAGCGAATTATCGTCGGATTATTAGGCAAGGAGACTTTAAGTTCATTCTTGGTAAAAATGTCCCTGTACCAGCAATGAATACAGAAGAAAAAATCACGGATGAATTTATTGAAGTTGAATATTTGCTCAAAAATAAGAAGAACGTTAAAGAAATCTTTCTCCAGCCTGTCCAGCATGAACATTTGGTAAAACGAAAGGCAGAAAAACAACCAGGAATACCGTTAAATATTTTAATCATTGGTGTAGATTCACTATCTCATGCAAATACACAGCGAAGACTGCCTAACGTATATAAATATCTCAAAAACGAACTTGGAGCGATGTTTTTTAATGGACACTCGATAGTAGGGGACGGCACCACAGAACAATTGACCGCTATGTTAACTGGACAAGGAGAACTTGAACAATATGAATCAAGACGCCATCACAAAAACCCCAAGCCTGTAGATGGATGGTCTTGGATATATAAGCGACTTAAAAGTAATAAATTTTTGGGGTTTATTTTCTTTTTCTGTATTCGTTAATCCTAGGTCGTTAATCATACTCACACAACCACAGAAGCCATCAGTGGAGTAAATAGAAGGATAATTGCGGGGGTGTTTATAACTTACTCGTACAATCACTGAAACCATCTCATTTTTTCTGGGCTTAGTGATTCTGATTGGTCATTAACGCCGTATGAAATATTGTGTTCCTGGTGGGGAGAATACACTGGTCTTACTATTTTATCTTTTGATTCAATTGTTTAGAACGAGGTTATGTAACTGGTTACTCTGGTGACTGGCCAATTATTGGTCCATGGCAGTATAGACTAATGGGATTCAAAAATCCGCCCACAGATTTCTATACCAGGCCATTTTTTTCTATGGCTGAAAAACTGCTAAAAGGAAAAGACCAGTGCTTAGCTTCAAAAACTATATCAAATGTTCAGTTTGATTATATCCAAGAAGTGTTTGATATGTTCAAAAAACAATTGAAGTTTTTTTTCTCATTTAACGGTAAGGTGAGGCCTGCAGCTCCTTCGAAATCCAACCTCGTTCCCAGGGTCCCCTGTACGTTTTGAACATTTCTTCAATAGCTTATCTTCTTACTCATTTTTTGTTGTTTTTTCTAGTACGTTACTCTCACAATTCCAACAGTGAAACATCGAAGATTGAACCAGATTTATTATCACTTCTAAAAGGTTTAAAACAAAATAATCATCTCAACAACACATTACTTATAATCATGGGGGACCATGGCACTCGATATGGCAAAATACGAACTTTGGTGCAAGGAAAACTCGAAGAAAGACTTCCATTTTATTCAATGGCATTTCCAAAATGGTTTCTCAGAGAACATCCAGAGATTTCGAAGAATCTAAAACTAAACACAAACCGTTTGACGTCATGGTATGACGTATACGCCACTTTCCGTCACATGCTCAGTTATCCTGAGGTCCCTGCTGATATAAAACACGGTCAAAGCTTGTTGATAGAAGTTCCCATATCACGCACATGTTCTCAGGCTAACGTTGAGGAACATTGGTGTCCATGCTTAGAATGGGTAGATGTAAATCTTGGACATAGTCACCTGAATAATTCAGCTCTTGCAGCAGTGGAGTTCATGAACAATGCTAACCTGGAACACAAAAAGAGTGCTGAAAACTGTCAAAAATTATCACTAAAGAATATAAATTACGCGCTATTCGAACGACCAAATGATAAAGTCTTGTCATTTAAGCAAACAAACGATTTGAAAGCTGCGTTTAGTGACAAGTCACGTCCAAATCACAAGGATTTTTGTCGCTATCAAGTACAATTTACGACGATACCAAATAATGGAATATATGAAGCAACCGTACGCTATCATAAAGATTGGTTTATTGTAAGCAAGGCTATTAGCAGAGTGAACAAATACGGGAGTCAACCAGAATGCATTGCAAGAGATCTTCCGCATTTAAGAAAATATTGCATGTGCAAAAGAACTGATGTGCGCGAAATGTGTTGACTATTGACACAATTTCTAAATAGGTATTTTATTTATTACTCGGTTTTGTTTTGTTATTGTTTTTTTTGTGTATGTGTTTTGGCGCAGCTTTGTACCCTGCGGAGCGCCAGAAGGAACAGAGCCCCATTCAGAATAGCAACCTTCGGCCAATTTCACTCTTTGTGATCTATTAGACAGAAAGTCAATTATCTTTTTATTTAAATTGAATAGAATTTACGCCGTTGGTATAAGTTGTCTTTTTTTTAATGAGAGATTTAAGTCTTTGATTCATTCATGGGGTATCTGTTGTATGAATGCGAATTTGCTTCGTTGGCATAAGGATATTATCATATTAAGTCCTAGTTGTACCATATAATGAATGAAATTCCATATATTTTCGCAAGTATCGAAACTTCGATACTTAGATATCTACTCATTTCGGTCTTACGGCTTGCTCGTTGATCTCGAATTGCTCATTGCTCACAATTCAAAACAACCAGGCGAAATAATTCGCATTTCGTTTGAAAATTTAGCCCGTGGAATTAGGGCTTTAGAGGGCTTCCAAACTTTGCACTATCCTTGGATCCCTAGTTATACGTTTTACGCTAACAAGCCATGTATCCCGTGATGACGTACGACGCAGCCACAGGTGGAATAGAATATATTTATTTATTGTGGTTGCATCTATTATTTAACAGGAAGCCTTTAGTTAGCATCTATTTACATAAGCTTTACAAGAAAATTTCTATATTTTACACAATACAAACAAACTTTGAACGCAATTACTGAGGTTGTGACTTGGAGAAAGAATTTAAAAGTTGTTTGTTATGAACAGCGCGCTTATATATAAAGGAATTTTACTAAATCCCGATAATGTACGTGTTGGGGATGATTAATTAATTTTCAATTGCTTTATAGATCCTGAAGTTATTTCAGCGAATTATCGCCGGATTGTTAGGCAAGGAGACTTTAAGTTCATTCTTGGTAAAAGTGTCCCTGTACCAGCAATGAATACAGAAGAAAAAATCACGGATGAATTTATTGAAGTTGAATATTTGCTCAAAAATAAGAAGAGCGTTAAAGAAATCTTGGCCTGTCCAGCATGAACATTTGGTAAAACGAAAGGCAGAAAAACAACCAGGAATACCGTTAAATATTTTAATCATTGGTGTAGATTCGCTTTCTCATGCAAATGCACAGCGAAGACTGCCTAACGTATATAAATATCTCAAAAACGAACTTGGAGCGATGTTTTTTAATGGACACTCGATAGTAGGAGACGGCACCACAGAACATTTGACCGCTATGATTGTTAACTGGACAAGGAGAACTTGAACAATATGAATCAAGACGCCATCACAAAAACCCCAAGCCTGTAGATGGATGGTCTTGGATATATAAGCAACTTAAAGGTAATAAATTTTTGGTTTTTATTTTTTATTTCTGTATTCGTTAAGGAGTTTATGCCATGCACGTTCACACGGGAACAGACGAATCTGGACCGTGCTTGAATTCGTCCGATTCAAATGTTCCCACGGTAAAATAAACACAAATTTGTCAGGTTCTACGTGTTCACAAGAAAGCAAAAAGAACAGACGCGTGTATATCAGAGATGTAAAGGTTTCCCATGATCCAATTTTGTCGGGTTCAATTCACTGTATAGTCTGTTGACTTGCAAAGTATAAATGCAGCTGATCAACTAAAATCAATGCTTTACTGTGTTGTCAATAACAAAATACATTCCATATGTCGGAGAAGTGAATTGGATCCGATCGAGAAGTGGTCATGATCCAATGGGTTGAACTGTGAACATGATACTTCCAAATGAAGTTGGGCATGGTGCCCAAGACCAGGCACTACCAGAGGTAGTACTTGACAAGCACACTTTGCTCAGCATTTTTTATGGACCAGTTTTGACTTTGGGCACGGACACACAGTCTGATGGACTAAACGAAATATGCATGTGGAATGAATTTAAAGACATTGCATGGTTGAAAGAAGGTGAGTAAGCAGCAATTCTCAAATGATATATGCTTGTTTGAGAAAATTTTCCCATTATCCAGGTTCAAGAAATCCTTCATTTATATCTTCATCGGTAAAATACTTCCTAAAGCAAAGAAAGCGAACAATTAAAGCTAGAGACAGCGAAGCAAATATGCAGAAATCCATCTAATGCTGTGCGGATTGCGGAATACCATGCAGAGATGTAAACCAGGAACAAAAGATCGGTGCATGGTCTAATATAAAAATAAATATTTTGCTGATCCTAACGAAGTAAATAGTTTCATTTAGGAGGTAGACACCGATCCATATTACACATCCCAAAAAATTCCAGAGGAAACTAGAATCCCTATACGCCGCGTTAACAGTGCATGGTTTCTAAGTTAGTAAGTTTCTTCATAAAACTTCAATGGGTCCTGGTGGTTTACCTTAAATTTACCAGTTTTGGAAAGAGTTTAGGGTTGACCCCAGGCCCAACTATCACTGAAATATTCCGCTCATTTTGAAAAATGCTTGAAATACGTGGTACCATGATGCCTGAAGAATTCATATTAACTTAATATTGCTATATTAGCATCAAATGTCTTACTTAAGTTATTTTCATGGTGATTAGTATTTGCCAAGAAACATGGACTGAGCATTATACACAACTTTTTTATACACGCGACATTTATTACAACAACAACAACATTTGGAAGCAGGGCTCTCAATTTAAATATGCATGTATACAATATGCATATATATATATATGGATCAGGCCATCCAAACACGGAAATTTTGCGGAAATTTAAAAACAAATTTACTATGGTTTGTTATTTTATAAAACAATTACTTAATGGTTTCCGTGTTTGGATGAACTGATCCAAACACTTGGGAATGTTGCTCGAGTTTAGAAAAACTCTTTTCTAGAAGCGCTTTTCTAGATCATCCAAACACGGAAACCATTAATTAAGTAAGTAATTATTAAATACACAACTTTTTTATAAACGACATTTATTGTATACTCAACAACAACATTTGGAAGCAAGGCTCTCGATTTAAATATGCTTACTTTTTACCTGCACGAGGTTTCTGAGGGCCTAATTCCACGGTTTTTCTCGCCGAAATGCGAAATATTTCGCCTGTTTCTTTTGAATTTCGACTACTTGAATAAATTAATTCTGCTTCATTGCTCACAACTCAAAAGAAAGAGGCGAAATATTTCGCATTTGCTTGAAAATTTAGTCAGTGGAATTAGCGCTTTAGATCGCTGTTAAATTAGAAGGAGTTCAAGTTTGTTTGAATTTTTATTGAGTGTTTGATAATATGCAAATATATCACTTCTAAAGTATCATACTGAGCAAGTGGCTTGCATGATAAAGATGTTCTTTTGTGACGTGTTTATTATCTTGGCAGCAGTGTGTTTGTTTGAGCCTAAGAAAAGCTAAGTGGACAAGTTTAATTACTAAGTAAAGAGCTGAAGAGTTTGTTCAATAGTTCGTTTATTAATATGAAACTAAAAACTCGTTGCCAGGTATTGCTAACAGCAGTGGCCGTCATTACAATCTGCACAGCGATGTATTTTTTTCATAGTCGTCAGTCTACAAAGAAATGTCGTGATGTGTCTGAACATGGAGATCCTTGGATAATCAATTCGACGAAGGTCAGTATGAAGGCTCGGTGCTACCGTAAGCCAATAACATATGATTGATAGCTAATATCAATACATATTATGATGTCCTTCATAGGCCATTAACCATTTTAGGGCCTCCACAGACTAGGGATTTAGTTGTAGACAACTATTTGTGATCGACAACTAACAAACGTAGTCTGTCGCGCTAGTTGTCGACGGCCTCATTTTTTGGCGTTTTTTAAGTGTGTGAAAACTGAACAGTCAGTTTGTTTTATATCGACTACTTTTAATCTCCGCGCTATTTCGGTTGCTAAATTAGTATTTTAGCACCAGTCTGTGGAATCCTTTATCGGACGTATTTACTTGTCGATCACAAATTGTTGTCGACGACTAAATTTCTAGTCTGTGTCTGTGGAGGCCCTTACTCGAGTTGAAAAACCTTATTCTGATCGATACCCATGCAAAGCCGAATTTTGTTCCGATTAATCAAATGGATAAATGATGGCACCACAAAGCCGATTTCGTTCGGATTGATCAAATACCACGATGAGGTTGAATTTTGTTCAAATGGTTGCATTAGGGCCATTTAGTAATTAGCCTATTATACGAGCAAAAATAAGCCGGATTTGCCCAGGCTTTAAACTTTAAAGCTCGGCTAAAATAAACCGCGGCTAATTTAAGTCGCGAAGTTCTCGTATAAACGGCTTCGCGACCAAATATTAAATTAAACATTGCCATTGGTGTCCATACAGCATCGATCAACCTTACTGCCCTTCCTCAATTTGCAATGCAAAAACTGTTTCTGTAGGGTTAGAGGAATTATCTCCTCCAACATTATACAGGGTGTCTCAAAAAAAACGCAACCATGCACTTAAATATGCAAGAATATTAATATTGTTTGGGTTTGCACCATAGTTCAGCTAAAATGACTTTTAGCATTTTGAATGAAGGATTAAGAGCCATTTTCAATTCCCATGCAGAGGTGCTTATATCTATTTGGTTGCGTTTTTTTTGGGACACCCAAGCTGTATATTCACAATGGAGATTTGAAAACAAGGAATGAAGATTGGTGATGCACATCGCGTTAATGATTTTTATTGTCAATATTGAAATTGAATAAAATTCTTGTATTGTGAAATCATTTACTACATCAGAATACGTGATGAAAAGAATGCATCGGATATAGTTCTGGTAACTTTTTATCATAGGCAGGCTAAGGGGCAGCCCGATCAATGTGGGCACCGTATACTATCTTAGGCCTAGGTTATACGTCGCATGTTGGTCGTGTCAAATGCAATTCAAACAAGAGATAATAAGATGATTGTGTTGTATATATATAGTCATTGTGTTTTACATACACGTATATATACATAATATCTCTCCTTTGTACATATCGTTTCGTTTTCATTAACTGTGTTATGTAGCTTTTTTTGTATTTACGCGAGGTAGGAGATCTTTACAACTTTTACTAAAGTTCACTAATGTTCTCTTCTTTCTCCGTTCTTCTCTTCTCTTCGGATTATTCGTCCTTTCGGACCTCGTTGTTTTCTGTTCTCGTCTTGGCTGTCTGTTCTGTCAGGTTGAGCTTCTCCAACGTTTCATACACTTTTTTACTCCGCTAGTCCACTCCTTTTAGTCCACTCTCGTGTTTAGTCCACTGACTGTTCTGTTGCTGTGCGCCTCCTTTTATAATAAAATTTGAGGGGATCTTGAAGACGCCCTGTGCAAGGTGGTGTGATTCACACAATCCAATCAGCGTTGTAGGTTGTAAGTGTGGGTTGGCGTTAGAAGCTCGGTCCAGCTCTCATACTTTGTTTACTTAAGGCCGGTGACGCACTAGTCAAGTTGGTCTTTTACTTAATCGATCACTGTTAAAACTTGTTTACAACTTAAAATATTTATCATCAACTTAAAGTACAATTATCAACTTATTACTCTGTAAACCGTATATCTTAACTTATAACCTATTTTACAAATAATTTCATCGAATTAAGCTTTTAGTGACGTAAGGCTTCAAGTGCTTAACCGAACAAAATATAACAAAGAAATGATTGACATAAACTAGTATCCGCCTAGAACTTATGTTCTTGAGTCGTGACACTTGTACTTTGTACGACATACTATTGTTTCGGAGGAAATCCCATGGGCTGTGACCTCATGACAGGAAAAGTAATTTTTGTGATTCCGAAGGGTCATAATAATATTTACTGTACACTTCATTTTATGTGACATGTTCCACAAGTAATTTCCTCATCTATATTGACCTTCTATTTCTTAACAATACTAAATTACATTATATATACGTATTTCGTAACAACTGTGTTACACCAAAGTTATACTTCCATATTGAAAATGAAGCTATTTACATCAAAATATTTCAGTTTATTTGTTCAATAAAGAGATAATTTTGTTTTCCATTTTGTGATTTTTGAACTTATCCGCCGTTTAAGCTAAACCGGTCTCTGAACGCTCGCTTGCTTACGTACCGAACGCGAACATGGAATCTGCTTGCATGAGATGTTATTACTCTGGACTGTGGCATGTCACAAATTTTATATTTCACATTTAATTCACTACTCGAGGAAACGGTATATAGCTTACTCACTAACTTTCTAAGATCGTCGTGCATGTAGCTCTGTGCGAATGTATCCCAGTTTTAAATCATGGTATACTTGCTTGAATATATTACGAAAATATTTCTATTCCCGAAAGTACTGAAGTGAATGGAACGGAATATTTCGCTCAATTCTCTTTTCAATTGTGAAATTAAACCGAAGCAGATTCACTTGATAGATTACAATTGAAAATCAAGCGAAAAATTTTCTTCGATCGAAGTGATTTATCTGATGTACAGGGTGTCCCAAAAAAAAGTCCCCGCTATTGAAATGAAGCTTTTGTTGGAATTTGAATGCATGATCAACGCAGTAGTGTGTAAATAGCATATTTATTAGGTTGAGGCATTCAAATAAAGCGTCTTGCTTTCAATTGGGTTTATCATAATATTAAGGCAATCAGATTCGAACAAAGGCTTGATTTCAATAGAGGGGACATTTTTTTGGGACACCCTGTAGTAGAAAACCGGCCTAACACCTAAAACACGGCGTTAACGTGTTTAATTAACTCCAAAAATGGAGTTATGTTTTAAATCCCAAATTGAAGTTAAATTAACTCCAAAAGCGGTGTTAAATTATAACACCAGAAGTGGAGTTATTTGTTACTCCAAAAAGCTACTCATTTTGAAACTTTTTTTAACCCTTTTTTAGTGTTAAAATAATGTGTAAACGGGGTCTTAGGGGCTGTTTACATGAGCCCGGTTACCCGAGATTCAACGAAGCGTGAGAGGACTTTGAGGTATTGAAATAAGTCTTTAAGACACCAAACAAGCACATGCCATTGTTTGGTGATTATACGACTGCCTGAGGATCATGTTATCTGTTCATTTCAATACCTCAATATCATCTCACGCTTCGTTGAATCTCGAGTAACCGGGCTCATGTAAACAGCCTCTTAAATCGGATTCACGTGGTCACCACATAGTGACGATCTGTGTGTCGTGCACTGTGTGTCGTCACAATGAAGAATTTATTTTTCAGGCACCATTGTTACCAGTTCCTAAAGATATAGAAATGACAGTTGGCCCTGAAGAATGGATAAGTAGGACAATTAATGATCCAAATGTAAAGTTGGTAAAACTGACCTAAAACTAACCTTAATACTTCATTATCATTTTGATTCGCTCACATTCAATTTACACATCATAGTTTATTTTAGTTTATTAAATAGTATTCAGTGTTTTATTGGCGAATCCGCCATTGTGAAAAGCGATAATAACACATGTGCAATTATCGTGTTTGATCCACCAATCAGAAGTCAGGTATTCGTGCCCTGGGGCTAGTTGTTCAACGGTTTAGCGCTAACGCTGGGTTGAACCTAGTTTATGTGCTTCTGAACTACCGTTCATTTTAAAACTTTTTGAAAATGTTAATTCCATCGGTTTAGAGAATATTTATGAAAAAATTAATTCAACTTTTAAACAAGCGATTGAAAAAATTAATGTAAAGTCCAAGATTTGTTTTAACCCAGGGTTAAACGGCCCCTGGGGATAAAAAACTTTCAAAAAACCCGTTTTTTATTATATAATAAACTGAAACAAAAATACATGGATGCTTAATATGCTCAATATTGCTTAATATGCTTAATATGCTCAATATTATTCTCAACACTTCGCGCGTCCATGTATTTTCTCCATGTACTTGTCTTAAGTATGGAGAGTAAAACGTTATAGTTTTCTAAACTTCACTGATATTTTAATATTTTATTGTAATAGCAAGAATGTCCATCATTGCTTCAATTAAAAAAGAACGATTCAGATCTTGCTTGTCGGTTACCAGAGATTGATCCATTCCATCCATCAATAATGAAGTTATTCTCTGATGTGGCAAACCCTAACTGTGCGAAGCACAAATCCTATGGAAAATTAGTAAATGGTAAAATACAATTCTTAGGTAAGCATCTCCTTTACAAATTAAGTACTCTCCTTCGCATTCAAGTGAAATGAAACCCCTGATGCGTAAGACATCTCTTATACTCTTCGAATGGCGGGCCGGGCAGTTAAGAACCCTCAAAATAAGGAAGGAATTAATGTCACTAGGTCTTGAAATAATTACAGTTGAGATATCTCTTAACCTAAATCAAAACCCTTTTTGATTGAAAACCTGATTCCCTGATAGAAAATTTTATTAACTACGAGGAGCTCGCCGGAGTGAACTGGGTACAGTGCATGTGTGGGATGAATAGAAATATTTGACACAGCTATAAATGCAGGTGTATTCTGGAACGATTTTCACCCCAATATAAAAAGCAGGATGCAGGACAGATCGCAGCCTTTCATGTTTTTCACGTATCAATCAACAGCTGGAAACGTATTCAGAGAAAAACAAAATTTCACATTGCACTCTCATTCTTAATCATAACAAATCAGTGGTTTATTAACATGGACATTGGAAATTTGAACTTTGAACAGTGTTATCTTTCTTTTCCTTCACCTAAAAAAGGAATTTTACTAAATCCCGATAATGTACGTGTTGGGGATGATTAATTAATTTTCAATTGCTTTATAGATCCTGAAGTTATTTCAGCGAATTATCGTCGGATTATTAGGCAAGGAGACTTTAAGTTCATTCTTGGTAAAAGTGTCCCTGTACCAGCAATGAATACAGAAGAAAAAATCACGGATGAATTTATTGAAGTTGAATATTTGCTCAAAAATAAGAAGAACGTTAAAGAAATCTTTCTCCAGCCTGTCCCGCATGAGCATTTGGTAAAACGAAAGGCAGAAAAACAACCAGGAATACCGTTAAATATTTTAATCATTGGTGTAGATTCACTTTCTCATGCAAATACACAGCGAAGACTGCCTAACGTATATAAATATCTCAAAAACGAACTTGGAGCGATGTTTTTTAATGGACACTCGATAGTGGGGGACGGCACCACAGAGCAATTGACCGCTATGTTAACTGGACAAGGAGAACTTGAACAATATGAATCAAGACGCCATCACAAAAACCCCAAGCCTGTAGATGGATGGTCTTGGATATATAAGCAACTTAAAGGTAATACATTTTTGGGGGTTATTTTTTATTTCTGTATTCGTTAATCCTAGGTCGTTAATCATATACTCACACAACCACTGGAGTTACAGTGGAGTAACTAGAACGATAATTGCGGGGGTTTTATTCATATATTCAGTTCTGCCGGCGGATTTTTTTTGTAAGTGAAATAGCTTACTCACACAATCAATGCGCCCCAGTGCAACCTCGTGCCCAGTGTCTTTCGTAGGACCATGACCTGGGACTGGGTACGAGGTTGCGCCAAGTGATGTCTTAACTTGAATTTCTGGATAAAACCGGATAAAAACTTGCTTGGTAATTTAAACAATCTCCTTCCGAGCCCGCGAACCTTTAGCGAAGAAACAAAGCCCTGGGATAGAGGTATGGGATAGTCGAAATCAGAAATGATTCTGATTGGTCATTGACGTCGTATGAAATGTTGTATTCCTGATGGGGAGAATGCACTGGTCTTACTATTGTATCTTTTGATTCAATTGTTTAGAACGAGGTTATGTAACTGGTTACTCTGGTGACTGGCCAATTATTGGTCCATGGCAGTATAGACTAATGGGATTCGAAAATCCGCCCACAGATTTCTATACCAGGCCATTTTTTTCTATGGCTGAAAAATTTGTAAAAACAAAAGACCAGTGCTTAGCTTCAAAAACTATATCAAATGTTCAGTTTGATTATATCCAAGAAGTGTTTGATGTGTTCAAAAATCAATTGAAGTTTTTTTTCTCATTTAACGGTAAGGTGAGGCCTGCAGCTCCTTCGAGGTCCAACCTCGTTCCCAGGGTCCCCTGCACGTTTTGAACATTTCTTCAATAGCTTATCTACTTACTCATTTTTTGTTGTTTTTTCTAGTACGTTACTCTCACAATTCCAACAGTGAAACATCGAAGATTGAACCAGATTTATTATCACTTTTAAAAGGTTTAAAACAAAATAATCATCTCAACAACACATTACTTATAATCATGGGGGACCATGGCACTCGATATGGCAAAATACGAACTTTGGTGCAAGGAAAACTCGAAGAAAGACTTCCACTTTATACAATGGCATTTCCAAAATGGTTTCTCAGAGAATATCCAGAGATTTCCAAGAATCTAAAACTAAACACAAACCGTTTGACGTCATGGTATGACGTATACGCCACTTTCCGTCACATGCTCAGTTATCCTGAGGTCCCTGCTGATATAAAACACGGTCAAAGCTTGTTGATAGAAGTTCCCATATCACGCACATGTTCTCAGGCTAACGTTGAGGAACATTGGTGTCCATGCTTAGAATGGGTAGATGTAAATCTTGGACATAGTCACCTGAATAATTCAGCTCTTGCAGCAGTGGAGTTCATGAACAATGCTAACCTGGAACACAAAAAGAGTGCTGAAAACTGTCAAAAATTATCACTAAAGAATATAAACTACGCGCTATTCGAACGACCAAATGATAAAGTCTTGTCATTTAAGCAAACAAACGATTTGAAAGCTGCGTTTAGTGACAAGTCACGTCCAAATCACAAGGATTTTTGTCGCTATCAAGTACAATTTACGACGATACCAAATAATGGAATATATGAAGCAACCGTACGCTATCATAAAGATTGGTTTATTGTAAGCAAGGCTATTAGCAGAGTGAACAAATACGGGAGTCAACCAGAATGCATTGCAAGAGATCTTCCGCATTTAAGAAAATATTGCATGTGCAAAAGAACTGATGTGCGCGAAATGTGTTTCTAACTATTGACACAATTTCTAAATAGGCATTTTTTATTTATTACTCGGTTTTGTTTTGTTATTGTCTTTTTTTGTGTGTGTGTTTTGGCGCAGCTTTGTACCCTGCGGAAGGCCAGAAGGAACAGAGCCCCATTCAGAGTAGCAACCTTCGGCCAATTTCACTGTTTGTGATCTATTAGACAGAAAGTCAATTATCTTTTTATTTAAATTGAATAGAATTTACGCCGTTGGTATAAGTTGTCTTTTTTTAATGAGAATATAGTCTTCGATTCATTCATGGGGTATCTGTTGAATGCGAATTTGCTTCGTTGGCATAAGGATATTATCATATTAAGTCCTAGTTGTACCATATAATGAATGAAATTCTATATATTTTCGCAAGTATCGAAGGAGGTAAATAGGGAGGACCAGTCTATCATACTCAGATATCTATACTCATTTCGGTCTTACGGCTTGCTCGTTGATCTCAAATTGCTCATTGTTCACAATTCAAAAGAACCAGGCGAAATAATTCGCATTTCGTTTGAAAATTTAGCCCGTGGAATTAGCCCTTTAGACCCCGTTTACACTAGAACGAAAGTTTCCGGATTTGTAAAAGTTTCTGGATTCATTGTTACACACATGTATCGGATTCGTCAGGGGCCGGTTGTATGAAAGCCGGATAGCGCTATCCACCAGATAGTGGCTATTAAAGCGTTTACACAAGAAAATTTTCCGGATTCAAATGTTTCTGGATACGAAGTTTCCACAAACTTTTACGGATTCAAAGTTTCCGGATACGGCTTAAAACCGAGTACATTTTCTATCGGATTCGTTGCTGCATGTGTAAACAGCAACATGATCCGGTTGATCCGGTACTAAAACATTCCGCTTTCGTGATGAATCCGGAAACTTTCGTTCTAGTGTAAACAGGGTCTTAGAGTTAGAGGGCTTCCAAACTTTGCACTATCCTTGGACCTTAAGTTATGAGTTTTACGCCAACAAGCCATGTATCCCGTGATGACGTACGACGCAGTCACAGGTGGAATAGAATATTTATTTATTGTGGTTGCATCTATTATTTGACAGGAAGAGGAAGCCTTTAGTTGGCAGCTATTTACAAGGAAGCTTTACAAGAAATTTTCTATATTTTGCACAATACAAACAAACTTTGAACGCAACAAGTCAACAACTTGAGGTTGTGACTTGTGAGGAAACTTGAAGAAAGATATGAAGCTAAAAGGTCGTTGTCTGGCGTCGCTAACAGCGGCGCTTGTTACTACAATATTCACAGCGATGTATTTACTTGATAGGAAAAAATGTCATATTGTATTTGAAAATCAAGATCCTCAAGCAATGAAGGTCAGTATGAAAGCTAGCATGAAACCATCGGTACATAAATATTGTATTACAAATACAATTCTGAATTCTATAAATTATATCCAAAGCATGTGAAGGTGAGGTTATAAACCGTAAACAAATGCTGTGTGTGATTTAAAGTCGCTATATTTTTAAAATTATCAAAAGCAGTCAGAATATTTCACGCAATTTTGGTTCGTTATAGTTCTATATTAATATCAGCTGGATTTTATGTTCAGAAAAAACGAAGCATGGTAAATATTTTCAATTTTAAGTCAAGAAGTCTGACCATTCTTAAGTATCCGTAAACATGACGCCGATGTTTTGGCGTGGGCGTGCCGCCGGCCGCGCACGTCCCAGTCTTCAATATAAAGCTTCTGAATGCTCCTGAATAATCTCCTGAATTCTTCTGAACATTTCTGAACATAAACAATACAGTTCATATCACTGATTCATACTCATTTACAGTCGTGCCAATGGAAGCGTTCCGAAAAATGTTGACCAAACACATCTGAATAATTACTCAACAATTTGAAAAGTTCTTAAAAAAGTGCCTAACTTCCTAGTATTTCATTGACCAATCACCAATCAGATTGCTCAATCAAATAAAATATAAAATTTGATTGGAACAGGAACGCTTCTATTGTCACGACGGTAGATGCCTTGCGAAACTAAATGTTGTTCAATCGCGACATTCAGAAGCACATCCGCCACATCGTACTTTAAAAAGTGTAGAAGTTATATTGTTCAAAAATGTAAATAAACCGCATGATACGTTCACACTTTGGAATTCGCGCTTATATTAAATCTTCAATCCTGTGCAAACTACGCGACGTGCCAACGCGCCCATACACGACCACATCTTGTTAGACGGCGAAATAGCGGCGATATTATTAAAATAAGACCAGAATCTATATGTAATAAATATATTCTTACCCCAATTAATCGAACAGCATCAAAAGAACGGTTTATTTGTTCCTCTTTGAGGAAATTAAATAAAAAAGTGGTAATTTCCTAAAACAACCTTTCTATGTATGAATATTAAACAATAACCGCTATAATTTATAAGGCTGAACTGAGCGTCCATCGAGACTTTAGCTGAGCTGTTCCTCAAGTGTGCGGTGTCGTATTCTCCGTTTTATGGCAAAGTCGGATATTCAACATGTTGAATACTTTTGTGCACGAGTGATCATTTTCTCACAGTTTGCGCGCGTGATGAGCTATCGGCTCAGCCAGGGCGTGCTAAAACACGTGTTTTACTACGCCCTGGCTCAGCAGTTGGAGCGAATGCGCGTATATGTACTTTTCATATTTTTAAAGTGGGTGCAAAATAACTCAATAGTTGCCGAATCAGTACTGGAAAACAAATTAGCGAATTTATCCCTGTCTGTACGAGGTAAGGTGTCCTGAGTGACCCTCATTTACTCATTTTCCGATGCCGTTAAGTGAATGATTTGATGACCACTCTTAATTCATTTTACGCGAGTTTCATTCGCTCCAACTGCTGAGCCGTAGCTCAGGACGCGCGCACACTGTGAGGAAATGTTCACTCGTTCTGTGAAGGTATGAACGTAATAAACCAGGGTATGAAAAAGTATTTTTATAGAGGAAATATATTTTGTATATTGGTTAGGAGGTTAATTCAGTAAAGGTATTGGTTAGTTATTAAACGTTTGTGCACAGTCATTGCACAAAAACTTGATATGCGTCCGGCGTAGCGCATACCTAATTTTAGTGTGCAGTGAAAAAAGTAAAATGTGCAGTAATAAATGGTATTTTCTCAACAGACCTCACTCACTCACTGCTGAGATGGATGCTGGAAATCAAGTCTTAGAGACTCGAAAATACAAAAAATTTTCTGCAAGAGGTCCTGCAGACCACCTACAATTCCCCCATCTTTAAGTTACCAATTTCCAGTTAGGACCATTTTTATCATGTCCCCCCTCTCCACTATACTATTGTTATGATATGTGCAGTGATAAAAAACCTTAAAATTAGCTACGCCGTAGCGTTTTCACCAAGAAAAATGTTTGTACCATGCATGCTAAAATTTAAATATTTTTACATGAAATGAATAATTATGTTTGAAAATAAATATACTTGTCTTGGTGTAAGCGATTTCTTTCACAAATTTTCTGTCCGTTATTTGCATAATTTATTACAGCTAGAATTTCTCGTTGGTTTAGAAAGATGAAAGTCGAAACAAAAATGTCGTTGATAATACATCGTCATCGGTAAGTAGCTTTATATTTTCACGATACTAGGCCGAAATACATCATGTTTCGCTGTAGGATGCGGTTTATGTGCATGGAAAATCAGAACTTCTTTAAGGTTTGGAGGAACTGAAATGAAACCTTCAATCAAAATTCAGTTCGTACCAAGCCTTGTGTACAAAATATTGTGTAGTGTTTTGTTTCCTATATTACTTGCGTAATTGTTTACTATGTTTATTTGTCAATATCATTTGGTGTTTATAAGAGTAAGCAATGTCGACAATAAAGTTTTTTTATTATAGGCACCATTGTTACTAGTTCCTAAAGATATAGAAATGACAGTTGGCCCTGAAGAATGGATAAGCAGGACAATAATTGATCCGAAGGTAAAGTTATTGAAATAGATATAATGGTAAAGATTAAGATGGTTAAAGCGTAACGTTATGCTGGTAAACAACTGTGGATAACAAAAGCTGATCATTATAAAAAGTAAAAAAACTAAAGCTTCGTTTACACTTGAAATTTTTGCTGTTATTTTATCCTTTTGAGTAAAGTAAGTTACGAATGTACAAATAAGGACATTTATGCATTGAAATTTTCATGCTTTCTCCTTTTTTATAGTATTGAGGTTCTTTTCGTAATTAAATACGTCATATCACTGCATATAAGATCGTTGTTATACCATTTAACAATTAGACAACGAGTCCGAGTTGTCTATGAGCGGATAGTCAACGAAGGCGAGTTGTCTAATTGTTTTAGTATACACCCTGTACCTGTAGATATATTAATTTCAAGAAAATAATCGATACACCGCAATTACACCGAAAAATAATTTAATTAATTCAATTTTATACGGTCGCGCGAGCGAATTTTTCCCAAACGTTCACCATCACGAATAGACAATGGTTGAGTAGCCAATCAGAATTTAGATTTGTAATAGACAATAGTCGGGTGTATACTAATTGTGATTATAGTCTGACGATTTTGAAAATAATCGAGACGTTACAACCTGAATGCCTGGAACTCCCAACAATACCCACGTGGCATTGGCGTGTTAACTGAGCGAATAAACCAATTTTGAAAAATACTAATCTTGTTCTTTTCTTAAAACATAGACCTCGCACGCGCTTTTCAGTGATGTTACGGTATAGTTTTCTAAACTTCACTGATATTTTAATATTTTATTGTAATAGCGAGAATGTCCATCATTACTACAATTAAAAAAGAACGATTCAGATCTTGCTTGTCGGTTACCAGAGATTGATCCATTCCATCCAGCAATAATGAAGTTATTCTCTGATGTGGCAAACCCTAACTGTGCGAAGCATAAATCCTATGGAAAATTAGTAAATGGTAAAATACAATTCTTAGGTAAGCATCTCCTTTACAAATTAAGTTCTCCCTTTCGTATTCAAGTGAAATGAAACCCCTGATGCGTAAGACATCTCTTACACTCTTAGAATGGCGGGCTGGGCAGTTAAGAACCCTTAAAATAAGGAAGGAATTATTATTTCATTTGATCTTGAAATAACGCGCTGGAAATTTTAGATCTCGTAATCCTTGCTGACCAATGATATAATGAGAAAGATTAATGATATTTGATAGTTAGAATGGGGATTTAATAAATCCGTACATATCATACTGTAATTTCATCTGTACAGAACATTAACTTGTAATAAATTGCTTTATAGATCCTGAAGTTATTTCAGCAAATTATCGCGGGATTATTAGGCAAGGAGACTTTAAGTTCATTCTTGGTAAAAGTGTCCCTGTACCAGCAATGAATACAGAAGAAAAAATCACGGATGAATTTATTGAAGTTGAATATTTGCTCAAAAATAAGAAGAACGTTAAAGAAATCTTTCTCCAGCCTGTCCCGCATGAACATTTGGTAAAACGAAAGGCAGAAAAACAACTAGGAATACCGTTAAATATTTTAATCATTGGTGTAGATTCACTTTCTCATGCAAATACACAGCGAAGACTGCCTAACGTATATAAATATCTCAAAAACGAACTTGGAGCGATGTTTTTTAAAGGACACTCGATAGTAGGGGACGGCACCACAGAACAATTGACCGCTATGTTAACTGGACAAGGAGAACTTGAACAATATGAATCAAGACGCCATCACAAAAACCCCAAGCCTGTAGATGGATGGTCTTGGATATATAAGCAACTTAAAGGTAATAAATTTTTGGGGGTTGTTTTCTTTTTCTGTATTCGTTAATCCTAGGTCGTTAATCATACTCACACAATCACTGAAATCATCAGTGGAGTAACTAGAACGATAATTGCGGGGGCGGTGGGCGTGTTATTCATATATCCAGTTCTGCCGACGGATTTCTTTTGTAATTTTTTACTCACACAACCACTGAAACCATCCCGGTTCTTTCTGTGCCTAGTGCAACTCGTGCCCAGTTCTTTCGAACCATGACAGTAAATACCATGACCATAAATATCCTGTGTACGAGTTGCGCCCAGTGATGTCTTAAAACCTGGGACATAAAAACTTGCTTGGTAGTTTAAACAATCCCTTCCCGAGCCCGCGAACCTTTAGTGAAGAACAATAGTCCCTGAATTCTGATGGTCATTGACGCCGTAGAAATTGATTTGTATCCTGGTGGGAGAATGCACTGGTCTTACTATTTTATCTTTGATTCAATTATTTAGAACGAGGTTATGTAACTGGTTACTCTGGTGACTGGCCAAAGATTGGTCCATGCAGTATAGACTAATGGGATTCGAAATCCGCCACAGATTTCTATACCAGGCCATTTTTTTCTATGGCTGAAAAATTGCTAAAAGAAGAAGACCAGTGCTTAGCTTCAAAAACTATATCAAATGTTCAGTTTGATTATATCCAAGAAGTGTTTTGATGTGTTCAAAAATCAATTGAAGTTTTTTTTCTCATTTAACGGTAAGGTGAGGCCTGCAGCTCCTTCGAAGTCCAAACTCGTTCCCAGGGTCCCCTGCACGTTTGAACATTTCTTCAATAGCTTATCTACTTACTCATTTGTTTTTTCTAGTACGTTACTCTCACAATTCCAACAGTGAAGCATCGAAGATTGAACCAGATTTATTATCACTTCTAAAAGGTTTAAAACAAAATAATCATCTCAACAACACATTACTTATAATCATGGGGGACCATGGCACTCGATATGGCAAAATACGAACTTTGGTGCAAGGAAAACTCGAAGAAAGACTTCCACTTTATTCAATGGCATTTCCAAAATGGTTTCTCAGAGAATATCCAGAGATTTCCAAGAATCTAAAACTAAACACAAATCGTTTGACGTCATGGTATGACGTATACGCCACTTTCCGTCACATGCTCAGTTATCCTGAGGTCCCTGCTGATATAAAACACGGTCAAAGCTTGTTGATAGAAGTTCCCATATCACGCACATGTTCTCAGGCTAACGTTGAGGAACATTGGTGTCCATGCTTAGAATGGGTAGATGTAAATCTTGGACATAGTCACCTGAATAATTCAGCTCTTGCAGCAGTGGAGTTCATGAACAATGCTAACCTGGAACACAAAAAGAGTGCTGAAAACTGTCAAAAATTATCACTAAAGAATATAAACTACGCCCTATTCGAACGACCAAATGAAAAAGTCCTGTCATTTAAGGAAACAAACGATTTGAAAGCTGCGTTTAGTGACAAGTCACGTCCAAATAACAAGGATTTTTGTCGCTATCAAGTACAATTTACGACGATACCAAATAATGGAATATATGAAGCAACCGTACGCTATCATAAAGATTGGTTTATTGTAAGCAAGGCTATTAGCAGAGTGAACAAATACGGGAGTCAACCAGAATGCATTGCAAGAGATCTTCCGCATTTAAGAAAATATTGCATGTGCAAAAGAACTGATGTGCGCGAAATGTGTTTCTAACTATTGACACAATTTCTAAATAGGCATTTTTTATTTATTACTCGGTTTTGTTTTGTTATTGTCTTTTTTTGTGTGTGTGTTTTGGCGCAGCTTTGTACCCTGCGGAAGGCCAGAAGGAACAGAGCCCCATTCAGAGTAGCAACCTTCGGCCAATTTCACTGTTTGTGATCTATTAGACAGAAAGTCAATTATCTTTTTATTTAAATTGAATAGAATTTACGCCGTTGGTATAAGTTGTCTTTTTTAATGAGAATATAGTCTTCGATTCATTCATGGGGTATCTGTTGAATGCGAATTTGCTTCGTTGGCATAAGGATATTATCATATTAAGTCCTAGTTGTACCATATAATGGAAATTCTATATATTTTCGCAAGTATCGAAGGAGGTAAATAGGGAGGACCAGTCTATCATACTCAGATATCTATACTCATTTCGGTCTTACGGCTTGCTCGTTGATCTCAAATTGCTCATTGTTCACAATTCAAAAGAACCAGGCGAAATAATTCGCATTTCGTTTGAAAATTTAGCCCGTGGAATTAGCCCTTTAGACCCCGTTTACACTAGAACGAAAGTTTCCGGATTTGTAAAAGTTTCTGGATTCATTGTTACACACATGTATCGGATTCGTCAGGGGCCGGTTGTATGAAAGCCGGATAGCGCTATCCACCAGATAGTGGCTATTAAAGCGTTTACACAAGAAAATTTTCCGGATTCAAATGTTTCTGGATACGAAGTTTCCACAAACTTTTACGGATTCAAAGTTTCCGGATACGGCTTAAAACCGAGTACATTTTCTATCGGATTCGTTGCTGCATGTGTAAACAGCAACATGATCCGGTTGATCCGGTACTAAAACATTCCGCTTTCGTGATGAATCCGGAAACTTTCGTTCTAGTGTAAACAGGGTCTTAGAGTTAGAGGGCTTCCAAACTTTGCACTATCCTTGGACCTTAAGTTATGAGTTTTACGCCAACAAGCCATGTATCCCGTGATGACGTACGACGCAGTCACAGGTGGAATAGAATATATTTATTTATTGTGGTTGCATCTATTATTTGACAGGAAGAGGAAGCCTTTAGTTGGCAGCTATTTACAAGGAAGCTTTACAAGAAATTTTCTATATTTTGCACAATACAAACAAACTTTGAACGCAACAAGTCAACAACTTGAGGTTGTGACTTGTGAGGAAACTTGAAGAAAGATATGAAGCTAAAAGGTCGTTGTCTGGCGTCGCTAACAGCGGCGCTTGTTACTACAATATTCACAGCGATGTATTACTTGATAGGAAAAAATGTCATATTGTATTTGAAAATCAAGATCCTCAAGCAATGAAGGTCAGTATGAAAGCTAGCATGAAACCATCGGTACATAAATATTGTATTACAAATACAATTCTGAATTCTATAAATTATATCCAAAGCATGTGAAGGTGAGGTTATAAACCGTAAACAAATGCTGTGTGTGATTTAAAGTCGCTATATTTTTAAAATTATCAAAAGCAGTCAGAATATTTCACGCAATTTTGGTTCGTTATAGTTCTATATTAATATCAGCTGGATTTTATGTTCAGAAAAATACGAAGCATGGTAAATATTTTCAATTTTAAGTCAAGAAGTCTGACCATTCTTAAGTATCCGTAAACATGACGCCGATGTTTTGGCGTGGGCGTGCCGCCGGCCGCGCACGTCCCAGTCTTCAATATAAAGCTTCTGAATGCTCCTGAATAATCTCCTGAATTCTTCTGAACATTTCTGAACATAAACAATACAGTTCATATCACTGATTCATACTCATTTACAGTCGTGCCAATGGAAGCGTTCCGAAAAATGTTGACCAAACACATCTGAATAATTACTCAACAATTTGAAAAGTTCTTAAAAAAGTGCCTAACTTCCTAGTATTTCATTGACCAATCACCAATCAGATTGCTCAATCAAATAAAATATAAAATTTGATTGGAACAGGAACGCTTCTATTGTCACGACGGTAGATGCCTTGCGAAACTAAATGTTGTTCAATCGCGACATTCAGAAGCACATCCGCCACATCGTACTTTAAAAAGTGTAGAAGTTATATTGTTCAAAAATGTAAATAAACCGCATGATACGTTCACACTTTGGAATTCGCGCTTATATTAAATCTTCAATCCTGTGCAAACTACGCGACGTGCCAACGCGCCCATACACGACCACATCTTGTTAGACGGCGAAATAGCGGCGATATTATTAAAATAAGACCAGAATCTATATGTAATAAATATATTCTTACCCCAATTAATCGAACAGCATCAAAAGAACGGTTTATTTGTTCTCTTTGAGGAAATTAAATAAAAAAGTGGTAATTTCCTAAAACAACCTTTCTATGTATGAATATTAAACAATAACCGCTATAATTTATAAGGCTGAACTGAGCGTCCATCGAGACTTTAGCTGAGCTGTTCCTCAAGTGTGCGGTGTCGTATTCTCCGTTTTATGGCAAAGTCGGATATTCAACATGTTGAATACTTTTGTGCACGAGTGATCATTTTCTCACAGTTTGCGCGCGTGATGAGCTATCGGCTCAGCCAGGGCGTGCTAAAACACGTGTTTTACTACGCCCTGGCTCAGCAGTTGGAGCGAATGCGCGTATATGTACTTTTCATATTTTAAAGTGGGTGCAAAATAACTCAATAGTTGCCGAATCAGTACTGGAAAACAAATTAGCGAATTTATCCCTGTCTGTACGAGGTAAGGTGTCCTGAGTGACCCTCATTTACTCATTTTTCCGATGCCGTTAAGTGAATGATTTGATGACCACTCTTAATTCATTTTACGCGAGTTTCATTCGCTCCAACTGCTGAGCCGATAGCTCAGGACGCGCGCACACTGTGAGGAAATGTTCACTCGTTCTGTGAAGGTATGAACGTAATAAACCAGGGTATGAAAAAGTATTTTTATAGAGGAAATATATTTTGTATATTGGTTAGGAGGTTAATTCAGTAAAGGTATTGGTTAGTTATTAAACGTTTGTGCACAGTCATTGCACAAAAACTTGATATGCGTCCGGCGTAGCGCATACCTAATTTTAGTGTGCAGTGAAAAAAGTAAAATGTGCAGTAATAAATGGTATTTTCTCAACAGACCTCACTCACTCACTGCTGAGATGGATGCTGGAAATCAAGTCTTAGAGACTCGAAAATACAAAAAATTTTCTGCAAGAGGTCCTGCAGACCACCTACAATTCCCCCATCTTTAAGTTACCAATTTCCAGTTAGGACCATTTTTATCATGTCCCCCCTCTCCACTATACTATTGTTATGATATGTGCAGTGATAAAAAACCTTAAAATTAGCTACGCCGTAGCGTTTTCACCAAGAAAAATGTTTGTACCATGCATGCTAAAATTTAAATATTTTTACATGAAATGAATAATTATGTTTGAAAATAAATATACTTGTCTTGGTGTAAGCGATTTCTTTCACAAATTTTCTGTCCGTTATTTGCATAATTTATTACAGCTAGAATTTCTCGTTGGTTTAGAAAGATGAAAGTCGAAACAAAAATGTCGTTGATAATACATCGTCATCGGTAAGTAGCTTTATATTTTCACGATACTAGGCCGAAATACATCATGTTTCGCTGTAGGATGCGGTTTATGTGCATGGAAAATCAGAACTTCTTTAAGGTTTGGAGGAACTGAAATGAAACCTTCAATCAAAATTCAGTTCGTACCAAGCCTTGTGTACAAAATATTGTGTAGTGTTTTGTTTCCTATATTACTTGCGTAATTGTTTACTATGTTTATTTGTCAATATCATTTGGTGTTTATAAGAGTAAGCAATGTCGACAATAAAGTTTTTTTATTATAGGCACCATTGTTACTAGTTCCTAAAGATATAGAAATGACAGTTGGCCCTGAAGAATGGATAAGCAGGACAATAATTGATCCGAAGGTAAAGTTATTGAAATAGATATAATGGTAAAGATTAAGATGGTTAAAGCGTAACGTTATGCTGGTAAACAACTGTGGATAACAAAAGCTGATCATTATAAAAAGTAAAAAAACTAAAGCTTCGTTTACACTTGAAATTTTTGCTGTTATTTTATCCTTTTGAGTAAAGTAAGTTACGAATGTACAGATAAGGACATTTATGCATTGAAATTTTCATGCTTTCTCCTTTTTTATAGTATTGAGGTTCTTTTCGTAATTAAATACGTCATATCACTGCATATAAGATCGTTGTTATACCATTTAACAATTAGACAACGAGTCCGAGTTGTCTATGAGCGGATAGTCAACGAAGGCGAGTTGTCTAATTGTTTTAGTATACACCCTGTACCTGTAGATATATTAATTTCAAGAAAATAATCGATACACCGCAATTACACCGAAAAATAATTTAATTAATTCAATTTTATACGGTCGCGCGAGCGAATTTTTCCCAAACGTTCACCATCACGAATAGACAATGGTTGAGTAGCCAATCAGAATTTAGATTTGTAATAGACAATAGTCGGGTGTATACTAATTGTGATTATAGTCTGACGATTTTGAAATAAAATCGAGACGTTACAACCTGAATGCCTGGAACTCCCAACAATACCCACGTGGCATTGGCGTGTTAACTGAGCGAATAAACCAATTTTGAAAAATACTAATCTTGTTCTTTTCTTAAAACATAGACCTCGCACGCGCTTTTCAGTGATGTTACGGTATAGTTTTCTAAACTTCACTGATATTTTAATATTTTATTGTAATAGCGAGAATGTCCATCATTAAACAATTAAGAACGATTCAGATCTTGCTTGTCGGTTACCAGAGATTGATCCATTCCATCCAGCAATAATGAAGTTATTCTCTGATGTGGCAAACCCTAACTGTGCGAAGCATAAATCCTATGGAAAATTAGTAAATGGTAAAATACAATTCTTAGGTAAGCATCTCCTTTACAAATTAAGTTCTCCCTTTCGTATTCAAGTGAAATGAAACCCCTGATGCGTAAGACATCTCTTACACTCTTAGAATGGCGGGCTGGGCAGTTAAGAACCCTTAAAATAAGGAAGGAATTATTATTTCATTTGATCTTGAAATAACGCGCTGGAAATTTTAGATCTCGTAATCCTTGCTGACCAATGATATAATGAGAAAGATTAATGATATTTGATAGTTAGAATGGGGATTTAATAAATCCGTACATATCATACTGTAATTTCATCTGTACAGAACATTAACTTGTAATAAATTGCTTTATAGATCCTGAAGTTATTTCAGCAAATTATCGCGGGATTATTAGGCAAGGAGACTTTAAGTTCATTCTTGGTAAAAGTGTCCCTGTACCAGCAATGAATACAGAAGAAAAAATCACGGATGAATTTATTGAAGTTGAATATTTGCTCAAAAATAAGAAGAACGTTAAAGAAATCTTTCTCCAGCCTGTCCCGCATGAACATTTGGTAAAACGAAAGGCAGAAAAACAACTAGGAATACCGTTAAATATTTTAATCATTGGTGTAGATTCACTTTCTCATGCAAATACACAGCGAAGACTGCCTAACGTATATAAATATCTCAAAAACGAACTTGGAGCGATGTTTTTTAAAGGACACTCGATAGTAGGGGACGGCACCACAGAACAATTGACCGCTATGTTAACTGGACAAGGAGAACTTGAACAATATGAATCAAGACGCCATCACAAAAACCCCAAGCCTGTAGATGGATGGTCTTGGATATATAAGCAACTTAAAGGTAATAAATTTTTGGGGGTTGTTTTCTTTTTCTGTATTCGTTAATCCTAGGTCGTTAATCATACTCACACAATCACTGAAATCATCAGTGGAGTAACTAGAACGATAATTGCGGGGGGCGGTGGGCGTGTTATTCATATATCCAGTTCTGCCCGACGGATTTCTTTTGTAATTTTTTTACTCACACAACCACTGAAACCATCCCGGTTCTTTCTGTGCCTAGTGCAACCTCGTGCCCAGTTTCTTTCGACCATGACCAGTAAATATCCATGACCAGTAAATATCCTGTGTACGAGGTTGCGCCCAGTGATGTCTTAAAACCTGTGGACAAAACCGGATAAAAACTTGCTTGGTAGTTTAAACAATCTCCTTCCCCGAGCCCGCGAACCTTTAGTGAAGAAACAATAGTCCTGAAATCAGAAATGATTCTGATTGGTCATTGACGCCGTATGAAATATTGTATTTGTATTCCTGGTGGGGAGAATGCACTGGTCTTACTATTTTATCTTTTGATTCAATTATTTAGAACGAGGTTATGTAACTGGTTACTCTGGTGACTGGCCAAAGATTGGTCCATGGCAGTATAGACTAATGGGATTCGAAAATCCGCCCACAGATTTCTATACCAGGCCATTTTTTTCTATGGCTGAAAAATTGCTAAAAGAAGAAGACCAGTGCTTAGCTTCAAAAACTATATCAAATGTTCAGTTTGATTATATCCAAGAAGTGTTTGATGTGTTCAAAAATCAATTGAAGTTTTTTTTCTCATTTAACGGTAAGGTGAGGCCTGCAGCTCCTTCGAAGTCCAAACTCGTTCCCAGGGTCCCCTGCACGTTTTGAACATTTCTTCAATAGCTTATCTACTTACTCATTTGTTTTTTCTAGTACGTTACTCTCACAATTCCAACAGTGAAGCATCGAAGATTGAACCAGATTTATTATCACTTCTAAAAGGTTTAAAACAAAATAATCATCTCAACAACACATTACTTATAATCATGGGGGACCATGGCACTCGATATGGCAAAATACGAACTTTGGTGCAAGGAAAACTCGAAGAAAGACTTCCACTTTATTCAATGGCATTTCCAAAATGGTTTCTCAGAGAATATCCAGAGATTTCCAAGAATCTAAAACTAAACACAAATCGTTTGACGTCATGGTATGACGTATACGCCACTTTCCGTCACATGCTCAGTTATCCTGAGGTCCCTGCTGATATAAAACACGGTCAAAGCTTGTTGATAGAAGTTCCCATATCACGCACATGTTCTCAGGCTAACGTTGAGGAACATTGGTGTCCATGCTTAGAATGGGTAGATGTAAATCTTGGACATAGTCACCTGAATAATTCAGCTCTTGCAGCAGTGGAGTTCATGAACAATGCTAACCTGGAACACAAAAAGAGTGCTGAAAACTGTCAAAAATTATCACTAAAGAATATAAACTACGCCCTATTCGAACGACCAAATGAAAAAGTCCTGTCATTTAAGGAAACAAACGATTTGAAAGCTGCGTTTAGTGACAAGTCACGTCCAAATAACAAGGATTTTTGTCGCTATCAAGTACAATTTACGACGATACCAAATAATGGAATATATGAAGCAACCGTACGCTATCATAAAGATTGGTTTATTGTAAGCAAGGCTATTAGCAGAGTGAACAAATACGGGAGTCAACCAGAATGCATTGCAAGAGATCTTCCGCATTTAAGGAAATATTGCATGTGCAAAAGAACGCATGTGCAAAAGAACGATAATGCATTTTTTGCGCGTGTAGTGTGTAGTTAATAGTAACTATTCACACGATTTCTAATTAACATTTCACGCGTAAGAAAATACGCTTGCGAACTAATGAGGATTTAGTCCGTTGGAATCAATTCGGTGAAATACAAGCAGCGATTCCGATCGATTCTATGTACCAAATCCACAATAAAACCTGACATGAAAATCCCTTGTAAAACCCAGGAAAGTTTCTTCAAACAGCATAATTTATTAAGAACTGTGTTACAATTTTGTTTTATCACAACCATTGTGAAACGAAACTTTAAAGTAGATACATCGTAATTCGTAAATACGATCAGATATGATCTACAATGTTCAGTCAACAGCATCTACGATGGCCCAACAGTGGTTAACCAATCTACCAGCAACAGTCTGCAGATAAAATGATAAAAAATCATGAAAGATGATAATAAAAACATTGATAATATTGAACAACAGTTGTGTTTAATGTGTTGGAACAGCAGGAAAAAGCAACTAATAAACACCACGGAAAAAACGAGAAGGCAAGAAAAGTTAGAAAACGTACATGAATCGAATAAAAATGCTTTAGTTGATCCCAGTTGATGAAAATAGGATTGAGCTATGTTGTGCTGTACAATATGAACAGTGTTTTCAATAATGTTACTGTTTCCGGTGATGTTGTTCGTGACTAGAGCACAATATTTTCCACTACTGTTTTTGATAAACCTGAGAGAGTTTCAGTGAGCGTTTTTGCGTTGGGCGTGGCAACCCCCCCTGTGCCAGGATGCCAGCGAGATACGTCATGTAAGGTGCGCTCAATTATAATAAACATTTCTACACAATGGCGGATCATAAATCCATATCCATACAACTGGTAAAATCACTTTTCTTCTTGTTTTACACCTTTCTATAAAACCACTTTGAGTTTTTGTTTTTTATATTTTCAATTAATGTTCTTCGCTATGCGAATTTTTCAGTTTTCTGTAAATACTGATGTGGCGAATATTGGCGCAACAATGAAAACTCTAAGTGCACAAGAGCAACGCAGGTTGGTAAGATTGGTCATTGCTACAAGAAATGTTAAGGATAAAATGCAGGAAAAATAGTTCATTTATGAACTGTATTGTATAATTATACTGCCAACTGATATAAATCCAGCATACTCTCCAGATGAGTGAGTTAAAATATTAAGTTGTGAAATAATTATACTTTCTTCGAAAAAATTTTTCATTCTCCTTTGACCTTTCTTTCTTTTTCTAGAATTCAACATGCTAAACTTCATGCAAAACACAAGGGGCATGAGACCATGCATTTAGAGATGATCTTGATTTTACTAACAACTTTGGTTGTTGCTCAGATATTGCTTGTTCAATGGAAGAAGCGTCATTTCAAGTCTTACCAGGTATGTTGAACATTGGGTGGGGTTGTGGGAAGGGGGTGCAGCGTACCCCCCACCTGGCAAAATGTCCTGTGTAAGGTCCTGCAGTATTGTTACTGACTAGTGCAAACTATTGCACCATGTGCTATATTATTACATATTGTTTTACTCTAAATTATGAAAGTTTAGTGTATTGACCTTTCAAACATTTTTCTGTATGTATGGGATCATTTTAGGTTATGGCATTAAATTCCTCGCTAAAAAAAGAACTAATTACTAGAATATGTTCTGGCAACTTTTGGCCCGACAATTTGATAAACCACAAATATTTTTGTGCAACAACATGGCTGCTTCAAACTGAAGCAACATGAGCATCTATTCACTCACAGCTCACAAAGTTAAATATTTTTTTAGATGGTCACATTATGTGGTGTCTGGCTTATTCCACTGTATTTTAATATTCGCTTGAAGTGGTTTAGAATGCTTATTATTTGGAGTATTTTTTCAATAATGACTGCTTATATTGTATTCAAAGCTACAAGGCAACCTTTACAACCAACTACACCAAGGTATAAAGATTTTTGTGTTTATCTTGCTTGCTTGAATAAAGAGAAGGTGATATCTGAGAGCACCAAATAATTTAGCCACAATAGATATATAAACAGGAGGAAACTTCTATATCAAAAAAAAGCCCCCAGATTAAGCTTCAATTCTTTGATTTTGATTGAAAATCACAGCCAGTACGGGTACCATCATTTGCCTGGTGTCCTGGCTTCAAAATACTTCTTGTTTTCACAGTGGTTTAATTACATTATTCTCTTGGTTTTCCCTAGATTGGTGTACAAGTGGTTTTATTTCATTCATAAAGGAACAACCGCGTTAAGTTTGATTGGTTATTTTATAATAATGTTAACTTTATTTGGAGTGTCAATGATGTTTACTATTCATCCAGATACTGCTGGTGAAGTTGGTTTACTAGTTTTATTTTATGGATTATATTTTGGTGTTTTGGGTAGAGACTTTGCAGAAATATGTGCAGATAAAATGGCATCGAAATTAGGGGTGAGTTGTTTAATTGTTGCATTCATGTTTATGCTGGCATTGATTTGCATATCAAAGGTTAAATTTGAAACTCAAATTGAACATAAGCAATGTTTTCTATTCAACACAATTATAACAGTATTGTATTAAAGTGTTAATATATTTTAATCTAGTATTCAAAGGTTGGTGGATTACCAAATCGAAATCTAAATCCTGATGTTTGTGCTGTATGTGGTCAGGGAATTAATCCTGCTTCTGATGAAGATTCAGCAGAAAAAACCTGTCGACTTTCTTGTGATCACATGTATCCTTTCACTCTGCTCCAAGATTCATACTTTAAATCACTGTGTTGCCAGATGGTGCATATATATCATCAATTGCTTTTAAAAAATATAAAATGAAATATTAATGAAGTATTTATGAATGATTTTCGATCATCAACAGTGTTATTAACTTGATTTTGACACAGATTTCATGAATTCTGTATTCGTGGTTGGTGTATCGTTGGTAAGAAACAAACATGTCCTTACTGTAAAGAAAAGGTTGATCTCAAGAGAATGTTTCCAAATCCGTATCCTTTTGTAATTTACAAAATTGTGGCAGATATACCCCGTGATAGGCTTTTAACCATGAAGTTTCCCTAACCTCGTTCTCAAAGCCTCCTCCTGATCTGTTGTAAAGGCTCTGTTACATGGTGCAATTTTTCCTGCAACTTGCAATGCAATTTTACTTTTGAGACGTGTATATTTGGAGACAACAAAACTTTTGTGTTTAGTACAGTTCATGCACTTTTCTGCTGGAAGACTCACTAATTTACAAGTTGCAAGTGAAATTGCACCGTGTAACATGGCCTTAAATTTCATAGATACAACTCAATAAATGAAATTAGGATCTCTCAGACTAAGTCAGATATCCCTCATAAGTTGCACATAAAAACGATTATAGAGTGGGGGCAAGGGTTTTGACACAGCTACAGGAAATATAACAAGAACATCAACGACTGAAGCAAGGTTAAACAGGGTTGATTTCTCTCTTTTTCCCACACCTGCACTTCACTTGACTGCATGGGTAATTTGAATCGCCTAGATAGGAAGCTGAAAATTTTCATTGCTACTTTAAAACTACCTTCACTGGCCACCAGGTTGCAGACCTTAACACACAATTCAGTTGGGAGAAACCTCATATATTGTTTGGTCAATTACTGGACTGGCTCCGTTATCTTGTTGTATGGCAACCAATTATAATTCTTGTTGTTCAAGTCATCGTCTGGAGTCTTGGATTAGAGTGACGTCCAGACAACAATAGTAGGTGGAAAATAAAATGCGTACATTTCCAGTATTTTTACCTTCAAACGATTACCGAAGGCGAAGAGATGGCTGTATGTAATTTTTAAGCACACACGACTGGAAAGGATTATAAAAAACTCCTGACGTTTTAAAATACAAAGAAGAAAATAAACTGCTTTCATTCTGCTTTTCAGAAAACGTCCATTCACGTTTTCTGTCAAGCAATCATGAATTAAAATATGATGAAACCAAACAACACTTTAAATTATTATATATCAAATAAACATTTATCCACTAAATTATTGAAAAAATATGTGCCCAATATTTTGATCACAAAGATAGGCGGTATATAGCTAGATAGATAGTATTTTATTATGATGATCTCATGCAAGCAAATTGCCAATTTATCAGTCATTCATGCAGTGATGAATTAATTTTAACACAATAAAATTTGTGATTCTAAATAACATTAAAACTGCACAAAACACGACAGAGTAATATAGATTTAGTTTCGTGGTAATGCTTTCAAAGTTTAATAACTATCATTTAGTAAGTATTCACCCATGTCGGGTCTTTAGGTTAGAAGATATTCTTCGGATTTTTTTTCTTGAAAGAAATAAGTGCTGAATATACTAATTCAGTTATATCAGTTTTAAATCTACTACTGCGTTTCTTATTGTTAACAGCAAACGCATAAAAACGCAGTTGTAGGAAACGGGTAAAACATTTTCACCATACTGGAGATAAAGACAGAGACCACGGAACTTCCCTCTTTCCAAGTTTTTAACTCGATGGCGATGACTCGATGCGGGCTTTTACAACTTTTTGAATGTTTTAAAATAAAAATAAAAATATACAATCTTGTACAAGTTGTGACGACGAAAACATTGTTTTACAGACTGCTGCGTGCTAGAAACGTTCGACAAGACCCGATCACCCGAGGTGGTGTTTTCATGGGCCAATTCTTCACGTTTCTCACAAAATTATTCACAGGATGAAAAGAGAATAAAACACATGCATGCATTACGAATGACGTTTCTACGATATACACGTTTGCAATTGTTTTAATCGACATTCATGTGCACTATCATATCATCTTGGACGTGGATGTAAAGTGTAGTTACAAAACATGTACTGCAGAGGGGGTTAAGAACCCCACGTCTTGACTAAATAATACACACACACACACTTTTAGTTTTATTGATAAATATATTATGCTCTATTACTTGAAAATATCCTAAAAAATTGACGTTTTTACTAAATCACATTTATGTCTTTTTAATTATAGTATTGTTGATTTAGTATAGGAACATCTAATGCATAAAATTATTAATTTGCAGCACAATAACAACGAAAGCTAGCTAGGTTGGTTGATATGCTTGCATGTTAACACTTAAATATTTTCATACCAACGTTGCCTTCGTAATTAAAATGGTGAGAATCAGAATTAACATCATTGAAATCAGGCAATGGAGTTCCAGCAAATGTATTGTTCTTACAACTTTTTGTAAAAAATTTTCTAATGCCAGGTATTTCATCAAACACGCACACTGGTCTTTTACCACCACTATTTTTAAACCACTATTCACAAATGACAAATGAATGCATGCTTCAAATATGAATATGGTCTAAGAAAAGTAGGATAAGCAATGATTTCCAATGGAGGCTTTACGTGGCGTTCAGCGTCTTGTTCGGTTTCTTTGCTATTTTCTTAAAACAACTTTTACAAACTGGAACTTTATTTTCCGAGTAATGTCCTGGAAGAGATGTCTGATAGTCGATGCATCTGCGACAAAACACTTCACCGCAGTTCCAACAATGATACTAAATTAAAAAAGGGGAAAATGCATGAAAAACGTGCAGTCCTTTTATTCCATCTTTATTTTACAGCCTTTCGGAACGTTTGTAAAGACGAATATCGGTCAAGTTGAAAAAATATTGCATTTCTTTTAAATCTTTCGTGTGGAGTTAAATTGCCACGAGGGAAGTTTGCGCTCCGCAGCAAACTTCATCAAACTTCAAGCACTCTATCTCCAGCACTCCATACAGCTGATGCTACGCGATATTAATTACATTGTAATTCGTTCATATGCACCATGCTACGGTAATGCGCCAGCTGGGAGATACGTAAAGGGGTAATATAAACCCTTTCCCAACGCTAAGTGTAAACTATAATATCGAAAATATATATTCCGATTGTTAGACGAAGCAAGATACATATATTGATGGAGAATTACCTTCCTGGTTAACGTGTCTATCGGTGAAGCACAGGAACATTGGGTTACTCCACGAAATGAACGCCAGTCTAATGACAGACGCGGGTTATCGCTAACTAAGTCATTTAATGATATTCCCTGTCGTCTTAACTCTTTTTGAACTATGGAACTGAGACATTTGTTTTCTGTTGATGTTGATGTTGATTCCTCGTTTTTCGTATCTTTTGAAACTTCAACTTCATCTGAATTTTTCTCGGGGCCATTATGTAGATCACTGTCATTACCTCCTTCTTCAAGAATGATTTTCATTAATTCAATTCTCTGAAAAATGAAAAACAGAGGCAGTCTATCATTCTGTTGACTGGAATCATCAAAATGCATATAATGAAGTTACTAAAAGATTTCAATTCCAGTATCAACTTTCCATATCAAGCCTATGCATATGAAAATCCTCATCCAATTTTACAGATATTTCATTCAGTAAACAATCAGTCACCTTGGTTAGTAAAGAGATATGATCTTGGATAGAATCATTTTGATCTACTAAACTTGTGATGGCATCGGTCACAGTTTCTCGTGAATGCATACTATTCTCGTGACGATTATACATTGCCCTCCAAAATCTATCATTTTGAAAACAATATTTCTATATTAGTATTCAAAAGACTAGAGTAAAGTTCTACAGCTATACCATAGATTGTACAAAGTTTACATATTTTATACAGTATACAATGAAACTCGATCTGTAGTTACATCTTTCTTTCCTAAGTTGTAAAATGTCTGACATCTTACATTCCTCGTTTTGATAGCACTAAATGCATAAAATTACATATTTATGTGCACATGACCTGATGTATTGAGGAGAAGTCCTCGGTCTCAGAAATTGTGTTTTCGTTTCGTTAAACAAAGGATTAACAAAATCATTCACATTTTGCCACATGTAGCCCCACAAGGAATACGTTTTCTCCGATAAACTAAAACATAACAAAACAAAGCAAAACAGAATTAAATAACCGCAGAAAAATCTTGGAAATTCGAGCTGTGCTTGGGGATATCATAGAAAGTGAAAACTTGATTTATACGAAAATTGACTGAACCAAATTTAACTGATTCAGCTTGCATTGTGAGTTGTGGATACAGAGCTAACACAGCGCTAATTACATAAGTATTGATTATTTCAAATCTTCGTTCAAGCAACTTTCTACTAGAAAGCTTCTAGTAACAATACATTTATTTCGATAGCAACATTTGGGAATTGACAATTTTGAAATCTGGTACAATCTGTTATATTGAGAACTAAGACAAGCAAACCTCAAATCGCGTCTTTCTTTCTCACAGTTTCCAAGGAACGTCCCGAACTAGAAACGAGTCAAGTGAAATTTGAAAAGAAATATGGTTGAATGATCTTGTAGTTCATTATAATCGTCAACGGTTGATATGTTTGTCGTTTGAAACCAGCTTGTTCAAAAGACATTTATAATAATTTTAGGCGCGTACCTGACATGAATGAACGTGATCATGAATAGTAAGCAAAAATCTTTCGTTAAATTGAAAAGCAAATGGAAATTGTTGTTGCAATTGCCAGACTCCATCTAAGAATTGTGTGAATACAGGCGACACTTCCTTCCCGTCACTTCGTAGAAAACCACATCTGAAAGAAAGAAAACGTCCGGATCCAGGCTGTTCGTGTATTTAGGATTTATTAAACGTGGAATTATTAGCAAAACGGGGGAAGGAGAGGATACTGTTCCACATCTCCAAACTGGTCTTGCATACATTGCTACTGCTGGAGTACTCTATAGCTAAGTTAGGAATTTGTCTGAAACTGAAAGTTTACCTGTCAACGAACTTGTGCCCAAATGACAGCCATTCTTTTTCAATAAGAACCTAAGTAATATTTATCAGTTATATTTACTTTGACGTTGCAAAATGAAGTAATTAACAAAAAATAAAAAATTCAACCGTTTAGTAATAGAAATTCCGTGACACCTGTAAACCATGGATGGTCCTAAAGAAAGGATCTAGTAATATACTGGCAATGGAGCAGGTCTGTGCAGTTCTGTCCCAACCATCACTGCAATGAACCAATACGCTTTTTCTCTCGTCATTAACAGCCTAAAATACAGTTCAATTATAACCAATATTCACCATTACCATCGAAACAAAATCCCCAATCAAATAAATAGCTCAGCCAACTTTCGAAATGTTTTGAATCGTTTCACTAATAAACATTTCAAATAATCTCAGAATTCCAGTTTTGGAGCAGTGACGTGACACACCTTAGCAATAAAGTATGACGTATCCAGAACGCACTTTATATGTTTTAACCAACTACTATTGTCGATACTATCTAAGAAAGTATCTCCACTTTGTCTCTCACCACACGCTGAAAAGAAGAAAGGTTTTGAGAGGATTTAAATGGGGATATGTCATTAATCGTTATTTCTTCAATACAAACTTTACAACTTACCGTAAACTAACTTTTGAAGGCTCTGTCGCATCACATGGATATTTTCAATCCCTAGAAATTGAAACTCTACATTCTCGTAAAATTCTGTATTTTCGTATCCTTTTCCAGCAGCTCTATTAGCCATGGCGTTTATCTGCAAAGAATTTTAAACTCAAGTTTGTATTTCAATAACACATTATGCTTGATGAGGTGATGTTCATGTTAATATTTATAGAAATATCTTCAGATCATGCACAGCGTCAGCCTGACATAGCGGGGTATATTTTCACTTGCCTGGGTATATTTTCATTTCCGCATCATTGTTAAACAGTGAAGTAAAATCATGGACAATGAATATGTGTGAATAATGTGTTGAATAAATAGATATCTATTGCCATAATGCTTTGCAAGTATTTAAAGGATTGCAATAACGTAATTATATTAAAGTGCCTATATCACTCGTGGAATCTTTATGCATTTGAAAAGAATGTAAAAAGTTAGTTAATATATTAAAAAAAGTTTTTTGATTTAGTGCAATAATTTTGAAGATGCTAGCCTTTAAACTACCTGCAGTTCCTGAGTCCCAGGCTCCTGTAAACAATGGGCAGTTTCAAATTAAATAGCCGTGTTTAAGCCCAGGAGGTTGGGACTCAGGAACCGCAGCTACTTTAGAGGCTTGTATTTTCAAAATTATTGCACTAAATAAAAAACGTTTTTTAATATATCAACTAACTTTTTACGTTCTTTTCAAATGCATAAAGATCCCACGAGTGATATAGGCACTTTAAAAACTGGGTCTGTTGCATTGGAAACTAAGATAATTCGTGATGAAGATAAAAATTGGTAGAATACTGTACATCCACAGTTATCTATCAGTCACACCTTTGGTCTTGTATCAACAATATATAATTGTTTTGCATTTTTGTTTGACTTAAGAATAGCATTAACCATTTGTTCATCATCCAAAGAACGAGCATTCAATCCTGATAAAGGCTGACTCGAGCGACAAATGGCTGCCTAATTCAAATGTACAATTTTATAAAGTTAAAACAAGGCATTAATACTGTATATTAACTTGCTGTACTGGTGTTTTAAAGCATATAGGCTATTACTTAATATAATAGCCTCAAGGCATCTGTGCCACATATTTCCAAGTTACTAATATAATTCCCTCTTGCAGCCTTTATGTTTGTAAACACAATATGATGGCTTTCAATATTGACAAATGCCTTTGAACAAGAATTAACACACCTTTGTAGTTTTATGATAGTAAGAGAGAGTAGGAAGACGATTTCTACTGCGGAACATGGCACTTCCTATTGCCGTTTCTTTGCTGGCTGATGCAGGCAAAAATAAAATTCTTGGATATGTATCGCACAGCTAGAAAATAAAGAATATGAACAGGTGATGGTTTCACATGGGAATTATGTTATACATTAGCAATAAATGCAGTTTTTACCTTAAATTCTTCATTAAGATCTGATGCTTGCCAAGTGTCAGCAGAAATTCCCATTCTACTAAATTCCAATCTTGCATCATATAACACCCATCCAGCTGAACTACTAATTTTGTCATCCATTGGGTTGTATGAAAATGCATAGAGTTGCTCAAGTTTATCTAAAACAAAGTACATAAGAAAATTTTGAAAATATTGAAAAAAAAGTAATGAAAATGATTTCATTATGCAGTAGACAATGAGAATGTTTAATCTGGACACAAGATACCTGGTGTAGAAAGTTCCAAGAGGGTTGAATATACATCTTGACACTCCCGTTCCCTGGGAATGACGAAGGTCACAGTCAGGAAATTCTTGCAGGAGATACGTAAAGGTGAACCAACAGTAGAGAGAGGTAACTTCTCAACCACTTGAATGTGATGATGAATTATCTGCAAGAGTACATAAATACTTTTACTCTCATTACCTTTAGGTACTCAGAAAATATAACCAACTGGATGTTTAGACCCAATTTTTAGTCACCATGGTAAAGCCAGTAGAGTAAATTTGCTAGAGATTTGCAATGAATTCATAGTACAATAGTTTGAATACTAACCCATCTTTCACGTTTTCCAGCTGGGTCAACAAAAATAAGATGTGTTGCTGTTACATATAATGTACCACTTGTAGCTTTTTGATTCTGATGCCGATCGATAAGGCGAACATTTTCCACCTGAGAAAAGAAAATTTTTATCCTTGCCAAATACAGAACTTATATTTATGTATTCTATGGCCATTTTAAAATCAATATTTCACAGTGGATGAATATTAGTGTAAAAACAATGGATACTTCATAAGCTTGGTTTTTAAACGCATTTTTGCATTTTATTAATGCATTTTTTTAATGTAATTTGGTTATGTATGTGATACATGGTTATTATATTGTACAATCTTTGACAATGTATATAGCATATTGGAAGTGGAGCCTTTGGATTTTGCCTGTTCCACTGTTATGTTGTAGTTTAGTTATCTTGTAATAGCTTATTTTATTGTACCAGTTGTTTAAAACTAGAGAATATTCTAGAATGGTGACTGAATATTTCCTAGCTGCTGATAATAAGAACACTACCAGATTACTTTAAAAGTTTATCAAAAGCGTCATGCATACAAGAAAACCATTAGACAATCCTAGAAATGTTAATGTCAATCCTTGAACCCTCCCCTATCTTTATGGTGTACATGGTACTGTTGGTACACGTATGTACCATATGAAATTTGAAAATACATGAGCTAAAGAGTAATCTCAGTATGAATCTTGGAATTTTATAATAAAATGGCGTGAAGAGTGAAGTCTGAAGTATTATTGTACAATCATATGTCTCTAACAATATCTTAGTATAGGAACTATAAATTATAACAATCATCATCATATCATATGTATGTCACTATCTTGATCATAAGTCACAAGAAAATTTCATGTAAATATTTTTCAAATAATGAAAACCGTTTCTTTAAAAAATGAATAAGTGGTATTATAAATATATATTTATTAAATATCTATATTAACAAAATATCTAAATAACCTGGGTAGTTTTTATGGAATCCATGCTTGAAGTTCCTCAAAAGCATTCTTTAGTTTAGTAATCCATGATTATTATAATGAAATAAATCCATAATACAAAATAAATTTTAGCTGAAAATGCGAAGAAAGTGAAAAATTTTACAAAAATTTCGCCATATTGATGTTATTTCGTAATTTCGAAGGAATTCTTGTAACTCGTGTTGAATAATAATCGCGTGGCACTAGTTCACTCTGTATGTATTATCTACTTTGTGCTGTGATCCGCATGTTACCTACTCTGTCTCCAGGGGGGGAAGGTTCCAGGAACTAAACATGGCTACCAGCTTGGGCAGTTTACGAAGTGGTGGTGTTACTAGTGTACAATCTTTACAATCTAGTACAACTTCTGCAACATCATCTGCAACGGCGACATCTTTAGGTGGAATACAAAGTGGAAACGGAAAGTAAGCTTTATCTACTCTAGGTTGCGTTTTGAACTATGGTTTGATGATCACGTAATTTTTTTTGCTGACTGTCGAAGTGTCGATACTATTTTATATGAAGGAGTGTGAATTGGGAGTGACAGTCTAACAGGGTTAAATAGGATTGTTGTTGGTTGCTTAGTGTTACAATTAGGGTAAGATTCTGGGAATGTCTGTGATGAGAAGCACCATACACCCACCCACAAACATGACCATAGTTTTCTGTAGGTGGTAGGCAAAGGGTGCTTCTGTATTCATCATACATGCTGCAAAACATCAGGATAGTCTTATAACCATGCCGTAACTTTCTGAAGAGCAATTATTATCAAATACCTGGCCAACCAACTCCGATTATCTATATATAATGAAAAAATGTACGTTTTACAAATTGCATAATTAAAAAATATAATTTTTGTTCTCTTTAGTGAGAAGAAAAATGTTAAAGATAAACAGTTGCCTGATGGGTTAAATAATCTGGTTAATCAATTAAAGTAAGCAGCAATTTTTTCTTTTGCCTAATATTACCTTTTCTGATTGTGGTCATTCACTTGCAGTTTTCAATCTGTTGAAATAAAAAACATTTTTTCCTGTGTTTCTATTCACTTGTGGCAGTTTGGAAGAGCTCAGAATAATGTGATTATTTCTTAACTCAATAAAAAGATTTTGTACAAATATTTGATTCAATTATAAATTCTCATTACATCGCTTCGCTTCTAAACTTTGGCAGGAAAATTCTCGTGTTTTTATAGAATAAATTCATTCAAGTCTCACTCTTTCATAAAGCTTATATAGATATTGTAATAAATATTGCAATAACCTTACAATATTGGGAGGACATGGTTCTACAAGTTAGTATTGGCATGTTAGAGGGCATTGTTACTTCTCTGCATCTATGTACATGTATGTTTGTTTTCTGTGGCTGAACTAAGATTAGTGATCTTAAGATGGGAACATTTTTGTCAACACCTAATTATTTCACACAGTCTCCTTAGAAATGTGATGTTGTAGAAAAGGTTGCCATTTTAGGCTATTAGTGTGAGCCTGCAGATCTTGTTTCTAAAAATATCAGGAAGAATTTGTTTTTAGGCATTCCTGTCTGTAATACATTGCTTCTATCATTTAGAGATTATATTAAAAAACAAAAGAGTATAAAAGATGAAATTGAACGGCAGTCCATTAAATCATTTAAGAAAGTCAGTGATGAAACCAGCAAGTTAAGAAAGGTATTCCTCTTCACTGATTTAGTATGAATATAAAAAAATAGGGAAAACCTGTGTGTTTTTACACCCACTCGTTTTTCAGCAACTTTCTGGTCAAGTTTTGAAAGTAATATTTATTAAAGAAAGAATGCTAAGCAAACATTAAAAATTCATTTTCGTAGGATGTATCTTGGGTCTCAAGCAGTATTCAGAAGGATGCTAGTGCTGTTGAAAGTCTGAAAAGTGAACTAAGTCAGGTATAATTCTCCAAGAGAATTTTTCAAGGGAAACATCTTATAATTTAGAGCATGAAAACAGAAATCACACATCTAAACTGGCTCATGTGAACCCTTAACAAAACTGCACTGGACCCATCCCTGCTATCAAGCCAGATTGCAACAAGTTGTTTTCAATTCTAAAAGTGTTTGATTTTAATCTCGGTAAATTTTAGGAATTAATAAATGCAGAAGTTGCACAACAGACTAGCAACACTCCTTTGGCGTTCCAACACGAGAACATGGCCCCCCGGGAGTACTACCAGAGATTGATTGAATCATTTGAAGAAAGAATGTTTTCATATCGAAGACAAGTTGAAGAAGTTGAGAGTCATTTAGCTTCACTTCAAAAACCACAAAGCGTTTCACCACAAGGTATAAATGTCATTTTTCATCAGCTATTTTAAATGTAAGTAATTTAGCTTGTAGGTACACCACGTAAGTCATTTAATACTGCAAAGCTTTCGGTCCGTTAACCCGAGCCTTCATAAGTGCAATAATGAACGTCATTTGCCCTGATGAATGAATGAATATATCTTTGCACCAAAGCTTTAAACCTGGATGGCGAATTGTTGTCCGTGGCCATGTGGTTTTCGAAGTTTTAAAGCATCCATTTCCGTTTTTGATAAAAAATTGAAATACTGAAATGCCATGTAAAGTTGAGATTTCTTTGAATTTTTTGTCTCTATTAATTCTTGATTTTGCGATCTTTTCTAGAAATTTCTATTGTCATGAAGAAACTCCATGAAACTTTCATAACTTTGGCAGCCAGAATGCACGAGACTCATGAAGCTGTGAAGGTAATCTTTCCTTTTATGCACTTTATTAAAAATACCAGTCGTTGAATATCCTGAATGTCCGGTTCCCTCTGATTAAACGTTCACCACTAACTTTAAAGCCAACTGATATTCCCATGGTTGATGTCAATGCACGTTCTTAATAGCGAAACATAATATAAAATGCTTATACTGAATTTGGTTATAGCACATGCAACCTCATTCTCCATGTTTTTACAACATCATTGACTAAACGTTTATTATATAACGTTGAATGCATTTAACCACATGTCCGCATTTCGTACCCATCATTCATAACTTCTGGTTTATAGCGCCCATGATATTTTTATTGATTATTTCAGCTGGAAAAAGAGCGCTACCTAGCTTACCGTGAGAGGGTATTTGGTGACAGAACAAACGTCTTTGAGAAAAGAAGAAATGTACCTGATGAAAGACAATGTAACTATATTTTTACTGATGGTTTGTGCTGGTCTCAAATACTCTTCAATTTCATGCTGCTGTTATGTCTTTAGAATACTGAAATATATTTTTATCGTAGATACTTCGGTGGATCTACCAAGAACAACTCTTGGGCCTTCACCATTTAATCTTCACAACAATGTAAATCGGTCGTTGTTTAATCCTGTTGCAACACTTCAAGGTGGTGTTAGAATGCCTGCCACGGGCGTGGCTGCTGGATTTGGTTCTGCATTTGGTAATACATCATCCCTGGCAGCAAATTCTGCTGCAGTTGGTGGCTTTACTCCATTTGGTGGTTCAACACTTAGCCAAACTCCGTTTGGTACTTCAACTGGTCTTGGCACTTCCTCCGGCTTTGGACTCACCAATTCTGCTCTAGGAAAGAGTATTGGTTCAAGTGGTTTTGGGGGCTTGGGAAATGGTAGTTTTGGGACTACATTTGGTGGCTCAACGAGTTCATTACAACTTCAGAAACCACCAGCTGGGGGTAAACGAGGGAAGAATGAGGCAAAGTGAAACAAAGAATATGTACAGGTAGTTGGTGTGGAAAGAGGACATGTTTTGCTTGGGTCATAGACGAAAAGCTATTTTCTTTCCTTGCCTATTTTCAATAGGTCAGATAACAGATTTAAGAGTGGCACAATTTTAGGAATTTTGAAGTCAAAACAATTAAACGGTTGACAATTACTGAAATGTGTGGTACACTACTCCATACTAGTCCATACTACTTTTAACTACTAGCGTGTTAAAGGGAAACACGTTTGTATTGACGATGGTTTATTTAAAAAACAAATTCTCACTTATTGTACATGACATTTGTACTGTATCAGTGTATGGTTACACATGTGCCAAACTACGTGCCCGTACTTGAGCAAAATATTTCGTCAAAACCGAAGCCGGAGGCTAATAGCCTTCGTCAGCATACAACCTACATCGTGTGGTAAAGATCCTTAGTTCTAAACATTGAAAAGATGTTGTCCATCTCAGGAAGTCGTTGTACCACATTTATTCAATATATTTGGAATCTAAGATGAAATGTTGTTTGTTGAAATGTATGATGTTTTATGGAGTCGCGAGCTTGAACTTTTAAATTCACTCTCAACTTGACACCTTTGGCTTTGTCATTTGATGGCTGAAGTCGCCATAATTTTTCCTTATCTGGGTTTTTAAGTCTGTAAATAGACGAAAGAACCTGTAGCACATGGTTGCATCTGGAAATTTGCAATGATAATACTAACTGAGCCGACGAAATAGTAAAAAATGTTTAAAACAGAATTGGTCAGATCATATATATTAAATGTTGATGTTAGATTTATAGCCTCGACACATGGCCTCTACTGGCTCAGCGGCTCCGGGAACGATTTCGTGTGAAATATTTTTTATACTGTATTCTAGACAATTCTAATTTGTCTGAAAGCTGTGGCCTGTGTTGATTTCCTTCCATTCACACTTGAGAGTTGGTAACTCATTTTGGGGCTATTCTTATGTAGACATGAATCAATTAGATATTTTAATTTACAAATATCTCATTCATGCATGTTGGACGTTCTAGTTGTTCCATGCAGTTAGTAAGGAATATATTTATCGGTGAAAACGCAAACCGTCTCATGAAAATTGTAGAAAAATATAATTTATTAAAAGTAAATGATAAACGAAAATTTTATTTGGCATAAATTAGTGAAACATCAAATCATTGTTGTTGATTTTATTGTTATCGCGGTATCTCCTTACAATCTGCAATCAATGGAGTTGTATATATCGACGCTTAAATTAATATCAATGACAATGTCGATCACGATAATTATTAATTTCCTGTTAACAGCTGAGTTGCAGTTTTTTTAACACGAAATATATCAAATAAATTGTTGTTTCAAGAATATGAACTGCAGAAAAGGTTTCTGTCTCATACAGTAACGGTATGTTTTAAACAAGAAATAATTGAAATTTGAAATTGTAAAATATTTATTTTGTGTTTAGAGAGAGTTTATCGAGGTTTTTGTATTAAGTAGCGTTCATTGTTTTTATTTCTGTGATGAGGTTATTAATTCATATCCTAGATATGGCAAATCGCGCTATAGACCAGCTAAAATAGCCCGTTCTTTTAACAAGTTATCTTTATATTATTTTACTTTTGTCAGTTTAAGAAATTTCAAAACAGCTCTTTCAGTGAAGATCACACCGACACCGACACCGACGAGTAATCGGAATACTGGATCCAGGTATGTCATTTTATGAAAATGATTATGATATTTGCCGGTGATAGTATATTTTCGAATTTCATATATACTAGTACACACCTTGCCATTCATGGTCACAATATAACCATCGATCAGTGTCCACTATATACATGACGTGTTTTTCTTGTAGTGAAAACAATATAAATTGCAACTTTTATTCTAAACTAGACATAACCTGTGTCGTTTGATTTGGTTTGAGATTTAAAGATTTTCCACAGTGATTGACTATTAACTATAAATAGATGGATTCGAGTAGTGGTCGGGTCTAAACAATGTCAATGATTTGGATACACGCACTATATTCCTGTCAACCGTGTGCATATTCATGTTTCCTTGGCATCAACATGACAAGCGATTATCATCTATTGTGTTTTGCAAGCATACTTTTAAAATACAGTAAACAACGAATTTGTACAATCCTACACAAAGCTTTCTTTCCACTTGGTAAATGTAGGGATTTCTATTAAAACATCCTTCATACAAGCGATCAGTTCAGTATCTTAAGGCGCTTCTTCGCCGATTTGGAATTTCACCACCTGCCATTGACTGATCGTGCATTGACGCCTACATAGGAAAGAGAATCTTGAGCGTTGCACCTTGCGCGTCACATGCAAAAAAGCACGTTTGTATGCAAATGCATGATGTTTTGTTTAAATCTGCTTCATTGTTAATCCTGCATAATCATGTTGTGTGTGTATGTGTGTGCTATACTGCATTTTCTACTGGCTAATTTTAAAGACAGATCATTATCATTAATATTTGATTATATCTCCAGTGAACTGCAAAGATTTAAACATACGGGAACGGGTGGCGCATAAACCGCAAGTTTCACTCTTGATCGATATCTCGTGCGGTGAAACTGCATGTGTGTTCGACTTCGAGTATATTAAGTGGGGCGACAGAAATATACTGATGTTTTCCATGTAAAGTTTTCGTTAGATTATTCATTTCCTCTTTGAAAAGTGTGAATCTAACGAGGTATTGAGAAAAAAGATTATGAAGAGTTTAAACATATGTCATATGTGCGGCAGACATCAAAGAATGAATAAGGGAACGAAGAGATGTTTTAAAGAAGAAAATAGCACGTACACTACTCCTGAAAACCTGTCGTAAATATGTCGCTAAACAAAAGGCATTTTTCGAAATGTGATATTGAATCTTATATCCATACCAATATTATTCGGATTAGTTGCCCGTGGTATACTAAAATAGGTTATTAATGAAATCACATCCAATTTTTTTTTACTTAGAAATCAAGAAATTCAAACATGGCGAGCATTCAAGATGATTATCAAGCCACAGCAAGCCCTGAAAACCCAAAGAAAATAATATCACCCAAAAACAAACGCTCGCAAATAGCAAAAATTCTCATCATCGTACTTGTGACAGCAATATCCGTGGTTTTCACAATCGTTGACGTAGTTGTCACGGCACAAAATTTGAAACAACAGAATGAATTGAAAAATAACATCATCCATGGCATTCACGTTTCCGAGATAATTCATAATCTTCAAAACGAAAGAAGTTTGACAACTATGTTATCGTTGGCATGGAATACTACAAAAAACATATTGCACTTGAAGAAGGTGAGCTGTCGCAATGTTACATTGTCATTGACATTATTCTTTCACTTTTATTCAAGAATCAATTTTGTTTGCATTCATTTTATTTTACATACATTTTATTCAAAAATCAAGAAATCCAATATACATCTATTCAATGGGCCCTGGGGATATGATAAAATTTTAAAAATGTTTTTTCAAGATATGGTTCGGCCTTAATAATTAAATGAAATAAAAAATGAACTCGTTAAATTGTTAAATAGCATTCGCCATCATTTAATCTTCAAAATTTAGAAAAAAAGGTCGGTTTAAAACATGCTATCAAAATTGACCACATGGGGATTATGCATTGCGATTGTAATATTAATTTCTGTTATGAAAAAGCGGCCGTCGAGGGGCGAGGAATTATGCTAGGGTGGAACCACGGCGCTTATCGCCCTAGGCGGATCACAATGTTTTTCACGATTTAGAATGAGAGCTTTGCATGAAAGCTCACAAAAAAACAAAAACTTCGCCACAACAAATTTCTAGTGAAAAACATGCAGCTGTTAGTCTTCACAAAGACCATTCTGTAACACCTTTATTTTCGGATTGGTGATCATTGAAGACTAGCGTACATATAGCTATGTACCTATATATCTCTTACCTCATTCTCTTACATCATTCAGCCTGAACCTAACTGAACCTTTTCCATTGTATGTTGATTCTAGTGTAGAAAATGTTTAGTAATTCATAAATGTTATGTTAAGATTCGAGAAAGTACAGACGAGAGTATCCAGGTGTTATTGGAATGGCGCTATACTCTTCCTGGACTTTTAGGTGAGACCATCTCCAACTCAGCCTCATTTCTGAATGAAATTCGTTATTTTCGCTCGAAAATTGACAATGGCGACGAATTGATGGCACATGATCACATTAATATATTTTCTACCTGGATCCATGAGCTGATAACCTGGTTGGCTCACTATACTGTCACCCAAGATATTCAGACCCACACAGATGACCTCTTCGCCTATCACATGATTGTCAACACGAAAGAGGAACTAGAATTAGAAAAAATCTTCGGATCAATTTATTTTCTTCGCGGCGAAAACGCTTCGTTTCAAAATATCACGTCATACAACGACAAACGAGTTCGTGCCCACGCATTTCTAGAAACTGCTCTACTATTTTCCTCAGTCGTGAAGAAACATTATGATTCTCTTATTAAGGATCTGAATGCAACAACATGGCTAGCAGATATTGAAGCTAAACGCAATTATCTTGTTTTAAAAAAAGTGAAAAATTCATCGAATCACAGTGCAAAGAAATGGTTTGAGTTTATGACGAAATATGGTGACCTAATGGTACGATTGGAAACTGAAGACGCAAGCCGCATCCAGTCTCATGTTGAAGATCTTATCAGAAGCAGTATTTTATGGTTAATCATTCGATCACTTCTTGTGTGTTTTGCTGTAATCACAGTTCCTTTCATTATCATATCCTTGGTCAAAGTCCAGAATAAGTTTTATAAATACGCGTATTCTCTTCATCACAAAGTTGGGTTGGAACAATCGCGCACAGATTTTTTGATGAGGGAAAACGCTCGACATGTACAAGGTTCGTAACTGTGCTAGAGATGTCTAACGCCAGATACATTCTCTACCCGGCTGGGAGAACGTGTTGAGACCAAAATCCCAACTTTTACTGTGTCATTTGTGAAATACAGAAGAAAATCGTTATTCGTTTGCCACCGAGTGTGAGAAAATTTCTAAACTTGAAGTCTCTAGAAATCTGCCTTTATAATGATAAAGCGGATTAAGCGAATCATATCACTTCTTGCATGATTTTCTTGCATTATATTATCTCCGTGTCTGTCAAAGAAATGTATTGAGCCGTTTTATAGTTTTCAAACTGAGCTTGAAATATTGATATCTTGCATAATACGTGAATATGTGAAAAATTTAAGTTAGCATTTTTTTATTGCTATAAAACTTATTTGAAAGCCATACCATGTATTGACTGTTATTACATTGTGTTTAATCAAACACCGATACTTTTTTTAAAATCTAGACATCCGCGGTAGTAAAAATATCAGTTAAAATACACTTTTTATTTTCGTATAGATTTAGCGTCTCGCTGGAAGCAGTTTTCGCAGACAAATTCGGAAAATCGTGCCGTGGCTGAGAACGACAAAGATGTACCCTCTTGACCTGGGAAGAAGATGAGCCTAATTGCAAACCCTTCCAAATATATTTTGGCGTTTCTACCGGCCCACGAGCCATGGAAATGCACAAATCTATTATAGCGTGTCTTTTCGTTTGGAAGCTGTCTGTAATAATCTGCAAGACAGTAGTTAGTTAAAGTGTGTCTAGAGTTGCAAAAAAGCTGCGGGAACGCGGGTACCACCCGAAGGAAGGTTTGCTTTGAATGAGGTTTGTGAGGAAGGTTCAAAGTTGAACACTCTAATTGATCACATGCATGTACCAAAAAAACAAATATTCTTTTATGCTGGTTGCCACTTGACTCGTCAAATGACAACGTCATTTTGAGGAAGGTTTTCAAAACTTGAAATCCTACCGGAGAAAGGTTGAACTCTTTTTGCAACTCTGAGTGTGTCTAAAAATAATTGTCGTAAATTATTTAATTTTCTGTTATAAGGACCAATACACGTCTAAAAATTAACTATAGTTTAATATTGGGTAAATCATGTATAATTTTTTCTAAAGTTCTTGATGTTTAATTTGGGTGATATTTGTCCCATATTTTAGCCTGTGCGATCACTTCAAATATGCTATCAGTATATTTCTCGGAAGCAGGAATAAACTCCTCCACCTGCGATTGCAGTGATTTCAAAGCTGATTCCAACTCATCGCGTTCAACTGCTCCTATGATTGAACCAATGATGATATCAACAGCAATCCCAGCAAGACCTCCCGCCACTGCACCTGCAATTGTGGATGCTGCTAGCTTTGCAGCTTTCGATAACACCACTTTTGTTAACTTTTGAGCAACAACTTCCCCTACTACCCCTCCCACAGTAGCTCCTGTGATCCCCGCCACGATGTCGGTAACTTTCTGAGAAATCTCAATCTACAACGGAATGGAAATAGATCATGATTTTAAAAGCCTTTTAATTAAAATTGCGATGGAATAAATAGTACCTCTGCATGCCCGAATTCCAAACCTAAGAATACCCGCATTTTTACGATGATTGTTATAATTTCACGCAAATATATTTGTATTCCCGATTAATTTAGGTATTTCTGCCTAAATGTAACGAACTTTAACAATCTCACGAAGTAAATCTTTATCCTATAGTTGAAGATAATATAATACATAATAGAGGCCTGTTTCAGAGGGGAAAATTTAACAGGAAATTTAAATTGTTTCACCTTTTGTTCGAATGATGTATCAACATTTGTTAATTTTTCGTAAAGGTCCGGCTCTAATTTCTTCTTCAGTTCTTCGTCGATATTTTCTAAAACTGCTTCAATTGCGTTAATCTGTTTCACCAGTACGTCTGCATTGTCTCGTAATGTCTTGGAAGAGTCAACATAGATTTTAGTGAGGTTAGCAGTTGTAATATTGTCGTTTAAATACTGCACTAGTTTATTTGTTGCTCTGAAGTTATAAGCCATAGCGTCGAGCAGATCCTGAAGTTTACGAACAACAGCAGCACGACGTTCATTGTTTCCTGGGTAAAGAATATCAGCCCAGGACATTTTGAAATAAATCTAAAGTTCTAAATAAGAAAATAATTTATCGCTGTTCGGCTGTTAGTATGCACCAAAGTTTAACTTTAATTTCACGGTTCTTATATAGAATAATTGAAACATTTACCGGAAATTTATTCTTAACCGTAGGCTCCTAAATATAGAATTTAGCTCCTAAATACAGAATTTAGCTCCAAAACTTTCGTTGGCTATATTTATTGCAAAACATCCTGGCCCTTGAGTAAAATACACAGGAAGAAGTTTTGTCTAATTGCTACAACAAATTATACAAGACTGAATATTAACGTAGTGGGGAGGGAGGGTGAAATTTTTGCTGAAATTATTCGTCCGATAACCCCAAAATATTTTCGGCCGGTACACGCCTATATATATATATATATATGTTAATTCCCCCCACACTAAAACACTTGTAACTGATTAAAATATGTACAACCGGAATAGTGACTGAATACTAGATCTTCATTTGTCAGTTGTCACCTATAAGGAATCCTTGGACTAAATAGTTTAAATGAAGTTTTTTCATATAAAGAGTAAAGACCGTAAGTTTATATACCGACATAGATTAAAATATAGCTACTGAAGTAGACTGTAGGAGCACTACAGGGGTTCACAGATGCATGTAACGCCCCACGTTCTCAGCTCATATTTTCTCAGCTAGTTTAAATTCACTTCCTTTTTAAAATTTTCATTTCCTTTTTCTTAGCTTTTAATTGAAATGCAGTTTCAAAAACAGGATAAAGTCGAGAAATATTTGTACAAGTAAACTAATGAACACATTTGCTGTAGTTTTTGAGTCGACTAAGCGACTAGTCACGGCTGGCATAAACGTGAAAAACTGCAGGTAACTCATAAACTCCAATCTTCATGTTTTCGTGGACTGAATTTTTTTGGCCAAGTTCAGCCGTTCGCCGACGTAAAAACCAAGCAGTTCGCGAAGCTGAACATTTGAAGAATGCTTTAACGAGCAATTTTAGCTCAACAAACTATCTTTCAGACTTTCTAAACTCTCAAGTACCAGATGCAAATCTCGCACACATTTTTTTGGATCCATCGAAGTCATTCGCAGAAAACGCTCGTACATTGTCGAGCCAGGCGCATGCAATCAAAACTTTGATTGATAAGTTGGATAAAAAGATTAAGATTCAACTAGAACCACATCTTTACGAGAGAATTATAAATCACAACACTTCCTTTGAAGACAGGATTGAAGCAGCTCGTGAAATGTCGAAAGCGTCAGTTGATATCACCAGTGATACGGTATATTTCTTAATTCTTTTGTTCTGTTTTATTTTGTTTTGCATAGAAATATTGTCTTAGTTTCACAATAACCTTAATATTGACCAACAGGCAACAACTGGGTGGCATGTTATGGAGTGAAGACACTTACAGAGAACTAATTATTACCAACGTTGTCTAAGACAGTTATTAAGTTTAAGAAATGTTTGTCAGGTTTGAACTGAAAAATCGAAATGGGCAGATCACCCATTCTCAAAAAAAATCCTGACAATAATAATTAATGTGTTCGTTGCCTTGCATTTTCTAAAGTTTCTTTTATTCGGACTTGTTTGCATGATGATAGCCAACGACGTACATTTTAGTTCGTAGACAATACTAAAGTCCAAACATCCCAAATCTTTATTTAGGTCATTGGAGTTGTGGGCAAGCTTGTTTCTAAGAATTACATCCAGATGCTTACATCACGAACAGCCCAATTTGCTACAACGCCACTGGCTATTGCGATTGGTACCGATCTTTCAGCGGTTGCCGCTGACAAACTGGTGGATACGGTCACAGCCGCAGCAAAAAGCGACAATGCAGATGACGGAATTCTGGAACTCCGTGTATTAGTCCAGGGATATACTGCTGACTCGGCAGAATTCAGTGATACAATACATGAATTACTAGCTGATGTGACAGTATGGAACAAGTACCATGCACGATGATCTTGTTACAGTGATGTAAAATGCGTTACCGTGCCTTCAAAATGATCTCAATGTTGACTATAAAGTACAGTATTTTTTTAACAAAACGCAAACTAATCAGAAATTTATTGTAAACTGTGAAACGATGCTGTACAACATAATTTCCAAAATGTGTAACAAGTCAACTGTATCTCACTCAGTAAAACTCATTAAAATTCTGTAGTCATTTAATTTAGAAAAAAATACAATATTTACTAAACGCAGTTTAGCCTATTTCTGCAATAGTGTAGCATAGTTTACAAATCGTGGTGAAAAATAGTTAAAATATGCATGGTAAAACGTCTCTAGTACATAGGCCAGGCTTCTTCGTATCAGTTCAAGGAATCATTTTTGCACGATCTGACATACATCAGTGGAGTCTTTCTTCTATCCATTTCAAGCAGGGGCAAGGGAGGCTAAGCCCTATTAATGTAATGATCGACCATGGAGCTTAGGTAGAAAAGCCTGGCTTGCGAGGTTCGTAATGTATCCGTGAATAAATCTGCTCTAAGATGCAACCAATCAGGGGCGCGGACTGAGGCATCGGGCATTAGGCCAGATAATGCGAAAGAGGCAAAGAATTCTAAGGGCCCACTAAAGGCTACACAAGGAAATAATGGGGGCTCAAAGTTAAATCTGGCCCGAGGGTCGAAATCACAGCCAATCCGTCCTTGCAACCGGTGGTTACCTTCGGAAATAACCCAGCAGAAAATAGTCCAGAAACCAAAATTATCGATGGGACGAAGTCCAACTGCAAGGAAGGCAAAATGCGAAATTTTAAAGGAAAGTAATTGTATAATGATATATTTTTTGACGAGAATATATATTCATTTCTTAAATTCTTAAAAGTTGTTCAGATGTTTGTTGAAAAAGTCACGTTCAATGGTATATACCATACGTAGAATTCCTCTCCGCAAGAAAAGAATTAGACTTTTAGTCTTTTTACAATTTCTTTTATTTTTTGGGGTTACTCGTTGAAGGGCCGCTGGATCAGCCATATATGCATAATGCATTAATAAAATCAGATAATACTTTATCATTGCCCACGGTCCTAGCCAAGCATCGTCAATCAAGAATCTAAGACTGATTTTTGCTCCATTTTATTGAATTAATACAACGATGGAGAAAATTTGTAATTAACTGAAGTCGAGAATCAGGAACATTTAAACATAGCCTAAGTGACAAGTGTATCTATAAAGCGTCATATTTTCGTTATAACAACTTTGTATATTAATTGTTTTTATTCATGCATCAGGATGATATTTCTCCCAAATTTTCACTTCTGCCAACACTTCATAGATTGTATCAGTGTAACCTTCTGAAGCTGGGATGAAATCTGTGACCATGCTTTGAAGATCAGAGAGAGCACTCTGCAATTCATCTCTCTCTACAGCACCAGTTATAGCACCAACAATGACATCCACTGCGAGACCAGCAATGCCACCTGCAATAGCACCAGCTAGGGATGATGCCGCAATACGACCGACTTTTGAAGCAATGACTTTGGTCAATTTCTTAGCAACCATCTTTCCAACCACTCCCGAGACTGTCGCTCCTGTGATACCTGCAATTAACTTGGCAACCTTCTGAGTTATTTCAATCCTTTCTTCAAATGACGTATCCACGTTTGTAAGCTTTTCATAAAGCTCTGGGTCTAGTTTTCCCTTCAACTCTTCAGCAATTTTTTCCAACTGAGCATCGATAAGGTTGATTTGATTCACCAAGGTGTTGGCGTTTTCTTTGAGTGATGCAGAGGAATTGACATAGATCATAGGCAGGTTAGCAGTGGCGATCGTCTCGTTCAAATATGTTGCGAGTTTGTTTGATGCTCTGAAATTGAACTTCATTGCATCCTCTAGTTGCTGTAGTTTCTGAACCATTGCGACCCTCATATCCTGATTTCCAGGATAGATGATATCTGCCCAAGACATATTGTTTTACAAGTGTTGCTCAAAGTAAGAAATACGACAAAATCGTTCGCAAGCAAGCTATGATGAATTAAAATGGAAAACGTCTAGTTGACTGGTTTATTTATAGCACGTTTGTAATCCTCTAAAATTCTTCCGCCTTTAAAAGGGAATTACTTTTACGGTTATCATGTCTTTTGATTAAAAGTGAAGGAAATTATTTGCTCAATAACTCACTCGTGTATATTAAATGCAATTTCATAAGACGCGGTGAACTGTTTTCTTTGCCGAAATATTTATTCCTAATTTGCTTGTTTATTCCGTTCTCTTCTAGTCAATGTTGTTGTAGGAAATTTGCTAAATTTTCGCAGTGATTTCCACAGGAAATTGTTTTAGTAAACCTGGGATGTCCAAACGAACCAAATGTTTTGGTGCCCTCGTCTTAATTATACACCAAACGTTTTTAGCTCATGGAAGTCAAACACTAGCCGTTCCTATTTCAAACCTTACTCGTGTGATCTGGTCTGTTACAGTTTACTAGTAAACTAAAAATCATTATAAATAACTAAGCACTAAGTATTCTTCCAGTATAGTCCTCTGTCTTCGTATGATATATCATAAGTATCCAGCTGATCTGAGATTATGACGTCATAAAGCGTCTCGACAAAACTGAGTTATCATGTTCCTCGTGTTATTTGTCCCTATTCTTCAAACTAATAGTATAAACGGTAAAGAATTTAAATTCTAATTTACAGTTGGGAAAAAATAAACGTGTTTTCACATAAATATAATAAAATTACTTGATATTTTCAAGTCATATGCAATGAAGGAAATGATAATTCAGTTTTGTCGAAGATCTGGCTTCTGATTGGTTGAGCTTTATACTCAGATCAGCTGGATAGGGACGATTTAGTATTTTTTGTAAGGTCCTTAGACCGTACTAACTGTACTCAACTCTCTCCTAATATGCACGTGAACTAGTTTTTTACCGTCAGCTTTCCTTTCGCGCAATGTGAAATTATATAGGTTTATTCACCATCCCATTTTGATGTCGACCTTAACCGTGGAGCTGTTATTACGATCATGAGGAATTTGATCATTGCATTTGTTGGGTAGTTGTAAATAATTGTAAACATTCCTAAATTAGACTACAACGAATCGCAAAGAAAAATAAGTTAGTTGCACACATTCTTTCCCACGTTGTCATCTGCTTGACACATCATATGTACAAATTGGCCGCAAAATGCTTGTCCTGTATTCCCTTAAAAGTCCTGCATCTATGTTTATGGACCATGGATTAAGGTGATGAAGATATGCATACAGGAAAAACAGTTACATGGTCATGCATTTATGTTTTTGGCCTCACAAACTAATTAAAAAATTCCACGTACCAAAAACATGTCTCATGCATTATCATATAAAACGAGAGATGTACAATGCAAGGAAAAGGTCTACTTGAGGATCAATCATAATCATATACCAACTCGGCTGAACAACGTGTAATTTGCCATCACAAACATGGGACAAGTTTTTTCAGATTTATTTTACCCTGACAATCCGAAACGCAGGGCAAAAGTGGTACGAATGATGCAAAATATGTATGATTACATGCAATCTAACTTTCGAGCAACAAACAAGCTTACAGATTTCCTAAATGAAAACATTGATGGCACTAACTTTAGCCATATTGCTGTTGATGAAAATAAATCTTTGAAAGACAACAGTAATCTACTTATTGGAAGAATCGAGGAAGCACAAGCTATTATCGAGAAGATTGACAAGGAGCTGGCAGAGAAACTTGACCCAGGGCTTTACAGAAACCTGAAAGACGTTGATCTATCGTTTCAAGATCGCATGGAAACTGCTCAAAAAGCGACACATGTTGTCACAGGTGTCGTAATCACAGTTGCGGCCATTGCTGTATGTGTTGCAATAGCAAGTGGAGGCATTCTTGCACCTGTTGTGGCAGTGTTAGGTGCTTTAGCAACATCGGCTATTGCAACTACGGTCATATCAATCATTGGTGGCCTTGGTATTGGTATGATTGTCGGTGCGATTACTGGCGCTATTGAGAGAGATCAGCTGGAAGATGCCATCAGTCAACTAGAAACTCAACTAAACACGTTTGGACCAGCATCACTTGCATACACAGAAAGCATTTATGAAGTTCTTGCTGAACTTAGAATCTACGAACTACAGTGAACAAATTAAAGAACTTTGTAATCAATGTTATTTAATTAGTAATAATCAGGTTTTCCTGCATGAATTTAAGCGAGTTAACGATGCTAAGGAGGAAACAATTACTGAATGTCAATAATTAACAATAATGTAATAAATTTTATTTCATACAATCAACACAGTGCGAAAAGTGATTATACTCTCCATTCCCGACATATTATTTAATAACTGGGTTGATTTTGTTTATAAACTCACTGCAGTTAATCTTCCCAAAGGCAAAGCACTAAAAATCTAAAAAGAGCCGTCGGCGATCAAACGAGGAAATACGGTACTTTCCAAAACAAATCATTCGCACATTTGACGTAGTTGGTTAGTTCGATCTCATCCATTTTCACAAAGTAACCAAAAGTGAACACCGCTTCGAAAAGGTTTAGGGGCAAGAAAATTTTTCTCTTTAAACTTTCGTTTATTTCCCTGTTGTTTTTTATCATCTCAAATACACAAAGTCCATCCATTTCAAGCAGGTTTAAAACTTCAGCAACAATCTAGTAAGCCATTGTCGTTGGGGTTGGCCCAAAAATTAATAGGAGAAAATAAGAAATCGAAAATGATAAATAATGTAAATTGTAAAATAAAAAAGTTGAAATACAAAATAGGATATGTAAAATTCAAGATCAAAAATGTGGAAACAGTGTTGCCAAGTCAGTTTCCCCAAAAATCCCAAGATATTTTTCTCCGCAGCCAAGCGCTAACCGAAGCCTGGGCTGCCCCGCACAGTTAACCAATTCTGATGATTTGTTAACGTTGAATCTATGTTTGCTTTGGCGAGCTTTAAAAACGGAGAAATATTTGTAAGGAATTGAAGTTATCGTTTTGTCGAATATTTGAGCAAGAGCCGAGCTCAAAGAGCAGGAAAACAGGGTCAACAGTAAACATCGATAGTAGATCTGTTCGATTGATCTTTAATCCGTTATGTTTGCGCTCTTTATATTTTCTTAAATTGTCTTTGAAAAGTCTCCGTGATGGATCTGAGCGTGAAAGATCATAAAATCATCAAGACTGTCATCTTGTAGCATTGGGTATTTGTCCCAGCCTTTTAGAAGAACTAGGTGCAGCCTTTAAACAAAGAACTGGTTTCGGTGACGCCTTGTGCGCTTCATTAAGCGGAGAGATTTTGAAAAGCAGCTGATGTTGTTAAGTTTGGCTAACTCTGGCTTCAGTGCGTGGTTCGATTCACTGTGGCGAGGAATAGAATGGTCGCAGTAGGTTTGTCCACTTTCTCTACAAGTGCCGTCCCACACTTCGAAGTTATGTATTCTCGCGGGGAAAGCCAGGGGATTTATCCAGACTTTTGATTGACAGTTCTCGGGCTGAAGGCACTAACGAGAATGCAGAGTTGACTGTCTGAATGTCTTTGTCGCTGTTTTACTGCTGTAAGGTTGATGAAGATGTTTGATGTTTATGAATGATTTCTGGTATTGTACTATTGTTTGATTCAGAGACTCAGCCATGCAGAGACTGGGGAGAGTATTCAGGGGTAAATTAAAGTAGTTTTCAGTCGATATAAATTTTTATATCCGTTCCATATATGTTTAATAACAGTGTTTTTTGTATGTAAAAGAAAAATTTGGAAAGCATGCAAAAAAAAAAATTGGGAAAGAATGTAAAAACACCCAAAAGAGATCATCCAGCCTATGCCACAATCTAACCTGGTTATACAACCGGCTGCAATATACCAACATAATTACAACTACGAAAGGTGCAAGGACAGTTGCTATAGGAAGAACTCCCCCCCATAACTCACATCTTAACGGCCGTCTAAGGGGGAGATGCACTACGGCCCCCAGACCATGATGTATGTGCACCTAACCGTTACGTCTCAGTGAGAAACAGAGTATGCTTTGTCACACGCCTAGCGCGTCATAGACGAATCAGCTACAGTGGCTAGCCTTGAGAGCGAAGATAAATTTAACGTATTTAGCTATTCCTGGTCTCGGGAGGCGGTCCCTAACAAGTATGTGCATAGAAAACGACTAATAAGGCACACGCTTGGAAATGACAAGATTTAAACGCCTAAACGTTTTTTAAGTGTTTTTAGCGAGAAATTTTAGTGTTTTGATATTCTTTTAGTGTTTTGAAACAATCCTTGTTGGTTTTTAACGTTAAAATAATCGTCATTCTTAAAAGGAAACTCAATATAAATGACTAAACGGCTTAGTTTGCTAAAAATAAAATGTTTTCTCAATTTTGTGTTTAGTATAGCCGCTTGATTCGCCGGTACACTTTGGGCCTAAATTGTATGTATTTATTTCACAAGTTTTTATTTTTATCTTCCGAATCTTCGTTGATTCTGTTGTATTTTCGGGGAATATTAAAGTTCGATCTTCTTTTTTTCTTTTACTAACTATCCATGCCAGTGGAAATCAAATTCGCGTTTCTTACATGACGTTTGCCGGCAGGATGTAAGCGCGCGAGGAGTGATGGGATAATAGAAATTAATATGGAAAAAATACAAATTTCGATTCGAAAAGTTTGGTTTTCAGTCACAATATAAGAAAACAGGATTTTTTATATATTTTTAGTGATATTGCGTGAGTTTTTGGGTTCATAACATTAGTAACATTAAAGATGACAACTGCCGCCAGACCAACATTTGAGCCTGCCAGAGGGGGCAGAGGAAAGGGTGAAGGTGATTTATCAGCTTTGTCAAAGCAATATTCCAGTCGAGATTTACCATCACACAATAAACTTAAACGAAGGTTTGTTTATGGTTTGACTAATAAGTAAATATAAGTTTTTCAACTTTCGACACTGTGTTTAGCTGTTAAAATCTAAAAGCACTCATATGACTCATATCACCCAAGTCCATGGGGTTTAATATTATTCCATAATTTCATTCCCCCCTGTTGAAGAATCGCGAAATGCTTATGGTCATTAAACTATGCCCTGAAATCCTCAGGGGAGCTGAACTTGGAATCTTCATGGGAGCTAAACTATGGCTTTGAATCCTCAGGCGCATTTCCTTGGCGGAGCAAAACTACGGCTTGGAATCGTCTGGGGAGCTTGAGGTCTTTGGCCAATCTTCAATCATAGATATACATTAAGCCATTTAAGTAATATTGTCCAGTCATAGGCTTGAAGAACATGCAAAGTTTAGAATAGCTGATGATAGTGATCAGAAAACATTGAGTTGACAAAAAAATTATACATTGAAACAAAAAAGTCACATTATTTGCATCATCATCTACAGACAAACTGGCCAAGACAGTATCGATGAATTACGAGAGAAAGATTTCAAACGCGATTTAGAAGAAAGAGAACGGCAAGCAGTGAGAGAAAGAACAAGAGAAAGGGGGAGTCGAACTGAATCAAAAAGATCAAAACTAGATCAATTACCACCAGCAAATTTAGATGCAGATGATCCTGTCGATGACGATGATTCTGATGATTCTAATGAAAGGTTATTATTATGAGATGAAGTTGAGGTTTTATTTTCTAAATTGCTCAAAGCGAAAACACAATAACAGTCCTTCCTTTCTTTTCAAAGGATATTACAACTTTATTCCCCCATATTTATGTTGTTTCATATTTAGGACATTGACTTCTTCACCATTAGTGTAATAGTGTGGCATCATAACTTCGGATGCAACTATTTATTCCACATTATGACAAAAGTGTGCATGAGAATTCATATCTAATGTTGCCCATAGGACATCAGGATACCACCCATGGCCAAAAAAGAGATTGTGAATTCTTTTAAATAAATAATTTGATTTATGTTAGTGATGATGAAGATGACACTGCTGAGCTTTTAGCAGAATTGCAAAGAATAAAGAAAGAAAGAGCACAAGAGGAAGCCAGAAAGGTTGGAGGAATTTTTGACCAAAGATATTTGTCTTTTTACCACAGATATTTATGCACATATCAACAAGCATAATTTACTGAAATTTACTGTATCAGAGTGCATTATTTTTTTATTATTTATCCAAGTCAATTAGAGCTGAAAGTTAAGCCATATTGTCTATATGACATTGTGGCTGGAAATATTCATTTAACTTTATTGTGGTAAAAGGCATTTGCATTTTTTGTTAGGAACAAGAAAAGAAGGCTGAAGAAGAGCGAATAAGAACAGAAAATTACTTGCAAGGAAATCCGTTATTAAAAACATCTTCTAATTTTCAAGTTAAACGAAGGTACAGGAATATTAATAGCAATCTAACTGCAGATGTTTTAATAATAGGCACAGCTGCTAGTATTATACATTTTTACGTCTACATTTAGTTTCTGGTTTGGATGCTAAATAGTAAAAATAACAAATAAACATGACTTTACTTGGATGAGATCTAAAATATTCAGAAGTTCTTGTCATATTCTTTGTGTTATCTTCTATTTCTAAGTATTTATTTATTGTGTAGTCTAAAAATAATATTGTTATTAAATTGATGAGGGTTTTATAATTCAGGTGGGATGATGATGTTGTTTTTAAAAATTGTGCAAAAGGCATTCCAGAAAAAGGAAAGGTGAGGATGGATTTGGTTAAATAGGTTGTGTTTTTAATTTTAGGATATATGGTAGATGTAGTAATGATAGTATGTCTTCTATTTATTATTTCCTTTTTTAGGAAGGAAAGTTTATCAATGATACCTTAAGGTCTGAATTTCACAAGAAGTTTATGAACAAATATATTAAGTAAGGATGAAAACAATTATCGAACAACACACTAATGTTTGCTGGGATGATGTATAATACATGGCATTTGTTATTGTAAATACCTTAAATAAACATGTTCGTGAAATACTGTACTGACTGTACACATATTAGCTATAGAGGCTGTAGAACTGTATAATATAAAACATGCTATGAAAATAAACATCTTGTCAAGCTGGAGTATGTTTTATATTATATTTTGGTGAAATGTACTGTGTACATCTGTGGTATGTACATGTGGTAATTTTTTCCTGGTGCAAAAATTACCGCAAGCACAGTCAACTACAAATACCTAGTTATGATAACTCAATTTTGTTACATCTGTGTGTTTTTGGAGCTGGTTGTGAGTGACTACTATTGACATCATTGGTAATATTAACAACATTTGGTTATAAATCCATATTTTCCACAACTGAACCAGAATGCATTTCCCCAATTTTTTAAATACAAAGACCAGAATACTTTGCCAGTATCATCTAGAAATTAGCTGATACTCGGTAAAGTATGATTAAGGATCGTGGTCTCGATTCTGTGTCGTGGCCCGTGTATGGTCTATTACGAATTTCCGTCGATTTGCTCCGACTATCCGTATTTCCGCTTCCCGCATTAACTATCCCAGGGTTTGGGGTGACCACATCGTGACCGTCCCTATAGAGATAGCTTGCAGGTTGCAATTTACCGGACATATTGATATTTTAATAGACGTGAAATCTTGATGTATTTATTATTAATGGAGAAAAGGTTTCAAACATCGTATGATATCAAAATTTATTTGAGTTATTAAACGGTTGAAAGAAGACATTAAAAATATTTGTTCAAAATAAAGGCCACCACGGTTACATTCGTCCAAGATTGAAGAAGTTGTTTCATTAATGTACAAGATGGCAGCTACACGGGCTATAAATAATACCCTAACGACCGAATTATCGTATAAATACTTGTATTGATATTACATGATGTGGTATTCGCTGAATACTGTGTTTTGGGGATTATTCTTTATAGCATTTGTGCCGATTATTAGCGCAGAATGTGGGGGGAAAACATCTATTAGTGGATTGTTAAATGGGACAATCACACTCGACAGTCTAACCTATCTGCCAAATACACATTGTGAATGGCTAATTAGAGGTAAGTTAAGTTTTTTTCTCATATCATTCTTTTCTGTTCGTCAAGTGCGTTATGTTAAGGATGTTTTTTTAAGATTACATATAACATTGCTCTAGAGACTAAAAATTAGGCGCATTGCGTATATTTTTGTAATGGTTCTAGCCCACGTTTGATTTTCAAGTCTAAACATGTCCAAGTAGTCCAACCAGGTTTAATATTGTAATAAGTAAGGTTTGTTTGGGATTGCCAGGCTGAATCTAAGTATTTGGTTCATTAACCTCTGCTTCATTAATATATTTTGCAAAAGCTGGGTTGGTTAAGAATCCTGGGGTGAACCTGTGTTAAAACATGATTTGTGTACTGTTTGTCCAAATTAAGGATCATTGAAACAATGATAGATGGCTTGCTACATATCTATTTCGAATAACATTCCTCAGTTTTTTTAGGGTGATGATTTATCGTTAATTTAGCATAGAATGACTGACAAAGGAAAGAATAGAAATCAAAGCAAAGCATTTGGAAGTTTTTTCAGCAATCAAATTCAAATACAGCAATCACCACCATTGCCATTCATTTGCAACATTGCAAATACGGCAATCACCAGATTTCCACTGCATTGCAAATTTGAATTTTCATCCTGTGTTAATATAACTGAGTTCTTGTGCCAAGATACAACAATGGCAAGACAATTGTTAACTGCGTGTATAGAGTTTATCTCCTCTTCATTGCATCCCTCACATTTCCATCTTTTCCATGCTACTTTGCAGCACAGAACTTTTAGGAAATTTTATTGAACTAAATGAAATACAGTGAAATGATTATCCCTAATTATTATGACTTTATGAAACATACATGTATTTATTTCTGTAATGCATTCATTCCTGTAGCTCCACAGCCTGACCAGAAAATCCTGCTTACATTCAGAGAATTTGACACTGAATGTTCCTTTGATTATTTGAAAATCTATGATGGATCATCAAAACAGAAATTGTTAGGAGTATTTAGTGGGAACAACACACCAGGAAAATTGGTATCAAACACCTCTTCAGTAAGTATAACAGTACCGAAAATTTAGTATAGAGATGTTTTAATATGAACACTGTACATAAATAATACCATGCATATGACATCATTATAACATCATACTTGTAGTGTATGGTTTCATTCCATACTTTCAAAACAGAGAAATGCTTGAAGTACTTTACATGTGACTACATCATGTGAACCCAAATTTTGAAGAGTTCTGTTGTCACTTCAGATCATGTAGTAAGGTTATTCTACCTCCAAAGTCCTGAATATATACAGGTCTTCTCTGTGTAAGTGGTGTGAGGTGGGACTCTACTCATATACTATAATAATGTTTCTTTATTCATCCAGGTATACTGGATACTGGGATATGTTGACATCTTGAAGGGAAGAGGGGCCCCCATAGTTCTTGTCCTAACCCAACCTAACTTGCATTATGCCCTTTCTCTATTGCTGAGTGTAACTTTATCACTGCTGAGAGTTGATAAAGATACCCCCTGAAGTGTTGAAAACCTTTTGTCATGATTGTGATTTGACCAGGCCAACATACCTGCGCCAATTAAAACAAGTAAGACATTCAATAATTCTGGAGACTGTAGAGTATTTTGTTTAATTAAAAAACTTTAAAAACTTGTGGAAAAGCCTACTATAAATTACGTTGATTTCCCTTTATAAAGCTTTATAGTGTTTCAACTATTCTGAGCACAATTAGGGCATGCATATCCTTGGATTGTTGATATAGAAAGATAGTCATCCTCTTAGATGATCAGGAAGAATGTAAAGATAGTGTGTCAATAACACCATGTGTGAAACTCGTCATATCTGTTGTTTGTCCAAGTTTGTGCAGACAGATGACCGGTCCCAACGTAGCTGTGTTGGGTTGGAAGGAATTGTGATATGCGTGTCGTAAAACGAATCACGCAAATTGTTATGTGTACCAACGGCAACGGCATCATTGATTATTACGGTCCAAAATATACCTCTAATACCATGCTTAATACCAAAGTTGTTTGTTTACCTCTTCTTAGAGCTAATGCCGCAATCGTTAAACCCACTTCTAAGATTATCGTTAATGCGATAAACAATATTTGTTTAAAATGTCGGCCAGATGATTGTTTTTAAAAATATGTAGCCAATAGCTAAGCGTGACAACGAAAAATATGAAAAACTGCAAGAGTTTTATTATATGTAGGTTTAAGAGTAAGATAAATTAGTTGCAAAACTGGTGAGAAATGTGAATAAGATTTAAATTAAATCCTTTGTAACACTTTAATCCATAAATCAAACCCGACGATTGTTACTACCGGGCTAATCTAACATGATAGATTCTTTATTTCATATTTCCGAGATTTCCGTTTCTAATCACCGAGTGTAATTTCTTGTATAAATATAACGTCTGAATCAAATTGTAGGAAGGAAATTAAAAAATAAAAGAGTCCATTTTCTCTAAATATAAATGACAATAATTTCATATCACAAAATAATCTACAGCTTGGTAGAACGACATCACAAGAGTTCAAACACCTTCATTGATTTTTTTGTCTTTGCAGATCGTAGTGGAGTTCTTTAGTGACAACAATTACGTGAGAGCGGGGTGTATTATTGATTTCTTAATCACCGACTGTCAGGGCAATTGTTCTGGTCATGGAAACTGTGTTAAAAACCAGTGCCATTGTGATGATATGTTTACTGGTGAAGCATGTGATGTAGAAATATGTCCTGATCTTTGTCATAATGCCACAGGAAATGGACAGTGTTCACAGGTGCTTGCAACAAAAACTATTTACCAAAATTAAGCCGGATAAAGTAATCTATATAATATGCTTACGTTAACGTGTTTTTTTCCTGATGACAGAAAAAATAATATCTAGACGATCTCGTTTTCCAAACTTCATATAACCTGAATTATCTGATCGATATGTAATTTCTTTAGAGTGAAGGTTGTCAATGTAATGTTGGTTTTGTTGGACAATCCTGTTCCTTTTCTCTCAATGACGGTGTTAACGCTGGTAAATGGCATTTGATAAACGATAATTCTCCAGTTTTCAAGAATCGTTTTGCACATGCTGGTGTTTATGTTGACAACAATGTTTGGATATTTGGAGGTAAAATTATAATTGCAGTTGTATACTGTACGTACTGTATTGTCACAATATTCGAGCGTGCATTATTATTGAAAGGTCGGCATGTTTATATTCCTAGTTGTTGTCATATAACGTCATTAGCTTCTTATGCCGTTTTTTTCGTGTTCTACCTTTATCCAATTCTTCTGACCATCAGATTCACCTCTCATTTGTAATTGAATATTCCTGTTTCCTGGATTCTCTTTCAAGTACCTTTTTAGTTCCCATCAGCACCTGCATCCTCCTTCAAGTACCTTTTTAGTGTCCTTTATTTCCTGGATTCTCCTCTTAGTCTTAGGACCTTCTTAGTTTTCTTCATCCCCGGATACTTCTCTGAGGACCTTTTTAGTTCCCTTTAGCTCCAGGATTTTCCTCCAAATACATACCTTCTTAGTTCCCTTAATCCCCTGGATTCCTCCCTAAGGACCTTCTTAGTTCCCTTAATCCCCTGGATTCCTCCCTAAGGACCTTCTTAGTTCCCTTCAGCTCCCGGATTCTCCTCCAAGGACCTCGTTTGTCCTATTTATCCCTTGCATTCTTCCCTAAGGACCTTCTTAGTTCGCTTCATCTCCAGGATTCTCCTCCAAGGACCTTCTTAGTGTCTTTTAGCCCCTGGAATTTCCTCTGCGGACCTTTTAATAGTTACCTTGATGGATCGTATGAGTAAAGGAGTAACAGCGTGGTTTGTTTTAGGATCAAATCTCAATGAAATCTTTGGTGATCTGGTAAAGTTTAACATTAAAGAAAATGTTTGGCAACGTGTTCAACCAATAAGTGATCGTCCTGTGAGTACTGAACTTATTCTATTCTGTTCCATATCTCAGTGAATTGTTCCAAAAATTCCAATTTAAAAATATGTCTGCGATGAGATGGCACTACTATTACTAAGAACATTAAATGTTCTTTATGTCAATTTTTAGTATTCTAGCATTGATTATTCCATTATATTCCATTATATGTCACACTTAATAAGTGATAGTTTGCATGCAGTGACCATGCAGGGCATTTCTATGTTTTAGGCCTCTCGATTTCGTCACACAATGGTCACTTATAACGATACCCTTGTCGTTTTTGGTGGAGAACTTGCGAACGGAACTCTACTGAATGACTTGTGGGTATTTAACATCTCATCGAGAATTTGGAAACGAATGGAAACGAATAACAATCCTCCTGGTCTTGCCTCCCACTGTGCGAGTGTTTTTGATGGTAAAATAATCATATTCGGTGGTAAGTATGTATCTGGGATGTATTTACATGGAATAATTCTGTCCTTGTTCAATTATTGCCCATTATTTCTTCGTAGGTCAAACTCAAGAGTATGGCTTCTCTCATCTGATGTACACGTATGATTTAGTCCTTCAAAATGGCTGGAAAACAATAATATATAACCTGGCCAAAATATCAGACCTTCGTCTTGTAGGACACACTTGTGTCTTTTATCCACCACTGAGGTCATTGCTCGTTTTTGGTGGATATAAAATTATATCAGGAAGGTACTGTACTGTACATGTAGATGTCTGCCCTTTGATTTCACATATGTCAACCCTCTTCGCCTTTATGGAGAATAAACTAGTATGCGATTCAAAGATGTGCAAACATTTTGTAAGTTTTTTTTTGCGTAAGTTTCTATTCAATCTGTTAGGCAAAGCACGAAAGTAAACAAATTGCTGATGTATCACATGGATGGAAAAGTATGGATCCCCATCGCTACGGCTGATAGTCCAAAACCAACTGCATATCATTCATCAGTTATCATGGGACACTACATGGTTACCTATGGTACGTCAGCCTAAAACATGCGTAAACTAGCCTATGCATGACTACACCTAAACTTTCTTAGTTCCGTTGTCATCATCTGCCTTATTTCCGCAGGAGGAGTAATTCACACTCATTACAAAGATGAGACTTGCTATGGGAAAAATATTTATTTATTCGATTTGAAGAACTTCACCTGGCGCAGTGTAACACCTACAGACATTGTTCAGAATGCGTCAAACAGTTGTGGACGTTATTATCATGTCGCGACAACTTTTAAAGAAAACAATGTACTCATTACTGGAGGATTTAGCGGGATTGCCAATGGTGATGCTGTGGCTTTTAAAATACCATCCAACATCGTACAAAGTGATAGTGAATCTTCTCATATGTGTTATAAATTTTCACAATGTGTATCATGCTTAACCTGGGGGTCACAGAGGGACATGTTGTGTGGTTGGTGTGTACAAGATAGTACCTGTTATCCACGTGAATCCCCGTCCGGTCCATGCTCTTCCACCCAAACCACTCGGGGTTGGTGGGGTGACAAGGGATCATTCTTGGCCTCGGTGGACCAGTGTAGGATTCATGATACCCCACCTGGGTTGATATCAAATGTATGTTTTGGAAGTCGGCTTGATGACGTTCAGCTTGTCAATCCTTTGAGAGAAACAGCATATACAATCCCTCGACGAATTTCGCGTCCGAAATATCAACCTAGCGATCTAATTAAAGTGAGATTATTTGGATATATTTACCCATTCTTGTCACAGACGTCTGTTGATGAACCGGTGAAGTTAATTCTTCGCATTACGGAGATAACGGCCAGTCTTCATTTGAGCACCAATGAATTAGAGGAAAATACGGTAAGAAGGCCTTTTCCGGGCAAATTCGCAGGCAGCGATGTGTTTTTTAAACCAATCGAGACGCCCCCTTAACACACTGCCCGCCAAAGATCTAGACATTTCCCGCGTTTGACAAATCAAATATCATCTTGTTTTAAGGAAAAAGTAATATCCACCAATTCAAAAAAAGGTGAACTAAGGTTATCTGAAGAAGCGAAACGTCCAGTTTCCAGTTCCCCGTTATTCCCAAATCCGGCTAAGAATAAAATGTATTACATTCAAGTGAAGGGTGAGATTGAAAGCACAGTAAGAAAGCCGTATTTGGAAGTTCTTAATGCGTCGGGTTTTGATGTGGTGAGTATTTTTGGCAAACATTTGTACTTTATAAGAGAAAACACAGTCCGAAAATAAACATCTTGTAAACCCAAGATATGAGTTGTTAAAAACAAGACATAATATTCAAGGTGATATTTCGACTCTATTTCAAAGTCATTGTCGGGTTTGAGTGTACCATTGGGAGACGTATTAAGACTTATTGTAGGTTGTTAGAACTCTAATGTGCTTCTCATGCAAGTTACACAAATACATGCATTTTGCCGGCATTATTTGATATTAGTACTGACTTGCAATAATTTTACCTCTTTTAGATCGATGGTCGCTATGTTCGACCATTTTTTTCTGATGATTGTGGGCAGTACAAGACTTGTCTTGAATGCCTCTCTGATATGTCATGTGGTTGGTGTTCGTCAAATAATGTCTGTCTGCAAAGAAATAGCTCAATGAAATGTCAGCATTCGTCTGGTGAAGATATTTACCTAGTCCTCAATTCTACTTATTGTGAAACGTGTGCTCAGTATATTGATTGTCAATCATGTCTCAAGGTAAGAATTGACCGCAAAAATTTCTCGAAGTCTGTCTGCTGCATGAATATCTGGCTAAAATAAAATCTGGCTAAAATTCTGATCTTCCAATTCTGATCTTACATAACATATCCTAGAGAAAGTGCACGACCTTTCTGTTCTTTCCAAAATCAGAAAATGCAATAAATATATGCAGAATTAGCAAGAGAAAGAAATATTGAAGTCCACGTGCAGCGTTATCTTTAGCCTGCATGTAGGCGGTCCATGCGGGCGGTCCCTACGTTATCTTAAACTGCAGCGTTATCTTAATTCAATTTATATATTTTAGGACAAGCAGTGTAATTGGAATGATCACTACAAAATTTGCCATAAATTTGAAGAAGGCGAAACGCAAGGCAGGTGTTACACACCATGTACAAGGTAAGAAGCGATAAGTTGTACTTTTAAAACTTAATAAAATGCTTTGGACGCTCACCACTAAATACGTAATTATCTAATCAACTACATTTTATACATTACTTATAATGAGTGATCTGGCTGACTAGATATAGTCCCCTTGCAGACCATGAAGTGCATGACATGCTGAAAATCATATGATTGAAAGAACTTCGTGTATGAATTTGCATATTCTCGACGTTCAAACTCGCAATCGTTTCTTTTTTTAATTATATTCTTTTTTTAATTATATTACATGTAGATACAGACAAGTTTTTCAATTTTAGAAATTTCTACAGACTAGGGAGAATGAGGAATAACATTTGCTCTATATTTTTATTATTAAATATTTCTATTTGTAGTCGAAAAGATTGTAAAACTTGTTCATTAACTACAAATTGTGTATGGTGTGAGAACCAAGAGATATGTTTACCTTGGACAGCCATTCCCGCCTGTTTTATGGCTGGACGCTGCTCACATTGGTCTGACATGTATGTATAATGATGCTCCCGTGTGTTTTGCAATTCTCGCAACATTCCCACGTGTTTCTCGCAACAATTTAGTGTTTTGAATCAGGCGATCCAAACACAGTGACCATTTCTTTGATTGTTGATTTGTCGTGATGGAGGCCTAGCATAAAGCACTGTTTTCGTTTCTTGATTTTGTCTGTCTGACTGTGTTTAATCGCACAATTTGATCATTTCTTAAATATGCTCGTATTCTTTTATCGTGTAGATCAACCGCTGCTGGCAAATGTTCCAAGTGCAGTGAAAATGATGTATGTGATGATTGTCGTAAGACAAGAAGTTGTGGTTGGTGTGGAGAATTTCATAATGGCAGGTAAGCCATATTTGATCTAGCTGCCACCCCCCCTTTCATTTAATGTTTTCCAGGACCTGATGTGCAATATTTAATTGCATTAGAGGAATATTACGTTAATTATTATATATTACGAAAATTACTATTTAATTAGAACATGGGTTAAAAGAGTATTTCACTACCGCAAGGGTTATATACAATATTAATTGACAGCTTACTTATATGAAAACCAAGATTTACATGCTTTAACGAACATTAATGGAAAATCTTTTTCTTAGTTGTGTCTTGGGAGGATTTGTTGCCCCACGTAATGGAACCTGCAATGAATTGCTGTCTTTAACAGGAACAGCAAATAAGAAAAGGTATTTGAAATTGTATATCAACTATATCATAATCATTTAGGATTAGCTTTTCTGAAGAGTTTGTCTGTAGTGACACCGACATCATAAACTGTTACTAATAAAATCTTATTTTACGCCATGTCCCCAGTTTTAAAATGTCATCATTTTTTCAGTATAAGGTGAAACGTGAAACGGCTAATAGACATAATCCAGCAGTCCAGATTCGTTGTGTCATCATTTGAAGAGTTAGCATTGCAAAAGTAGATTAGATGAATTAACGAAGTGGTTTATTTTTGATATAAATAATAGACGCTGACGCGTCATAGTAATGTGCGTAGTGTAAGAGATCATATTTAGAAAAAGTCATCTTGTTTTATATGGGCTTAGCTATTTTTGACTGCTTATTTTAGCAACGAGTGGTCGTATGGATTTTGTCCAGATGAAAATGAATGTATAACCAGACGAGATTGTGATCAAAATGCAGATTGTATAAACACTGTTGGTTCATACAGATGTGAATGTCGAGATGGTTACGAAGGAGATGGGAAATTTTGCAAAGCATTGTAAGTTACTGTCATTTGCAACGACCTCCTGTTGTCGAGGTCAGTCTTACGATATTTTTAAAGTCTTTCTACGGTCAATATTACCCCCGGAGTCGCAATCTATCCCCTAACCAGTGGCGTAACGGACGTAAGGTAGGGTTAGGACAAGAACTAAGGGCCCCCGACCGTTGGGGGCCCCAAAGGGTCCCCATTGATTGCCGTCTATCGCCACGATTCTTAAAGAAAAACGGCGTGTCAGTGTATCACATAAAAAAGTCAGGTTAAAAACAAATTGTTATGCCAAAGATAGGCCTAGGGTATGAGGTTGATTGCAAAGGAGAATGCAGCATTAATTAATGATGGTAGATTAAATAATAGAGTATCCATCGACCATGGCTAAATTTTCTATTCTATTATCTATGTTTTATTACTTCTATAACTAATGAAGTAATACACTAATGTAAATTTACAAGCTTCAGCTCTCAATTTATTTTTCAAGTGAAAACATGACAAACAGCTCGGGCCCCCACACCAAATATACCTAAGGGCCCCATCTTCGTCCGTTACGCCACTGCCCCTAACAACAACCAACTGTCCCCTAATGAGAATTCGTGAAATACTAGGAGGTCAGGACATAAGGACGCGAAGCTAAAACAACGTATTTAACATCAAAATACTTATTTAAAGAATTTCAGCAAACAACGGATTCTGAAGTGGTAAATACTTATTTGAAATATTTCCACAGGTGTAATCCTCGATGTGTTTATGGAATTTGTATCAAACATCAATTTAATGACTCGCTCGATTATTGTAAATGCCAACTGGGTTGGACAGGAAGCGTCTGCTCATGGGACTGTGGTTGTCATAATCTTAGTACATGTCTCACTGGTGTTGGAGTGTGCGACAATTGTCAAGGTAAAACTGAAAAAACCTTTCAATTACCTCAGTTTGTCATTTATTGTATTTATCCATGATAATTTACTCTGCTTTCTAGGTTTATCACGTGGTAAGAATTGTGAATTGTGTGTTCCTGGAGCGTATAAGAAAGCGTCTGGTTCTGCAGGATGCACGAAATGTCAATGTCATGGACATGGTGATGAACAACGAGGGATATGTAACAATAAAACGGGATCATGTTACTGTGTGAACAACACGAGGGGTCCTCAATGTGATGAATGTTTGCCAGGTTTTTTTGGTGATCCAAAGTAAGTTTTCAAACATTGCATTTGTTATGACTTTTAACAACTGAGCTAACTGTGCCTCTGCAAGTAGGCGAAATAACGAACATATTCCGGAAGCTTTATTTATCGGTTCGTGATTTCTTAATTGATGTTAAATTTGATTGTTTTTGAGGCAGGCAGTGACGGCGAATTGGACGATGTGTGCATGCTAGATTTCCTGGGATCAAATCCTTTTCAAGTCAAAAAGTTTGGGGCTTCGTACTATTTAATATTAAAAAAATTATACTTAAATATAACCATATAAACTACACTATGCTGTTAAGAACTTTTTTGACAATTGGGTGATGTAATCAAGCTGGTGTTGACTGAAAATAGCCGTAAGATTAACCGTCTAAATCATGATCTATAGATATTAATTAAGAATTTTAATTGGAGTAGAGTGCAAAAAATTGTTGCCAATTGTTTCCACGAAATTGAATCATTGTCCGTCTTAAATCTAGCAAAAAATTGCCAGGCTTCGCAAAATTAAACTTTTTATTACATCATCGCTGTCGTTCCGTTCATTGCAAATCTTATATATTATAATGATTTTTCTTACAGAAGCGGCGAAGGTTGTTATTATCCCTGCAAAGGACATTCGATTTTATCGAATTTGACACAAGGAACGTTGAGCAGTTTAACAGAACCGGGCCAAAAATATGATCCTAAGAATATGAACTGTGTATGGATTATAACAACTCTCAGTCATTCATCAAATCAAGTTGTGTATTCTAATAATACTGCACCTGGAACTGTCACATTTCAGATGAAAGACATCGTGTTAGATTGTCAAATTGATCATATTTTTATCTATGATGGTATGCCAAATTTTAGACTTGGTCCTATCCATACATCTTCAAATCTCGTTGGATCTTTATGCGGCACGAACCCGTCGGCAATTCCAGCTCTTGAGTCTCGTTCTGGCACTCTGGTTGTTGTTTTCAAAGGAAGTGTCGCTCAGAATTCATTTAGAAGTGGTTTCAATGCTAGCTTTGTGGTTAATCAATGTCCAAACTCGTGTACAGGTAACCGTTATTGCCATAGTAACGGAACACACGAGAGCTGTATTTGTAAGCCGGGGTGGACTGGAGCTGCTTGTGATAGCGTTAAATGTCCAATGAACTGTGGTGAGAGTCTGGGTCAAGGTCTTTGTGATCAGGTTTGTATTTTGTGAGACCTTTCTTTACATCTTCCAACATATGTTATCATATCTCCACATATTCTGCCATTCTTGTAGTAACAGCAAGTTAACATTATACTCCCGAGAGATGACATCTCTATGCACAAGAAATTTTCTGATATCTTTAATGTCATTTTTAGATTTCGAATCAATGTGTTTGCAAAGATGGCTTTTCTGGACCATCTTGTAACTTACAGCAATCTGACGATTTTCTTTGGAAACGTATTTCCAATGCGACTGGTTCAAGTCCTGCTGCATTGAAGCGCATGGGACATACCATGGTTGCTGATCATCAAACTGATACTTTGGTTATCTATGGCGGCTATTCGTTGTATTTAGGAGTTCTTGGTGATATTTGGAAATACAACACTAACACGAGGAAATATGTCCATGATCATGGTTGGAGCACAGCGCCGAGCCCACGGTATTTTCATGCAGCGGTCGTTTACAAGGTATTTTGGTTCAACCAATTTTTTGATGAACAATCTTTTAAACCCCCTGCCCTCATTTGAGAGATTGAAAATTTCAAACGTTTGTTATACCCCACTACCCCAATACCGTATTTTATTTCCCCGTACCTAACTCAGGTAGTACGTCTCACTCTGTCAAGTGAATGAACTTGTATTCATTGTTTAAATCGTATTTAACAGCGGGCGATGTATGTCAGCGGCGGAATAACGGAAAAGGAATATTCATCTGAAGTGTGGAAATATCATCTGGACACAAAACGTTGGGAACAGACACAGGTAAAAGCGTATTAACCCTTTTAATTTAATGTTGTGCCTGATTCAAATATCATTGGCATTAAAACGTTTATGGCGAAGCGTACTAAAGTGTGTATATCTTAATAATTGTATTAAAATATATAAAAGAATGAGTTACGTGCTGATCAAAATTTGACCATCCTCCTCCCCAACTACCTCTGTTTCGGGAACCCCGAAAACTGACAATTTAGGACGTATCATAGATTATTATTTAATAGGAATGCACCAACTCAAGAATTCGTGGACGGTGGATTTGATAATAAAAGGTTATAACCTATCCAACGACTTAAACAAACATAATAGCTATAAATCTCCCCCGTTTAGGCTCTTCCTCGAGAACTTGCTGGTCATACAATGAATATCATAAACGATACTTTGTATTTGATTGGGGGATATTCGTACGAGAAACAATGTTCTTCATTTGTCTATACATTATCGTTAAACAACTTGGGTGCAATGTGGTCAGATATGAATCCTAAAGGAGAAACATTCCAAGGTAAATTTCCTGTTTTTTCGAGCTTTGTAGTTTTTTCAATGATAAGACCTGGAAGATAATCAAGGTCTTGGAAATTCTGGGGAGGGGACTTCCAAAACATGTTTTAACCTTTTTATGTTGTAGGCTGTTTTGGACACACTTCAGTTTATGATCATCTTACGAAATCTTTGGTTGTATTCGGAAAGCAAGCGACGAAAATGAAGCCAACACTTGCATTTTTAAAACTCGTATCAAACGAATGGGTTGTCAAAACTGATGTGCCACAGGTAAGTTCGTTGTCGAAAGAATAAATCATATTGCATGACACCTGGCTATGTCCTGTATTACTGTTAATTCCTTTCACTTGAATTGCTTTGTTAAAGAGGTTTCCTCTTGGATTTGTTAATGTAGCAACTGAAAATGGCTCTCCTGCGATCAATAGGAAATTAGAAACAAAATTTTTCATTGTTACTGAAGTTAGTTTGATATTACATTAATACTTTTATTTAATTTCAAGTCACCCTTGAGGTATTTTCACGTATCCCTGGTTGTTGCTGACGTCATGGTTGTAACAAGCGGTTATACTGGTGATAATATTCAAGATTTTGCTAACCAACCATTAGTTTATGACTTGGTATGTGGTAGCTGGCACAAGCCTGATAGAGAAGGTATTTCTTTATTTTCCAGCTATAATTATACAAAGCGCACACCAGGGGTTGTTCCAGCACTAGTGCACTAATTTGCATGACACAAGAAAACTGCTAAAAATAACCACTTTGTTTTGTAATGCAAATTTGTGCACTAGTGCTGGATCCACCCCTGGCGCACACAAGACTATCCTGACCTTATTTTATCCAGTGTCGACGTATCTTTGTGGTAAATCGCTATACATGACTCTAAGCATTTATGCATTTTTTAAAAATGCATTCCCCAGGGTTTTTTCAATGCAATTGGTTTGTTTGGAGGATAAGAGTTAAGGAATATTACAATACTTGAGACAACCAGAAACCTTTTAAAAATTAAACTCAGATCATCGAACTGAAGTCGATCCTTGCGATTCTGGATCTGTGCTCTCATCCTCAAAAATTACTTGTTTACGTCAATGACAGCTACACAGGCTTTAAAATCATTTAAATAATTCTTTTTCAGGCGCGGTACCCTTGGTCTTTGCCCACAGTAGAATCGCTACCATAAATGACGTTTCATACATCTTCGGAGGTTACAATGGTCTGTCATCTGACAAGTTGTTTCATCAAAACACGTCTTCAAACTGGTGTGCCATGTTTTCTACTAAAACATCGTGCAGTAAAGTCAGAAATTGTGTCTGGTGTCAAGATACTGTCAGCAACCTCACTGCATGTTATATATCCAACACACATTCTCATCTGAATTGTAGCAATACAAATAATAGTTGTAAAAATGGTGCACATAGGATGGCAAGGGCTGCTGCTCTTACGTCATCAACTGATCTTTTTTGGCAAAAGCGGTCCTGGAATGTGTTCCAGTTGTATTGAAGGTAAGTTAAACGAATATACAAATAATCTTTAATGGCTGTCATTTATTTTATTAATGTTATTTAATACAAGTAAATCTTCTGTGTTACTACGTCATTTCCTAAGTACACATTTAAAAAGAAGCTTGGTTCATGAAGTAGTTTTTAAAGTTTTTTGCAAAGAGATATTTTGAAAGTAGATTAAAATATATTCAAAATATAGAAATACTTTTTACCGTATTTCGGGCTGAGATGAAAAAACTTGAAAAATGATTTTAGTTAATTGATATGCACATGCATATATAATAGTTTGTGTTTAACTTTTTAACTTCTTGTTTAACTTCCTGTTTTGCAACTTGGATAAACTCCGCTAACATAACGAGGTTGCTAACGTACAAATATTAAATTTTGTAGACAAAACCTCGACATGTTCATGGTCGGTTGATTCAAGCCTTTGTTTTTCACAATCTTTTCAACCAATCACCTGTGCCTTCGGACTATGTGGTCGTGTGTTACGTGATTATCACGTGTGTCCACCGTCATGCAACAGAAGCAAATATTGCTATGATTGTTTGGAACAGTATAATTGTGGTTGGTGCACAGGTCAAGCTCGGAATGGTCACGGAGTGTGTACTGAAGGAACAATACAAGGTTAGTGCATCATAGCTTACCGCTTTGTTTATGCAATAATCGAATAGATATTTCCTCTTGCATCACAGTAGAGAAAAAATCTGTAATTTTCTATGCTAAAGAATCTGGTCAGATTAAAAATTACTGGGGCAGGTTGTTCGAAAGGCGTTGAGCTTAAACGGTGGATAACTTCAAAATGGAAAACAAATTATCCATTTATTGAACAACTGAGCCGAAATATTTCGTTTCGATGTAAATAGTTTAATTTTCAATGGTGTATATTTAATAAAAGTGCATATTTAATGCATAAGATTAAGATACAGGTTCAGTCATTCAAAAGATGTACGAGAATATTTTTAAACTTTGACTTATCCATCGTTTAAGCTAAACGCCTTTCGAACAACCGGCCCCAGGTGAAGATAGTTAATAGAAAAACAGTGGAACAATGGCACATCAGTATAATGACTAATTATTTGGAGAAAACTAGAGTATGGACTATAGGATAGAATATGAATTGCCTGTTGTGTGAGCGTGTTTCGTGGGTTGTGGGAGTAAAATAATAACAAATAAACAAGAAAATAGCAATTTCTATTTTCCTCTTAGGTCCCTACAATGGAACTTGCGTTAGCGGGAATGATGTATTAGCAACGTGGGTATCGTCTGTGTGTTTACCTGAAAACGAATGCACAAATGGCCATCATCAGTGTAATGGAAATGAGACATGCGTAGATCTGGATTTCTTGTATAAATGTGAATGTTTGCCTAAATATGAGAGAATGTAAGTTTAAAGCTACACATAATCAGCTAATATACATGCTATAGAAACCAATGCGCTAAAATTTGGGTAGGATGTTAAACAAGTTATTTTCCAAAATCGGAAGGTCAGTCAAAGTTTCACTGGGAAATCTTGTAAAAGAAGATGGATTTTTTAGTAATTTATTGATTTATAATCGTTTGTATACCAGGAATTAAGTTTCAAAAGATGCCCAAAAACCATCGGTAAAATCAATCACTATTACGCTGCTTGTAATTCTATGGATGATAACTTTTGTTGAATCCGCTTTCTCGTGTGTTGGCCGAAGCTACTTTATCCTCAGTTTATTGAATGATAACCCTCTTAAAACATTTTAGAAATGGTACATGCACACCAGTGTGTAGTCAAGGATGTGTTAATGGTACATGTATTGATCCAGATGATTGTCTTTGTAATTTTGGTTGGGTTGGCAGAAATTGTTCTACTGAATGTCAGTGTAATAAGAAAGGTCAATGTGACGATATGAATAATCTTGATGAATGTAAAAACTGTCGAAATAACACGACGGTAAGTTTTACAACAGTTTAGATTTTGATTTCCTAATTGTAGATGATATATAGACTGCATTCGTCATATTCAATGCTAAGATTTTACCTCACACTAAAGCTTCACGTATCCAAAGTAAAAACAGATATACGAGACACAACGTCCTTGTCTGGTTTCAACTGAAAACAAAGTCCTTCATACCCGAGACACAATTTCATTCACATGCAGAAGTTTCCGAACACATGAATTGATTTAGCGCAAAATAGTGAGCTGTATCACCACAGACACCAGTAAAAGTTTTGTCTATTTTCAGGGCCGGTCATGTGATCGTTGTTTACCAGGCTTTGTTGGTCAAGATGGGGAATGTACCAGTTGTAATAAAATATGCAATTATAATGCTGAAAATTGTTCCACGACTGACACAGGAAATAAAAGTGTAAGTCTTGATTAGCCAACAAAACAAGCATCGTGATAAGCATTAAATTTTCTTCATTTACTGTCAGTACTCCTTACTGCATGACGAGTCAAAGCGTAGCATGTTTTGTACAAAATTAAATACGAAAATAGATCTCCGGACCTGCATGAACAAATTGTATGTTTTTATACCAAGTTCCTAACAAAACTTGACGTAATTTTACTAGGAAAGCATTTACGGTCCAAAAGATGATTCGAATCTAAAATGTGAGTGTACTGGGATGAGTAAAGGAAAGAAATGCGAAGCCTGCAAAACTGGATATTATAAATCTGGTTTTAAATGTACCAAGTAAGTTAAAAAGACGTCTACTAGCTTTGTAAAACACCGCATGTCCCCCGGCTCTGCATTGCACTTGCTGTAATTAGTTTAAGTTGGTATTTTTGTTCATATCTTCAGGTGTAAATGTCGTGGTCATGCTGCGACGTGTGATAACAGAGGATTGCACTGTAATTGTAAAAATAACACGAGAACTCCAATAGAAAGTGATGCTAGAAGACAGGTAAGAAAATCAACGATGTTTGTAGTTTGTAATCAACATATGAAGTATTGTTTTTATTGCTCTGTGTGTACAAGAGATCTTGAGGGAAGGTGTGTATATATAATTACTAAGTCGTGAACAGCCAACACTACCTTGTCATCTTGCATATTATGAAATTTTAGTGCTCACAATGTGTATCGCCATATCTTGGGAGCCCTGATGTCGAAGGACAACAGTGTTATCGTGATTTGAAAATTCTCGTTTATCGTTGGTTTACCAGAGAAGATTCGCAATACTCAAATCTGTTGCCTTGGCAAACAAGTTTCTACTATATTCTACCCAGTTATACTAATATCGACATCCGTTTGTTTATTGACATATCTTACGGTACGTGTCACTAGTTTTTATTCAACGTCCGTCTCTTGGATACGAGTCAAATTAAATTGGTTAAAATTAGTAAAAAAATGCATGTACAGTAGTGCATAGTCGCGTTCATTCAGTTATTTCCATGCAGGGAACATTAGTTTCTAGTTCCTATCATTTTATGCATAAATTGTTTTTATACTTGAAAATGAGTAAAGCCTCCAACTATGTATGTCCAGACAATGATTTAATTTACTGTTCTATATAGGATCACTGGATGTTTATATTTCACATGGGGACAACGCTTTCAAAGTGGATGCGAACCAAAATGTTTCCGTGTCGTTATCGAAAGTAACCAGTTCCGAGTCGTATTGCGATGGTCTCAATACTTACGCGACGTTTTCTAGAGACAGACAAGTTGTTGTTTTTAAACAAGTTCAACACAGATTGGTTGTCACTTTTCCTTCTGAACACCACGGTCTGGACAAAGTGAAATTCTACATCATCATAAAAGCAGGTTCTGATGGAGCTGATGGGATCATATATTTTAAACAAGACACATCAAAAATCAATTTAATCGTGTTCTTTATCGTTTTCGCTTGTTGTTTTGTATTCCTGTTATCGGGTGCTTCCATTATATGGAGTATAAGACACCATATTCATTCACGGCAGTTGGTTCATAACCGTAAAGTTGAAAATGAAAGGTTACATAACAGACCATTCGCTAAATTCGCGTTCCTGTTTGAGTATCAATCTCCTTCACCCAGCGTAATGCGACACAGGAAGACTACAGCATCTACCAGAAAAGCTATTCGTCCTCTCAGTGTCCAGTGTACCAGTGATTATCATGCGGCTGTCACAACAGTTATATTTCAGATGCCAAAGACAGATAAGACAAAGATGACGGTTGCCCTCGGAACTACACTGGCGCTGGTCACTCCACAACAAATGGACAAACTTGCACAGCCAAAATCTAAAGAAACTCTTGAAGATGGAACAACAAGCTTATAGATTTGAATTACAAAACCATGTCTTCCTCGCAACTGAGAAATGGAGATCGTGTTGGAAATTGTGGATACACCACTTCGCGTTGATATTTATTATTATTATTATTTAAATATTCGAGAGAGCGGGAAAGTCCTTGGCTTGGCACTTTGACATCTGCTTTTTAGCAAGTCGTTTGCACACGACAAAAAAATGCAATATGGATTGATTCTTAAAGTGTACAAGTCTATTTGATATTGGAATCTGGAAAAGCAAAAAAGAATGAACCAACTTACATCAGCTGCAGCCAAGAAAAGATTTTTTATTTCACCAAAGAGAAAACAACCTGGGAATGTGTTTTGCATTTTGACTTCACAATGTTTTTGACTTCATATCACTTTTTCTGAGTTATGTTGTGCATAAAAATACACTTGTTTCTGTTCAGACTTCGCAGTGAAGGCTGTCCATCCAGCTCTTTTAAATAATCTTTGAAACTCTAAGGCTTAGTACGCTTTCATAAAACCACGTTCGACAGATGATTGAACTAAAAAATAAAATTGTTAAAGTTGAGAAATGAGGTTGTTTGTCGATGCCATGAGATATATTTTGCGGTCAGTGGACTGATTTCTGATTTCGATTATTTCACAACATCACTCAATCACTCGCAAGTCAAGCATTGAGTTTGCCAGATTATATATTGTATATTATTATTTCTATTTGTACATAACTCTTATGAAATCTTAATATATTTCAACTTGTAATACATAAAAATCTTTTAAACAGAGTTTTTACGAAGATGTTAACAATTTACTGATCAAAGACGTCAACGACACTTCCAGAAGCATGTATATAACCGACAATAATTTCTTATAAAGTAAGTTTAACAAATGATGTCAAGTCGTTTAAGTTTCAAACGCAAAAAATGTGAATGACATCAGGCTTAGTCCAGACAATGCTGGAAACTAGTCAACGTTTTCTCCACCCCACCCCCCCCCCCTTCACACAACTCTCCCAACTGAGCGGCTGCGTCTAAAGTCAAAACTTTGCAGAGATGACATAACGTCCTAATCTTCGCATCCATGTCATCATATATCATTTCATACATCACTAAACAACGATGATCTTCCATTAGAGCAAATCCCCCTTACTAGCTGTGTAGTAATTCTAACCATTACGTCGTGACGTTTGTCATCATGCGATGGCGATGCTGCAAGGTCTTCTCCCTCCCAGGCAGGCTTAGTGAGGAATTAGGACCGATTCCAAGTTTTTAAATCGTACATCTTTCAAACCCCCTCCTAAATCAAGGAGCGGGTTAAAATCAGCGTCACATAGATCCGATTTCAGTTTAATGTTATCAGTATGATGGAATCTTGAAGGCGTTTTGCGTAAATTTAGATTTACTGACGACCCTTTTATACAATCTTTTCCTTGTTCGCTTGAGGTTTGTCTCGCCTCATGAGGCGGTCTTAATGGGTGATATCGCGACCATGATGGAAACGATTTTGATTGGTTATTTATTTTATCACGAGAAATACCATCAGCAATAGGAATTGCGTCACTACGAAAGATTCCTTTACTATTAACTGATGTATTGCTGAGAAATGATTGTGTGTTTTGCACTTCATTATCGTCAGAAGCCGAGATAACCTTTGTTTGTTTTGTATTAAGATTTGATAGTAAATTACTGTTGTGATTTGACGAGTCTGCCATTGCTAACGTTTCATTAGGTTTAAACCCGTCTGTTGCTAAGTTTACTGTTTCAAGCACATCGTTACCAATATAGTGTTTATTGCGAATCTCGCGGTACAAAACCTTTTCTGCCTTTTTCTGTGCTTGTGTGGCGTGAGGTTCATCATTGTCCGTTTCACAAACATCACTTTGATATATTACATCACGATATGGCAGAGATTGTGTAAGAAATTTACGTTTGACAAACTTTGCCGGAGAGAAGTTGTCTTTTGTCCATCGTCTTGGCATGTTTGGTAGTGACGCTCGGTCAAAATGATGAGATGAAAGATTATCTTTCTTAGGATTGTCCCATCCATATTTCTTTCTTTTTTTAATGAGGTCAATTTCTTTCTCTAAAGTTTTCATCGTCAATACCTTTTGATTGTTTAAATATTCCAGTCTGGCCGACAGCACTTTATCTTCAGTTGCATTTTGTTTCTTCACTAACTCAGTACTGCTTTGGTTTTCTTGATATTTCTTGGCAAAATCGTACAGATTCACATCTTCTACGCGTCTTTGTGAAGACATTATTACGCGTCCTGCGGGAATTGACAGAGTTTGTACATATAGAACTATGGCAGCCTAAAATATTGTCCTCGGGTCGTGTTAAAAGACACAATTTGACGCATTACGCCTCTTGCGACATGTAGTTTATCATGAGTCAAAACTCACGAACTCCTGACTTTTCTCAGTGGCGTATTTCGTTTGTGGTCGAACATTTCCAATAAATATGCGTGATACTCTGCTAAGCGTGTTGTTTTGTGAAGTATCTGCGCTGCCTTAAATGACTATTGCTGAAAATGAAATTCAATACCCAAAGAAACAGTATATCATGCAGACAGCTTCAAGTGCTCTTTTATTAAAACAAAATTTTTGTGTTAAGGTCATTCAACATATGTATACGTAACTGAATGAAATTTGTCTGGATATATAAACATTCTTATGTCAGAGTTTTGTCAATATTTCCATATCATACAGTATCTTCAATATCATTGATTTCTATGCCAGCGACAGTGGTCTTCATGCCATGTAGGTGTTCTAGTATTTAACATACTGAGCCAAGAGTGTGTCAAATCACAGGTCAAATGCACAAACAATCGAAAAACGGGACAAATTATATGCAAATGTGATATTCATAAAAGATTATGTATACACTCGGGTAACGTTTTCGAGCTTTTTCAATCCAGTTCGTTTTCAAGCCAAAACGCCGGGTTTCAAACACCGTCAAAGTTGAAGTTAATTTAACATATTGAGCAATTTAACATATATTATCCCCATGGATCGTGTGGAAAAGACGTCAAAACGATAAACTAGACAAAAACGATTTTGAAAACGCTCGAAAACGACGTTATGCAGATAGCCAAAGACAAGCTACGGTCACGAAAAATGGCAAGATGTAGTTAATATTAAGAAGGCACCTGAAACCTGGAATAAACGACCTGAACTGCACTTGTTTGCCGAGTTGTTCGCAATTCATTTTGCAAAAATGTTCAATCGCTCTTTTCAGACAAAAAATTCCTCAAATTCCTAGACATCAATTTAAAAGATCACTTAAATTCCTTATCGTTTCAAGCGTTGAGAACCTCAGACGGATTACGATTACCAGTTTTTATAAAAGTTTCATCAAATATCACATACTCTAGAAATTACAGAACAACTTGAACAACCTTTGGAAATACATCATGACGGCATGAGTCCAAGACACAGGACAATGAGGAGAGAGGGAAAATACGTCTCTTGTGATTGTGTAGGCTAAGAAATAATAAAAGAATTTTGATATATATTTAATTTGGCTTCTTCAGATAGGGACTCAGAACTTTTACAGGAAGTAGCTCTTATAATATTTGATGGGTTATGTGTAGACCAGGTTTGGTAGATAGCTGGCGTCTGATCAGTGGTCTGATAGCTGTAAATTTGATGCCAAACAACACAACACTAGTTCTTTGTTTTCTTTGTCTTGGCCTTTTGTTTTCTTGATAGCACTAATGACAATTGGGCCTCTACGAACCCTGGTGTAGACGTTCAGACTTAGGGTTTCCACATCTATCCATAAATTAGTCGCGTGTGAACCAATTCTAATAAAATCCTGAGGGCTCACTGCTCAGCACATTTAAATGTTCGCGTGTTGCCCCATCGCCAGCAGGCAGCAGGGTTTTAATGTGATGAAGGACATGTCAACTGGTCACTTATCTGTATGGGACATTTCGTTACGTTTACGTCAATCAACTCAAGCACAGGGTGGACGCTACTTTATCATGTGATCGGTTGGTTTATAAACACACACTTTGCAAGAAATAAACCAGGTATGAAAAGTGATAATCAACGCATTAAAGATTTTTGAAATAGCAATAGCTTGTGGTAATAATCTTCGGTAAGTTGTTAATGCTATAAGTATAAACGCACATTTTAGGCCTTTTAGTCGATCCGTTATTCCCTTAAGAGGAGTTTTATTAGAAAATCGCGTATTGGGCGCTCAAAACTAAATTAAGATTTAATCGAATGAATCGGGTGGTAACATGGCGGCTGGTTCTTATATCGTGTGAGTACTTTACTGCGTGTTTTCACATAGTCAACTGTTGACTTTCGTTTAATTTTGTTAAATATCGTCAATATACTATTGGAATGATGTGTAAAATGATAAACAAGATGAATTCAACAGTAATTGAAGAGTCAAAAGCAACGCAATGTTACACAGAGGTGTTGGAAGGATTCGACTCTCACAGAAGCATGGAAGGTAGGCGTGCATTTTTGCGGATTTTTCATATTTTACTGCCATCGATAACAATAAATCATACCTTGCAACATTCCTTAGACATTCTAGTTTTAATTTAAGGCATCTTATATAAACTTAACTTGGTTATTTCGGAGTAAATCTTGCTTAAATTTAGAAGCGATTCAAATTTTAAATTTTCACAAAATGCAGTCACTATAATCCGTATTTTGCTCTTATCTCTCAAGTTAAGTGTTCATATTATTTTTAACGTCTAATGTTTAACTAAGATGTATTTTGTTACAGCAATTGCCCTGGTCCCAAAATCTAGGCATGAAATTTATCTAAAAGTTATTAATATTTTTGTGTAATTGAGTATAAAATGAATACATAGTCTGTTGTAAAACTGTTGTTCACCACTTGTAAATTACTATAGAACTGTTTCCGATCAACCTAAGGCATTTTCATGATTTGCCCTAGGTATGCTAGTTTACAAAAAGCATCATTTAATTAAAATTGGAGTGGTACGCCGTGGAGCATTTTTCGACTTTTTAAAATGAACCAGATTTGTGTATTCTCAACCTGTATTTTTTGTACAGTCCAGCATTACTATCTGTTTATTGAATATAACGCAAAGCGCCATATTACAAGCTGTGCAAACATGGCTCTCGACCTATTTTACACTTCTATGATGATTTTAGATGGTTTGAACATGTTTTGTTCCCAAAATCCACAGGTTTTCTATAAGCCATGATTTGGCCAATATGGAGGGAACCTTCACCTTAAGTTAAATGATTAAATATCAACTGAGAACCATTTCCGATCAACCTAAGGCGTATTTCATGATTTGCTCTAGGTATGCTAGTTTACAAAAGCCATCATTTAATTAAAATTGGAGTGGTACGCCGTGGAGCATTTTTCGACTTTTTAAAATGAACCAGATTTGTGTGATATTCTCTACCTGTATTTATTGTACAGTCCAGCATGTATCTTTACAATGTATCTTTCTCCAATTGCCCAATATTTTGACAAATATTATTCACTTAAATATTATTACAAATGGTAAAATCCTAAAAATTACTGACTAAACGCAAGGTGATTACTAGCCTATATTCAATGAGGAGACAAAATTACAATTTGTTTCAACACGAAACAGATTTGCTGTATACACAACATATATTTACTTGAATAGCCCAGTGTTGCTATCTGATTTTTGGATATAAAATGAAATGTATACTGTAAGCTGTGCAAACAATTGGCTTTCAGCCCTTTTATTTTCTATGGTGATTGTATAGGGTTTTATTTATCCTGGTTGAACACATGTTGCAGATCTGGAAGTTTGTGCAAATCAGGCCCTGGATGCTACATCCTACATGCCCTTAAGCCCTTTCTTGTTAACTCCAGACTTGTCTTGATAAATCTCTTATAGAGGAATTTGCCATTGCCACATATTTGACATATCTATTACTTTTTATTGCAGGCTTTGAAAAAACAGTGGAAACAACACAAGATTGCAAAAACACTATTTATTGCAATTAATGATATATATTTTAACAACAAAGTCACATTACAATTTTATATTACCTATACTTACAGCTGTATAATTTTGGAATGAATTGTCCCATGATTGTCCCACCTACATGTCCCATATTATGTACCCACCACACAAGGAATTCATTGTTAATAAAGTAGAGAGGGCAGTTGTTTTTGAAATAAATCAAAATAGTTTGACTTTCCCTTTCTTTGTGTTGTTTCTTGAATAAATTATTTACGGTCTTTTTTATTATTGTTGTGATAAAGATAAACTGATCTTCAAGCTACTACACATAACTATCCACCATCTCCAACGCAAATGCGAGTTTACTGGCATGTCCGTATCTGAAACTATTGTTCATATTTTCCAAGATGTGTTGGATACCTAGAAATAAAAACGTTGACATTTGAGATTTTTATTTTATCACAAGATTAATTCTAAACCACTAAAATCAGTATATTTCAATATGTTTACACTGTCAATTAGTGTGTGACTGTGACTGTGTGTCACTCCTTCGCACTAATAAAAATGTACGCATGGAAAATTATCATTCAAAATACCAAAACAATTGAACGAACACTCACCTGTTGTTCTTCTTTGTTTCAAGGAGCTTTTCGTCTTTTGAAATTCCCAAAAAGTTAGTAAAACAGCTGTCACTCAACACGAAAACTTTACCAAACTTGTAAATTCAAAATGGCCGCGAAGCATATTTTAGCGAAGGCCTGGTTGCTAAGTTTTGAGCGATTTTGTGCAAAAATACGCGATTTTCTAAAAAATCTCCTCTTAAACATATGTGGGTGATATGATTCATGATTCGTAGACTGGGGCACTGAAATATACGGTGGCCCACAAGTGTCACCACATTTGCAATTTGTTCGATACATTAACATATCGCTCACAGCAACAATAAATTGCTTACAGCATTAACAAACGCTCAACAGCATCACTAAATTGTATCACAGCATTAACAAATGACTCACAGCAACAACAAATTGCTCACAGCATTAACAAATGACTCACAGCAACAACAAGTTGCTCACAGCATTAACAAATGACTCACAGCAACAACAAATTGCTCACAGCATTAACAAATATCCACAGCAACAACAAATTGCATCGCAGATTATTGAACCACTATATGCTTTGCAAAACGAAGTATTGAACATTCTTGTGGACTTGTGGTACGAAAGAATCTCTTCTTGCTGCTTTAGTGCTTTATTATAAATTTTGAGAAAAAAACGAAATGTTTTGTTCAAACTGCGGCCATGGTAGAGAAGCAGAAGCACCATCAAATTTTTGTGCAAACTGTGGAGCAGGTACGTACACATCTATACTTAGTAACATCCTATGGTATAAACATCTATTAAATATGTTAAGTTGTTAAATGTTAACTGTCCAGTCCGGCGTCCTAGATGTTGTTCTGCATTTCTAGATAATCAATTTATAAGTTATAACCTGAATGTGAATATAATTATATCATGAAATTTCAACAGTTTTAACAAATCATCCTGTTTTAAGATTTGCACAGCGATGAAAGCTCAGGATCAGATTTAGAACATTCCGAAGCTGTTTTTGATGAAGAAAGTCTTATTAAGTACTATTACCACCGTGGATTCGCATATAAAGAGATACTAAAATTTCTAGAAAAACACCATAACCATTGCATAAGTTATTGTACACTTCTGAGAAGGCTTCAACACTATGGACTTAGGAGAAAACAGCAAGTGACTGACAACACTATAAATTTAGTCAGAGAAAGGATTTCAACTATCATTGATGGTCCAGGTTCATCAGAAGGATATAGATCTTTGTGGCACAGACTGGAACTTGAAGGATTAAGAGTACCAAGGGCAGTTGTTGCAGCTATTCTTAAAGAATTGGACCCACAAGGCACCGAACTGCGAAAATCTCACCGCCTAAAAAGGAGGGTGTATAGAAACCCAGGCCCAAACTATGCATGGCACATCGATGGCTATGACAAACTAAAAGTATGGGGATTCCCCATCCATGGATGCATAGATGGATACAGTAGACGAATATTATGGCTATCAGTCCTTCGATCAAACAACCTACCGGATGGTCCGGCATCACTATACCTAACTACAGTAAGTTCCTTGGGTGGATGCCCAGTGGAGTTAATCAGTGACCTGGGGACAGAAAATGGTATGGCAGGAGCAATGCAAAGCTTTTTTCGAGATAACATTGATGCACATCGCTATGTTACATCACAAAGGAACCAACGCATTGAATGTTGGTGGTCGTTCTTGTCTAAACAACAAATGCAATGGTGGAGAAGCTTTTTTGCAGATCTAGAATCTCAAGGTATATTAAATTCGTCTAGTGAAATAAGTATGGAATGTCTTTGGTACTGTTTCTCACCTGCCATTCAAATTGAATTAGATACTGTCGTAGAAAACTGGAATTCTCATTATATTAGAAAATCTCGACATGACACTGTAAATGGACGGCCGGACTCTCTCTTTTTTCTTCCTGAGCATCATGGCACAGTTGATAGACTTGTGCCGGTGTCTGAGGAAAAGATCCAATATGCTTCCACGCATGTGATTGAGGAGGTTCAAACACATGAACTTCAAGACTATTTTGAGTATGTCAGGTTGAGCCTGGGTTGCCGTGTACCTGATTCATGGCAAACAGCTTTGGACTTATATAATTCCTTACTTGAAATTGCTGAACATGGAACAGAATAAAATTTTGCTATGGTTTTTTAAAAAACTGTATATGCTAAATGTACCATGCACATTTATAAATATAAGTTGTTGATAATTGCCTTTTTAGATTAGTTTTACTTTTAAGGTAATTTAATTAAAGCCAGTGCTTAATCAAAAGTGCAAATGGCATGCAACTGGATGTTTACTTGACTATTAGAGTAAATTTCACACGTCATGACCCCAAATAAGTAATTTTAACCTTTTTTTTTTACCAAGATTTGTAATTTTCCAGGAACAACTTCCTTGAATATGCACAAATTACTTGTTGAGGTGGCTCCCTACAATTTTTAAAAATATTGAAAACTTGTGGTTTTGATGTAAAATTTTAGCACGAGATTTCTTGCTAAGGAAAAGAAATTTCCCAGATATATTAACCAACATTCTAACAGTCAGAAATTGCCCATAAGCATGACGTCATTACCGTTGTTATCGTAACAATGGCGATTCAATATGGCCGACATATTGGCCGTCATTTTACCTATTCACGCATTTTACCCCTATTACCCCTATTTTTTATTTCATGAAACGTTTTCTTACAAAAAAATTAGGAAATTTGAGGAAGTTTAACAAAATTCTATAGAGCCAGAAAATTTCTATAACGAAAAATCACGTTTTTTAATTTTAATAATTTTGGCTCTATGAATTTTTTAACTCGTTCAAATTTTTCATTTTTTTGTAAGAAAACTTTTTATAAAATAAAAAATTGGGGTAACAGAACTTGTTTTTGAGTAAAATGCGTGAATAGGTAAAATGGCGGCCATATTGGATCGCCATTGTTACCATAACCACGGTAATGACGTGATACTCGAAGACAATCTTCGCTGTTTTATCTGGAAAATTTTATTTCGTTTAGCAAGAAATTTCTTGCCAAAAATTTCAATCTAAAACATTAGTTTTCAATATTCTTAAAACTGTAGGGAGCCACCTTAATATATACAACAGTGCAATCAAAACATAAACAATTCAACCTCAGTATTACAGTTAAACTGGAACTTGTAAACATTTTACAATGTAGGGCCGGTTGTATAAAAGCTGGATAACGTTACCTACTATATAGTATTTTTTTAATGCTTAAAAATTGCCTGTCGTTCTATAGGCAGCCCAGATATCTGTTTATACTCAGTCTTCGACTGCATTGTTTACGCGCGCAGTCAGCTTCTACTGTCTGTACTGATTACTGTATTATATATCAATATAATACAGTAGTTAGTACAGGCTTCTTCTGTCTACTGATTACTGTATTATATATCAATATATAAGTACAGACAGTAGTTAGTACAGACAAGCTGACCGCGCGCGTAAACAATGCAGTCGAAGACTGAGTATAAACAGATTTCTGGGCTGCCTATGGTCGTTCAGCGTAATGGCTTAAACCTTAGCATTCTTAAATTGCAGGTACTCTTTAGCAGTTGTTAGCTCCAAATTTGTGGCTTTAGCGCTTTCAAGCATATTTAGAACACTAAAAAATCCTATGTGGTGAATAGTGCTATCCAGTTTTTGTATAACTGTGATACAACTGGCCCAAAGATGCATGTTAACCCAACAACAATAACAACAGCCCCATTATTATACGGAAAAATCTAATGCATGTTCATGGCTTACCGAATGCCTGACCTTTTGAGTAAGCTATTAATAAATTTTTATGAAATTCTGCTGCATCCACCATATGGGCATATGGGAAATGTAATCTGCATTCCGCAGGCCCCAATTAATGGATAGCAGATAGTATGCTTTGGGTCCCTTGATTGACAGTCATGATCAAACAAAACGCTAATCACCAACTTCTTGCCACTTAAAGGCTTGTGCTTTTGGCCAGTGAGCCATTTCATAACCCCAGGCACATTCACCTCTGCTGTTTCAAATCTTTCTTCAGGTAAAACATCAGAAATTACCTGCTCTTCATCTTTATCTTGGTAATTCCATGCAACAGGTGCTGAATACCCAGTAACCTCTGTATCTTCAATGCTCATAAGAAAATCCTGGAAATTATCAACAACCTTTTCCTCTTGTACTCTTCTGCTGGTGCCTTCTTCCGAATATACTGGCTCCATGCAGGAAAAAAGATAATTTGCGTCAATGTCATCTTGGGTAGATCCTTGAACAAATAAGGACTTGACTTTGTCTGGAGCTTTCCTGAGAATTTTATCAAATCCATATAATGATAAGCCTTGCAAAAACTCATTTAGGTACAAGATTCTCTTGTTAATAAGGTTAATAACAATAGACTTAACTATTTCATCAACATGTGCATCATTGATTAAACCGGTGTAACCATTGTCCATTATTGTGGTCTCGTTTCCCTTCACATCACTTATAATGCCTTCTATCAGTACCTTCTCACTCTTTGCAAGGTGTTTGTCAGTGCTAAGTTTCATCATATCAATATCTGGATTGACAAGTGTTTCATAAACACATTCGTCAAAAAGAGATGGACTAGGACCACCCTGTGCCAGACTTACAGCAGCTATCTGGCCACATGTACGGAAATTTCCATTCTGGATATGGTATGTGGAGTCGAAAGGGCATCCATTAGGAAACATAATAGAGCGCATATTATCAATGGCGTCAGTAAGAAACTCCCTAGCAAGTGCCCCTGTATCAATACCATCTTCGCCAATATATTTGACTGTGAGTTTCCGCATAGGGGATGATTTCTTTGCCTCACGTTGCCATAAGAGAAGCGCTCTATGGAAAGGTACTTTTCTTCTTATGACAAGGAAGAATTGGTTCTCGTTATCAGTCTGCTTTTCTAGATGTTGTATGACTGATGCTTCGTTAGTAAATTCTTCTTTCGTTTCATCACATTTATCTATTTCATGAACTACATGTATGGTATGGTCTATCCCATCTTCTTTGCAATCCTCTACATGGACTATAGGTATGCTACTTGCCTCATTGTTCTTGTCATCTTCCAATTCATCTTCAAACCTTTGCTGGAGCTGAATTGCTAATCTCTCATCGTTCTCTATTTGCAGCTCATTGTTCTCTTTGTCATTTTGTTCCGTATTACTATCAAGTTTTGGGAATTTTGCATTTGGCTGGAAATCAGGAGATTCAGACTTAGCACTTAAAACACCAGGCATATCACAATTGAAAATAGCATTGTCTTCGTCACTGTCATTCAAGCCTTTAGAAATGTTGTAATCCAAAGATGTGCACAGGAATAAAGTAATCCTATTATAATCTTTACCTAATTCTTGTTGATATCTTTCTAGGGAAAAGAATTCTTTTGCAGAACCAGGCAAAAAAATGGCTTCTTCTCCATTCTCATATAGCATGACATACTCATCACTTTCAGAGTACAAGTGGGAATAAAAAGCTTTCCACTTTAATATAGCTTTACTACAGACTGTTTTATAGTTTGCCTTGTTGGATACTCGCAGCACCAACTTCTTACCCCTTTTTGGTTTGAGAACATTGTCCTTGCTATTCCATTCTAATAGACCAATGTTAATGCACACATCTCGCTCTTTTGATTTAGTGTTAGGTTTGTCTTTATCAGGATTTTTTGTTGAGACAGATTTTTTCCACTGTTTCCCTTTTGCCTTTCTATAGTCAGCAAATGACTTTATATTTCTACCAGTGGGGTGTAGACCTTTAGGTACACCTTGCGTACTATAATCTAAAGTTGTCTTTCCAAAACTAGTACTTGGTCCTTCCTCAGAATTTCCACAAAGCTCTACCAATGAAATGATTATGGTATCAAAGTTTCATTCAGGTTCATTTTTGAATGGTTTCATAAGATTAGAGATGGAGGGAGAACAAAGTTAAAATGGGGAAAAGCATTTCTCAAAACCAAAAAATATAAAATATATTTAATACTGTATACATCCTTCAAAACCTAGATGCTTTAATATTTGTTTCCAAGGCCTATATTATACGTTGCATTCTGGTCCATAAACATCATTAAGCTTCATTACCATCTCATCTATTTGTTTGAATTGCATAAATTTCGACGCGACCAACATGTGACGTTTAACTTGGTGATTTGAATGCACAGTAGCTATAATTATATACAATAATCATTAAAATTCTAAGAATGCACCTACCTGTTCCACAATTCGAACAAAAATTCGATTTTACTTTTGCCTCTCTACCACATTTTGAACAAAACATTTTCAAACCAGTCCTTAATAAGTCTTTATTTCGAAATATTTGGCACAGGCGGCCCGCCGACCACGCGAGAAGGTACGGTAAACTTCATTTTACAAAAATAAAGTGGATTAACTACCTGTAGCACAATTTGTTAATGCTGTGAGCAATTTGTTGTTGCTGTGAGTCATTTGTTAATGCTGTGAGCAATTTGTTGTTGCTGTGAGTCATTTGTTAATGCTGTGATACAATTTAGTGATGCTGTTGAGCGTTTGTTAATGCTGTAAGCAATTTATTGTTGCTGTGAGCGATATGTTAATGTATCGAACAAATTGCAAATGTGGTGACACTTGTGGGCCACCGTAGAAATATGATAGATTTCACTCGCCAGGGCAAACTAGTAGATCATTGAATGATTTTCAGTGAATCTATTAAAATATGAGCTGGTAAAGTAAAAGTTTAAAAACATGATGATGTTTTAATGGCAATGTTTTTTCGATTGACATCATTCCACAAGAATACGAAATATTATTGAAGGTGGGGAAAACCCCAATTTCACAAAAATGTGCAAACAACGCCAAAGTGTTTAACGTATGTTATCTCATTCAATTATATTTTCGGGGCTATAAGCTGTTGTCAAACTGGCTTTGGTTGTTTCTAAATTTTCAAACGAAACATGGGTATGACGCTTGTGTTTTGATGCCATAGTATTTTACGCCTCTTTAAGTTCCTAAAAATTCAATTGACAATACGAAATACCAGAAACATTTCTGAATACCTCATGTTTACCAAAACCAAAGCTTTTAATGGTGGTAAACTAGCTTATGCACAATCTTAGACTATCTTAGAAAGAAGAGCGGATTAGTCGACCTGAGAGACTGGTCACTTCCTTTAACGAAGAAAGTTTTTATATAATTTTACGTAATTTTAAGTCGTAATGGAATTGTGTCTTTTAGAATTCAATGCGAAAGATGAAAGGAAAGGCAAATCTTGCTTTTCTTGTTGCAAGTTTCATTCTTTACATTATGGACATAATCTCCGACATTTACGTGGCTTTTCAATATTACAAACACGGCGAGAGATGGTGGTGTGGTATCACTCTTGTCTTTGTTTTACTTCCTCATTTAATTATCAACACATATGCTGCTTATATAAACATGAATTTTCATTGGTATAGTCTACGTAAGACAGTCCTGATGTGGATTTTTCAAATATCTGTCCTTGCATCATTTAAACATGAATTCACTCGATGGAAAAGGGAACATTGGAAAAACCGTGATAGAGAGCGTGTTAGCACAAGAGACGGACAACACTTCACAGACGTTACTTTAACAATGCATCACACATTCTTACGCCTAGCTGAAGCTTTTGCTGAGTCAGCACCTCAGTGTTGTTTACAGATCTACATTATGATGAGACAATGGCATTTTCCATGGTATACGGTGTTATCAAGTGTCCTGTCTCTCTTGTCCTTATCTTGGAGCATCACATCATTGGAAACGTCATGTAAAACCTGTCAATGGGCTCGAAAGACTTGTAGCACATCAATCAAAGAAGAGAAAGAAATCCCTAAAATATCCCAAGTGATGTTCTTTGTTGCACACTTGTGTTTGCTAATCTCTAGATTAACATCACTTGTTATTTTTGCCTATTCTTTTCGTTACTACGTATTTGTTATTGTAGTCATACATTGGCTGTTGGTATTTACTGCAATTTGTATGGGCAAAAAGTTTGAAAACTCGACCAGGATTAATGAAACTGACATTAGAGGTCGTATAAACTTGACCCTTATTTTAAACGCATCTCTACGAACCTACCCAATGGTATTTTGCTTATCCGGTAGCATCGCAAAAATAAGTTTTCGGAAGAAGATAGGACGAAATTTTGGAACATTTGCTTTAGTTTTTTATGGTATTTTTTTCCTGGAAAATTGTGTTATGGTATTACTTTCCGTTTTCAACGGGACGCGGCCTCATATAAATCATCTATCGAAGATTGTATTGCCATTAATGTTTGTAGGATTTTCAGTAGGAGTTCTGCTTCTTATGCTTTACTACAAATGTTGTCATCCAAATAAGTTATTCAGAAGGGAAAATCTTGAAGCAACGGATACAAGCCTTCCAAACGAGAACCAAGGAAAGCATCAAAAAGAGATCTATGAATTGAAAGACACAAATTGTTTTGTGAATGAAGGAACTTGTTTTAAAGATTTGGAAAGTCATCTTATATAGAACTAGGCTTTAAGAGAAGATATTTTTAAATTTTAAGAATTGTCATTATCAGTGAAGATCCACTAGATTTCGTAGAGGGTCCTGAAGGGGGAGTCCCATTTCCCACTTCGAATTTTCGCAAAATTCCAGTCCCAGTTGGTTGTAAAAATCCTAACCTTTGAGACTTGAAAGGGTCAAATCCCATTCCAGGAACTGAATCCCATTTTCCCAGCGTAATAATAGGGCAATCCTAATTCCCATTTTATCCGTTCGGGACCCCCTTTGCAATCAACGGCGAAAATTAAGGCTGCAGTACTTTCCACGAAATAGACAAAATTTTGCACGCGGAGCGTGTTTTTTTTTCATCTGGGGAAACGAAAAAGACTTCAACAAAACAAAATTTTTCTTTCAATTTTAATACAAATAAAGATGATTGTAGAATTTTAAATATTGTTCATGTAAATATAAATAAGGTGAAATAATAGTTTTAATCAATAATAAAGTGTTGGTCATGATTGATATTAGTTATTACGAACTTAAACATTTTAAAATATACCAAATGATGTGTATTGATTAGGCAAAGACAGAAAGCTTGGTTAATTAACTTTGGACTCCATCAACATGTTTTCAAAACTTTGTACCGTACCAATCAGTTGTAAAAGAATAATATAGAAAGTGTTGCTGTGAAATGTCAAACATACTTGTCTCTTAACAAATTCTTACATCTTGTAAATTATAGTCAGCTGACAGCTGGGCAGTGAAAAAATTCTGTGGGTCACATACAGAAAGAAATACAATTTGAATAAAAGGTCTTGTTTGCTTTCAAAAGAGTCCAAGGTGTTTAAACCCATCAACTCGGAGGCCCAACTTTCATATTTATGTCACCACACAAAATATCAAACTGATTGCCCAAAAGTCAAAACTACCTGCAATATTTGAAATTAGCAAAAAAACCTAACATAGCCTTGTCAATAGACTTGTTAATAACAATTTAAATCAGATCAGGATGTGTCCCAGTGAACAATTAAACTGCAAATTTCTTACTCTGTTAGTTTTGATCTATTTAAATATTAACTAACATCCACAAATCGTTCTGTTGTAGCATATATACCATCCAGTATTCCTTGAGTCAATACATCATCTTCCAATGTTAAATCATCTTCGGCAATTTGTATATTTTCAAACACATTTGTAAAGCCAAGTAATGGTTGATGTGTTGAATAACCCACGCTGTCCAACAGATCCTCACTTGAACTATAGTTACCATTTTTTCTTGAATTAGTCAGATTTGATTGTATTGGCTGAGAAATTCCTAGAAATGCCAGCACTTCTTCAGGAATTGGATTCAGATCACATAATTCTTGTAAAAATTTCCTTAATTTTCCTCGACGTTCTTCCTTAGTGTTTACGGACCCCGATATAATTCTTTTTGGAGGAAATTCAATGTTTTTTGGTATTTTTTCTCTCTTATTTAAACTCTTGTGTAGTTTATCAAATTCGCTATATCGTTTTTCAACTTCCTTAGTGCCTCCAGCTTTAGCGATAAGAACCTTATACACGGTATAATTCTTTCCGGTTGGGTCGATAACTCGCTCAAAACGTGGAATATCAATTTTTATCACACTACTTGCCTTTTGCAACAGGATGTTATTTCCATCCATCAATTACAGATAACTTCGCTCCATTACATTATAATTTTCAATTCAGTTGTGATACTGAAAGTTGAAAGAAGACCGGAGAAGTTGAGAAGGGGGGTTTTCAACCCGACTGATAAAAAGATTAATTAAGTACCAAATATTTTATTAAGTACATGTAAATATAACAGATACGCTGTTATCCGGCTAAATGGCATTGTTAAATTTTCAAAGTGATTAGATTGCAAAATACTTTTAAATCATTTTAATTTTTTTCAAACAATCTTATAAATCAACGAAGCAAGATGCCCCCCTGGACAACGATGATTAAATCCCAATACTTCATGTAATTAGGAGTAATCGCGCCACAACATCTTTCAGGGAGAAAGTGCGCCTGCATTCCATCATTGGTAATGGTGTCCTCATGGGCGGGTAAATAATCTGTTAAAATGGTACGTTATTTCTGTTATTTTAATAACAAACTCTTTGTTCGAGGGTTTATTTAGATTTCCCTTAAGTGCTTATTTTTGAATGTTTTATTTGATATTTTCTATAGCACAGACTAAAGTCATCACAAAGAGACAAAGTTCGCCAGTTTATCGCTTTTACTCAGACCGATGAGAAATCAGCAATTTCCTGTTTAAGTCAGCATGATTGGAGGCTGGATGTTGCCTCAGATCAATTCTTCCAGCATCCTCATCGATACATGAAAGAACCTAGGACAACGGTCGATAAGAAGAAATTGCAGCATTTGTTCGAACGTTACAAAGGTATTCAAAATTTAGTCCTTGTAATTATTTGTGTGACATGAATTTAAATTATTTATTAAGGTATATTGATATTTATATTTTTCTTTCTATTTTGAAAATATTTTGCACAAAATGTTAGTTAGGAAAGAAAGCTGTCTGCTAAAAATTACATTACAATATTTACTTACTGTACAATCACATCAACTTCATACTTGGTATAAGTGCCAATTATCCAGTTATTAAATTATTAACTACACTTTCCATAAATATATTTTTTCATTTTGGTATCACACAAATTGCTAACAAGGTCATTTTATTAACATATAAATGCAACTACAAGATATAATTGCATGAAATATTAAATTATTGCAATGATTCTGTATGGATTCTATGAAAAAACAAGTATGATGCAGATTTTAGTTTGAAAGAAGGAAAATTTCCAAATTGTCTGCAAGTAATAGCTTCATAATGTATTCTAACTATGTTACGTTCAAACTTTGCGATATGATCAGTGGTGATATTTACTGAAAGGGAAGTCTCAAAGCAACAGCAGCAAAGACAACTAAATATATATATATATATATTGTCCTAAGTGCAGGAGTCACCATTGCGCTCTGGTGATAGCCGGGAGGGCACATTGTTTTACACACATATATATATATATATATATATATATATTAATATACAAATCATGAAGGTTGATGGCTGTTTGCAACTTTGCTTGTGTAGTGAAAAACAAATACACCTGCTTAAACAAATACACCTACACTTTGCAGATACTGCTGAGCAAACTACTAATATTTTAGGTGAAAGCTATCCTGCTATTATAAGAAATATTAAGAATTTGTTTCATTTCATCTCTTTGCAAATGTTTTTGTATAATTTTTTGCATACCTTCAAAGTTGAGGACACCATTGATCACCTAGTTTCTATATTTCTTAAATTTCATATGGAACAAAAATTAAGGAAGTTGAAAAGAAAATACCAGTATAATATAATAAATTGCTCTATGTAAGAAGTGCAAATGAAAATATATATCCTGTGTACTGATATTGTGAAAAAACAACTTTAAAGGTGAACAATTAAAAAATAAAAAAATTGAATAATTTCTCCTGGAAATTTATTGAATAGAAATCTATCGAAAGTCATATTTTTTATACAGCTGTTTAGTCAAAGTCAAAGCTATTTTGATAATAAAATATTTTATTGCACGTTTTATCTTATTTTTAAGATAAAGAATTGGTAATTGCATGAATTTCATATATTTCTGTTCCTATTTGACGTCTTTAAGAACATTGTAAAAAAGGTTCTGCGATATTTCTGTAAACGCCAGATATAAATGAATGGATTACTTGCAAAGTTGAGATGGAGGAGAATATCTGTAGCATAAAATGCTGCTGCAAGACGTATTGGTTTCTCAATAGTGTGAAGAGTAAAGCCTTGCATATAATATGTTAGCGCTGCTGATGGAATCAACGCAAAAAGAAGACCAATATTAACAATGAAAATTGTGAATAGGAACTGGTTTTGTGTTCTCAGGCGAGCTTGAATACTGTGACGATGTATTTCTGATAGAGAACTGTTCATTCTTGTTCCCGTTTGTTGCTTCCTAATGGACGCACATGAGATGAAGTAAAATACAATAGTCAGCAAGGAGAATGATGCTTCGGGTAGCAGCAACATGAATTTTATTATATTTGTCTTGTTTTCTTCCAAAAGTTTGTAGTTAACTCCAGCAAAAACTGCGCAAACCAACCATAATATTGTTAACCAGATATAACAAACACTAGAGGTAAAATGAACTTTATGCCACAGTGGGAAAATAACACTTAAGCTTCGTTCTAACGACAGAGAAAAGATTGAAGGGTACGTTAGAAATGCTACTAAATCATATATTGTAAAATTAACAGCAAGACCCGCCTGTGGTAAACCAAATATCCCGCCGTATCGTGTACGTGTCAGAGAAAATTCCTCGATTGTTATCATTAGATTCAAAAGGTCGGTGATAGCCAAGTTGATAATGAAACGCGAAGTAGCATCTTTGAAACACTTTAAGGGATCTTTAAACATTGCAACAAGTAGAAAGACGTGAGCTATTGTTCCTATTACTGATAGTGAGAAATAAATGAAGATATTCCATGTTGTAGTCTTAGCATAAAATATCGAAGGAACATAAATTGAGTTTTTAAATGTAGAATTGCTAGAATTCATTGTTGCTTTTTGAAGATGAGTAACAGTGAGATGTATTCAACAATTATTTGACAATGGTTCCTGATGTGACGACCAACAAAAAAATAATTAAAATACTTAATTCTGAAAATAACAAAATTTTTCAAAAATATAAATTAAAAAAGCCCTCGTTATGACATCGGGCCAAGATATGGTATTACTTTTATCGCATCCGTAGCTATTAATCATGCTTTTATATCTGTCATGTCAACGCATGTTTTCATTACTACTTTAGGTTTATTAATTTTTGTTTTTCTTAATCTTTCCGTTTATTTAAATAAATTTATAAGAAGAGAAGTTAGTTCATAGTAGTATTAGTATTAATATTATGAGTTTGCTGATATGGATTTGTTAATATGTTGTGTCTTTCAATGTTTCCATTATGTCTAGTAATTGTACAAGATGACTTCAAAGGAAATTTAACTTTAACCGTAGCATTCAGAAGTTATGAGAAACACAACAAATTTTACAAGTTTAGGAAGCTGCACTATCTTTTTTGTATCATTATCAACATGGAATATGGTTGCCTACTCGATAATAACGTTGGCAGGTGCAATAGCTAACAGTCTACTTCTTCGCGCTATTTTTAAAGATCCCTTGCAATGTTTTCGGACCCCTACGACATATTTTATCATAAACGTATCTCTTTGTGATATTATCAATATTTTCGTTGTTGCTGAGGAGTTATGTTTGGCCATGACCCGATTTAGATGTGTTCATAATCTTCCTGAAGTGGCAGCAACAATGAACTATTCAATATACGGATTTTCGTATTACATGACCTTCGCTTCTGTAACAGGCCTCTGCTTTGAACGTTATCTCTCAGTTGCTAAACCATTATGGCACAAAGTACACGTCAGTCGTCGGTCGTCCTTCGTTTTTATAATTGCAATATGGCTGGTGAATTTTATTTACACTTGTCTTTCAGTTTCTACTCAAAAGTTGGCTCCTTTGCTTCCGTATGAAGTATTTACAAGTTACGAGTTTATCTTATTTATCAGCACTCAAGTAATGAATATCCTCGCCTATAAATGTTTACGAACACAACGTTTGACGCTAACTGTTGAGCAAAGAAGCTCCGAAGCTTTTTGCCGCGCAATGAAGATACGTTTAAAGAATCAAAATAATTTCATATCTACAATATTTATCATGAATTTCTGTGTTGTTTTGGGTGTACTCCCGCGTACATTAGGTGGTTATATCAAGTACACTGGTGTGTCTTATGTTAAGACTTTATTTCTTTACATTATCGATTTCTTTTACCTTTTTAATCCGGTCATCAATGTTTTGATATATATTTTGAGATTACCCAAATACAGAAAAACGTTTATGATTTTGTACCTGCACAAACAGTGAATAGTGAAAGTAGTGTTAACAGGAATTATCGATTATATATTCGCTGAAATAAATGAGTTAAAGAAACTATGGGAAACTGAAGACCTCCCTTGTACCGCATGTAATTGTATTAATGATAGTTCCGGACATTCGTTTAGTTCATTTGGTTCATTAGACCTACTGTAGATTGCGTATTCTGGGTATTTAGAGGGCTGATTGTGAAAGCACTCACTACCATTTCCCTGCCCAGATTCAGTAACTTGATTGGCCAGATATTGTCACTCATCAGTATTTAGTCCTGTAGAAGTCGGTGAACTCTAAAATTATTGAAAAAACATGATTAACCGTCATCTTACCTGGTTTCATGTCATTGATAACTGCATGTACTGGATATGCTATCAAAGTTGATTCATATCAATGGACACCAGAGCAAAAAAAACGCGGGCTTTATTGACGACTCGGGACAATCCTGCTTTTCTAGCATAAAAAAAATTATGCAATACAGGTATTGTTCTATATAAGACACAATTTGCGCAGAATAAAAGAGAGATTTTGCATGTGCAGTAATAAAATGCGATATTTATCATATATCAATATTTATTATATATATATTTATTGCGGTGATAAAATTTCCTAAATGTATTCCCCACCACAATGTGGGTATTTTTAAAAACGTCCAGCGTTTCACTCTGGTGTTTAGACTGTTAGCACTTCTCCTATAATTACGTCAATACATTCTGTAATAACTATAACATTTGAGTATAATTTACATGCCGTTCAATTTCTTCTTCATGCAGTGGCTGTATATGACATTTCACTCAATCGACATGATGCATCGCCACTAAACCGGTTAATTTAGCAGATGTAGAACCATCTTGGGGCTTTTGTTGCGCAACATTTCGTTTTTGTTGTGTTTTCAGTCTTCCAGAGGAAGAGTGTCAGTGTCGCCTTCTCTTCTTCAAAAGGCAACATCTGCATAATTTGACATACTGAAAAATGTTTTATAGAGCCTGGAGATGAAGACAAAATTATGGCCGAAGGTGTTGGCAAGTTTTGTGAGGATTTAAATTTGGATCCTACTAGCATCAAAGTATTGCTTATCGCTTGGAAGTTTAAGGCAGCGACACAGTGTGAATTTTCTAGAAAAGAATTTATTGATGGCATGACGGAAATAGGGTAATTTTCTTGTAATCCTCTATTTGTGATAATTAAATTCACTTATCGCGTGATAATCACCTCGTAACTGTTTATGTCTTTCTCTTCCCAGATGCGATTCGGTAGATCGGTTACGAAGTAGATTGTCTTTAATAGAAAATGAAATATCAGATATACAGAAGTTTAAAGATTTTTATCAGTTTACTTTTAGCTTCGCAAAAAATCCTGGCCAGAAGAGTCTAGGTAAGAATATTGCATGCAATGGATAACATTTATGGGATTTTAGTTGAAGAGGTATTCAGTGGCATTTAGAAGAAAGGGTGGTATCTTTCACGACAATTACCGCGAGATTATGCAACTGTGCAGAAAATTGCATTTGAGGACGTGAGGACTCTTAGGAGTGTTTCGGAAAGCCCCACTTTGACACTCTGACAGTACCGACATGATACTGTCGTAAAGGCCGAAGACTGGGCACCAAATGACGCCGAACGCCTTTTCAGAGTCTTATAACAACCTTCTTTATTCAGTAAGCTGCTTGAAAATAATCCGACCACAAACAATCGTAATTTTTCATAAGCCATTTTGCCTATCTATACTTCCTTTCTCGACGGTAACCTGAATAGGTTCAATTGCTTATTAATATTAATTGTTCCATTTTGTATTATTTTTCAGACCTTGAAATGGCTATAGCTTATTGGAATATTGTCCTAAGGGGAAAATTTAAATTTCTAGACCTTTGGTGCGAATTTTTACGGGTATGTTTTTTCTGTGATATATTCAGTGGACAGTGCGTATCTAACCCAACTTTGAGGGGATCGTTTGGGATATATTGTGGATTCGTCCCTGCATTTGCTATTCAAGGTGTACTCATCGGTAAAGTTTATTTTTCTTAAGGAGCACCATAAACACGCAATATCAAAGGATACGTGGAATCTGCTTCTTGATTTTAGTAATATGATAACCGATGATATGGAAAATTATGATGAAGAAGGTTAGTCCTGATTGAACATGACTCCCGATAGAATTTGCTGCTTTTTAACAAACAAACAATGTATAGGTTGGTTTTAATCAGGCCAATAGGGTACTTTCACATGCAGCTTGAAGTCAGGGGTCATCTTAAGATAGGAAAACAGAACTAGCCATTTCTTGCTGCTTCGTGATTCAGTATATGAACGGCGGCCTAAATCAAAACCAAACTACCCATTAGAACTACCCATTTTCCAATTAGAACTGCCCATTTTCCAATTAGAACTACCCATTTTCCAATTAGAACTGCCCATTTTGGAAAATGGAAGGCCTTAAAGAAATTAAATGGCCTTAAAGTATTGGATAACAACGTAAATATTGAGCTGTTTATTAGTTATACTGTATTCACAACTTTCCAAGATTGCGTACTGTCTATATAAACGCAACTAGTACTATAACGAAAAGAGCAACAAAACAAAAACGTTTTATTTTCAGGTGCATGGCCTGTCTTGATAGACGAATTCGTTGAGTTTGCAAAGCCACTGGTTCGGGGAAGACAAACGTCAGTGTAACATCGAATGATGATCGTAATCAAATACTGACGTGAACATAGAACGTGAGATATGCAGGGCATTACACACCGCGTTTCACTGGTTCTCAACACTTTGTAAAATACTGTATTTTATAAAATGAAACAAAGTATTCTACATACTTTATGTAAAAATTGTGTTAGAAGTTCAGAGAAATATTTTAAACGACACAATAGCTGGTTGTGTGTGCCAATTGCTGTATCCGGTGAATAAAATGAATGTCAAGTGGAGGAAAACTGAACAACAATAATTTACAAGGCTGCATCTTGTATTTAAAACTAAACAATTTTGTAAAAGTTTACCAATTAAAATACGTTAGCGTGCAGTGATGTAAAAATAATTTTGCTATTAAAATTTTGTTATCTCTCGGTTCAGTTCTCCTTCAACAGCTTCTCTAATTTTCCTTTTTATCTTTGGTACTTATTTGCTTCTTCAAATTTGTAGGTAAACCTTTTACTGCAAGGTTTTCTGTCTGTTATTTCTGTCTGACAATAAGCTTACAAGAGATCTTCGGCGAGTTACTGGCTCGTAATTGATATTTTGTTTCGTAAAACAAGTTTTAGGTTTTGCTTGTCAACGAGACAGCATTCTCCCTGGCATGAGGTCAGATTTTGTGGTGTTGTTAGCATTGTGTAACCGCCACCCACTGACCTATACAAGAATTACTACCTATTACAGGTCAGTATCGCCACCATTTCCTTACCGCAAATCACGAAATCAGTATCATAACGATATAACCGATTTTGTGGAGAGGTTTTAGTGTTAGGACGAAAGAGGTACCCCTCTAGAACAGAGTAAGTAATAGATTAAATGTATCTATTACTTACCCTGTGCCCCTAGTGTCCTCCTTTATCCAACGCCTACCCCCCCCCCCTTTTAAATGAAATTGGGCAAGATGGCGACCGACAATGGAGAAAATTTTGACCAAAACAGAGATCGTGAAGGAAAATCGAAAGAAGAAAAATTGTTCACGTTGAAAAAGTGGAATGCCGTTGCAATGTGGTCTTGGGATGTTGAGTGTGACACATGTGCCATTTGTAGAGTACAAGTCATGGGTATAAAATTATGAAGAGGAATATTTCATTTATTTTATTTTATATAAATATATATACAATATAAGGAATTCAGTAGAGCTAAACACAACTAAAATATTACGGTATTAGAGACAACTTTAAGTGGATGAGTTTCAGTGAATGAACTGAAGTGGTTCTATATATATTAGGGTACATATTAGGGGGTGTCACTGCTCAGTTTTTCTGCATTTTAACCATGATGCCAGAAACTTGTCTGAGTTAACTCTTGCATATTATATTGTTAACTGGTCATTCTTAGGGGATATGCTGAATCATTTTCAATGTCATGCTCTTGCCGATTTTGGGTTTCTAAATTTTAAAACGAATAATATGTTATCTGTTTGCATTAATGGAACCGGTGCTGTGCTAAGCTGTGTGCCAGTCCACACCACTTTATGTACATACAGTATTTGCACTTACAGCATAACCTAGAACACAGACTAACCTACTGCCAATCTTATTTGAGAATTTGTGTTTTAGATGCCTGCCTTCGCTGTCAAGCCAACAGTAAACAAGAAGAATGTGTTGGTAGGTTAATGTTATTATTCAACACAACTTGATTGAGGCAGATTATAATAGTAAACTTTAGAATATCTTTGGTCTTCTTATGAATTTTTGGTTGCAGTTGATATAAAATTGCAGAAAAAAAATATGAGTTTGTCTTGAAATTATTTATTTCTTTTAAATCAATTAGTAGCGCTCCTATTTGTTCTATTACCATTATTAGCACTATATACTATCCCAAACCATCAAAATCATTACTGTAGAAGGATACAGACTTACAATGACTATTATAAAAACTTTTTTAGTTGTTTGGGGAGAATGCAATCATTCGTTTCATAACTGTTGTATGTCACTTTGGGTTGTTCAGAACAATCGTTGTCCTTTGTGCCAGAAAGAATGGGTTGTCCAAAGAATTGGCAGGTGATAGTTGGCATATTCCTAAATACACCATTTTGCCACACAGGAACAGCAGTGATAATACCAGAGATATAAAGTACATTTGTATATAATTATTGTACCTGGCTTTATCTATAAGAGGAAAGTTTGTTGTTGTGATCCACAGTCTCACATCTAATGTGAGAGTGCAAAAACCTCTAAATAGGCTGAAATTAGAACTGGATTAATATTTCCATCAAGGAGGTCCTCATGGGACTTTGATTAAGTTCTAATTATAATGAATAGAAACAAAACTTTGTTTTCATTTAATATTTGGCAAGCCTTTATAGTGTTTTTGTATAAAGAATTTGTAAGAAACATTTTAATCTGTATAACTAGTGAATTGGATTTCATTTTGACGGCTCTGACAGACTTTGATAACAATATTCCCAAGCGGAACTTGCTCTCTTCACTGGCCCTTCTTAATTAAAGCCTAAAGGCGATTCTCCGTTACGTCCGCTTAACCCACTCTTTGTTTAATGTTTTTTCAGGCCGGCCACGGTCACATGAGCAGATTTTCAAAAGCCGCTTCGCCCCCGTCGGGTGAAGCGGACGGTAATGAAGAATAGCCTTAATTCAGTTTATAATTGTTCATGTCATTGGCATATGTGGTAACTAATCTCAGCCCAAATCAACAAACTGCTTCGCGCGCATTCCCTGTTTCAGGCTTGTTCAACTTTGCCTTTGGAATGCCGAGTAGTACAGATCAGTGAGTTGTAGTCATGATTATTAGTCATGATAGATAAAGCCAAAGGAAGAACACTTGAGACTGACGTTAAAGGAAGTTCGTTTGTGCGTCAAAAGGCGAACTTATTTTAGCCAGCTATGTATTTGCAATCCTACAATTTCCTATTCATGAATCGTGACTGCATTGCTATTGCCGTCGTTCAAAAAAAGGCCATAATTAAATTACGTCATCGCTCGCCCTTGCAGATGTGACTTCCGCGACCTGCGTGCATTAATTATTTACGATCACTTGCAATATGAAAATACTTGCTCTTTCGCAATTAAAGAAATATATACCAGTTATACTTCGTTCAAAAGAGTAACTTAAAAAAATATGAATCCTTCATCAAACCCTGGTTACCCAGAACAACCGGAATATCCACCGCAACAGGGTTATCCACCACAACAAGGTTATCCACCACAATCTGCCTATCCACCACCACAACAAGGTTATCCACCGACAACGCCACAACCACAACCACAACCAGGCTATCCTAATGCTCAAATACAGCAACCTGGTTATCCACCATTACAACAGCAACCTATGCCACAATATGGCGCAGGTAAGCAGTGAAATATATTTCATTGTCTGAGCATTGTTTCAGTTTATCGCCGCAGTATATAAGTATATTGTAATTGTTTTCACGCGAACGAATATATAAAACTTTATTAAATGTAAATATTGGATTCACTTTAGGACGTGTACTTATTTACACTATACCGGATTCACCAGATCACGACATCAGTTTATCAGTTTTACAATATCTTTGTCCCCAGAATTTTCATTTGGTAGATCATGCATGTAACTTCTTGTTATTAAAAACAAACAGGGTAAAACTTGCTTTGGCATGGCTATTTTGTCACTACGATGTACAGTGTAAAATACTAAATTGGGCCTAAATGTTTATGTGAAGTAGCCATTGAAACTTGAAAGTGATACCTCGAACTGATGTGATAGAAATTTGAAGCAAATCCTTACAACACGCTCATTTTCGTATGATAGAAATCAAATTTCGCACGGAATTTTCATGCAGAATATGGACGTTTGTTGTCAGAATATTTACATATTTTGATACCGCACTGATCAAAATAGGAATTAGAATGTAATTCGGCGTAACTGTTTATAAAATGGTATATAGTACATGTAGTTATAAGTTTGAAATTATAAATCGTCCAGTTATTGCTAAAAGTGTAGAAAAATAACTATTAAGTTTCAACTTCCCGGATCTCCTTCCGATATCCGCTTAATTAAGTGTTTTTTGTTTCCCAGTGCAGTGATCTATCATCTGTTTAATCACATTCCAAGATCACTAAGTAGAAGCAGTCAGAGCAGCATCTTCAATATAGCGTCTCTTCAAATGTCTACAACTGCCTAAAATGAATAAAAAAGCTTTTCAATGTTTCAATTACCTAAGGGCTTTTACCAGAAGCATTACTACTTATATAACCTCCCCTATTATACTGGAATCATCCTGATGAAGGCTTTCTGGTTCATAGTCCTCAGGTTGATTATTCAATTTGGATAGCATTAGCTTGTAGGATTAATGTTCACTATATCAATTCTACAATATTATAAAGTAACTATTTTACTATATAATTAGGGAGCAGAATGGCAGCATCTTCGAAGAACTTAGCATCAAATGTTGTATAACAACTGCCTAAAATAGACAAAACACGTTTCGACCTGAATGCCTTCGTCAGGGCCCTCAGGTTTGAATGTCGAGAAGTGCTTTGTCTATTTTAGGCAGTTGCTACACCACATTTGATGCTAACTATTTTACTAATTATACAATATTTTTAAGTAACTATTTTACAATAGCTTTTAAGCAACTTTCAGTTATTTTCAAAAGTTCATACCATCTAAAATGTTGTCATTAATTAGAAATGTATTATTATTCTTAAGGTGCTCCTACCGTAGCAATTCAACCTGGAGGGTGGATGCCAGCTCCTGTTGTGCAACAGGACTGCCCCCCTGGCCTGGAATATCTTACACAAATTGATCAACTATTGATTAAACAGCAAGTGGAGTTGTTGGAAGGTAAACTGTATGATTGTTTATGTGTTGGAATTAAATATTTAATTGTAGTAAATCTATACCCATTGCTGTTAGTACTCCCATTGATATTCACTTTTCAAAGAATGCAAATCTATGGATTTGTGGATAATGGCTGGCTAATAGCTGTGTATGAAAATGTGTATGAAAACTATGTATTTCCCATCATAGCATTCACTTCATTTGAGACAAACAACAAGTACAAAGTCCAGAATTCTCTTGGCCAACAAGTATATTTTGCAGCTGAAGGTAAATTGGGGAACATTAATTTTTATATAGGAATACAAAATTTTATAAGCTTGTGAAAACTATAAGCACATATATGTACTGTATTTGTGGGTACCCAAAAACCAGGACGGATGAACTCCGGAATAATTTCGTGTGAAAACTAGTCTGAAAAAAACCCTCAAACACTGAAACATTTGTACTGGTGCACATGTACAGTAAAGAAATTTTAGCACTGAATTTTTCAAAAGTTGCATTGACATTTTCATTGCAAAGAAGAACGAAAAAATTGTCATCACACAACATCACAAAAAACCTGAAGAAATGAAGCAAGTTTCTTTGGATTATTAAGAAATATAAGAATGAACTGCTTTCTAGGAAAAGCAAATAATTGAGCGAGCAATTGAAGAAAAAATTGTTAAAAGAATGTGGACTCGTCATCTATAAAATTATGAAATTTCTTATTATAGATACTGACTGTTGTACACGACAATGTTGTGGCCCCAGTCGTCCATTTGACATCCAAATATTTGACAATATGCAAAGGGAAGTGATTCATCTTACTCGTCCATTGCGTTGTTCATCATGTCTCTTTCCTTGTTGCTTACAAGAGTTGGAAGTTCAGTCACCTCCGGGTAATGTGATAGGCTACGTTGTACAAAAGTAAGTACCGGTATAATGTATATATATATATATATATATATATATATATATATATATATATATATATATATATATATATCTCGTAGAGTTTACGTTTCGAGTTTATATATAAATGACATGACAGAAAATAACGTTCCCTAATGATGTAATGATGTGTGTTTAATTTATGGTCGTATTTTTATAACTACATACAACGCTCGTGTTGAAACACTGATCTAGTGCTAAAAAAATCCCATTTTGAATGAGCTGTATTCCCGTAATTTTGTAAAGTGCGTGAGTCATCTTTACAAACTTGACGGCAATAAAATTGATTTTAACGTTGTTAGCTACATGTAGTATGCTAGTCAAGAATTCAGTGTTTCGCAAAAAGTGTTGTGGGGAGATGCTAAAAAATGGACGTGAAAAACTGTGACAAAAAATCTTCATAATGGTCGTTGCATTGAATTTTTTTTAGATGGTCGATTTTCTTCCCAAGATTTGAAATCCAGACAGCAACACGTGAAACAATGCTTCGTATTGAGGGTCCATTCTGTCAGTGTAACTTGTGCGGAGATGTTGAATACAGGGTTTGTCGCTATTTCATTGTACTTCATGTGGTTTGAGAAACGCTGGGAGTAAAAGAGACAGTTTTAGGAATTATTATTTGTATTGATTTAATCTTACCACAACATCCGAAACATTTCTCTATCCACCACTAAGCTATGAAGAACATTGTTTGTACACGGTTAGCGTTGCATGAGAGAGCGCATAATGTTAGCAATTATTGACCCCAGGTTCTTAACCAACATTACTAATTCTTCTCTTCGTCTTCATATATCTTCGTCATCAGGTCCTCTCTCCTGATGGTGTCAATCAAGTTGGGAAAATTTCAAAGCAATGGAGTGGACTCATCAAAGAGGCATTTACCGATGCAGACAATTTTGGAATCACATGTGAGTAGAACAATCCTTTCTTCTTTTGTAGAAATATACTGTATTATCGCTCTTATACGTTCTTAATATCGATCCAGGATTATTTCCAACCTCGTATTCCACGATCATGCAGTTTGAACAAGTTCAAGAACAAGTTCAAGAATAAGCTAAAATCTTGAATATTTTTCTAGTTCCTATGGATCTTGATGTCAAGATGAAAGCCACAATGTTGGGCGCTGCATTTTTGATTGTAAGCATATCATATTTAACCATTAACCGATATTGTACCAGATTTGCTAAAGTCAGTTCTCCACTAGGCTAATTATGCAAGGAAAAACGAATCTAAAATCCGGTGATGTAATTGGTCTGACAAAAAATTCGCCGCAAAAACGTAGGATCGTTTCCTACTTTTTATTAGTTCGCGCAAGTATATTCGCCGAGTGGAAAATGGACTTTGTACGGAACGCTATTGGGAAATATATAGAGATACGAATATACACACCCCCAATTAAGCGGTCTAGCTAAAGTCGGTCCTAAGAAAATATATCCTAACCACTTTTTGTTATCATTGTAGGATTTCATGTTCTTTGAAGAATCACAAAACAACAACGATAATCACTACTAGGAAGTTTTATTTCGTATATACTGACAGCTTCCGACTCATGCAAAATTTAAAGATAGTTTTCAGTAAATTTTATTTTACAAATTTTAGTTTTGCAGAAGTAAATGAGATATAGAATAGTTGTTTAATTTCAGGCTTTTAGTGTAATAGCGACAAGAAATTCAGATATGTATTATATATGGACTATATAGACTATTGATCGATCAGACTTATAAAATTTGGTAATGTTTGTGTTAAAATTTTGTTAATTACCTGCGTCTCGCGCAGTTAAATTTCATTACCTACGTATATGTTAAACATAATTTTATTACATACAGTACGTATATTAAAGATAATTTTATTACCTCCCAAAATTGTACTTTTAATTGATAACCGTGCATGTTTCGCATATCACGAGTTTTGGAACTGACCACCATGTCAATCATATCACGATTATCCAGTCAGAAGCATTGTCGAGTTGTTAGCTCGGGTGTATTTAGCCAATAGCATAGCTTTATTGTCCAACACGAGGTAAAATGAATAGCGCTCATATTCAAAATCGAGGCATCATTTGGGCGCTGGTCTTCAAAAGATAAAGACAAGTCACTATTACGTCCGAAAATTTCGACAAAAATTGTTATCAATCACGCTTTCCTTTTCCAGAAGAGACGTTTCCTAACACTGCTGCCATGCGTTGTTGTGAGAAAAGGTAACTGGGGGCACGTGCCCTCCCAAAATTTTTAAAGGGACCAAAAGTGCCCTTTTTGTGATGAAAAATGTCTCTTCAGAGAAGCTAATGTAGCTGTAAATACTATTTTCAAAAAGAAGGCGTTCCTTTTCAGCGTTTCCTACGAATTGCAACTTACACGTTCTAGTTTCACAGTAAATACTATTTTAACAGCAAATGGAATCTCTTTTGTTTTCTAAGTATATACACAAGCTATATAGTATGTCTCTAGTTATATCTATACTCTATGTTTTTATTAATGTTCAATATTCATAACATTTCGATTCTAATGTTCCTATACCGTTCTTATACATATTTTAGCTGCACCTAAAGCGCACCTGGACGGTGGTAGCCCTAATGGGGGGTGGCGTTCTTTGAGTTAACCCAGGGTTAAGCTAACCGGCTTTTGAACAGCCGGCCCTAGGGGTCAGTAACGCGTAACGTTTTTGCTATTTCGCAATTGGTAAATAAACGACCGAAAAACATAAATAATACTCCTCAATTTAAATGAGAGGATATTGTAGACAAAGAGGAAATTGGATGTGGCATGCAGTTTTGGTGATTTAAGGTGATATAAGGACACGTAATGTTGTTAGCTACAACAATAATTCTATGACTTTGAGCAAGAGGCATTACAGCTATAATCTTTTGTTATTGTGTATTCTTTCTTTTATACTATTACTGTGGTATCAAAAATTAGTATAGACTTATGAGCGATCCTTCATTTATTTAGGTTGACTTCGTGTTTTCCAAACATTTATGCTCCATGTTTCCCATGTTTTTGGCAGACTACGTGTTTTCCATAATTTTTGACTCCGTGTTTTCCAATATTATTATGTCAGACTCCGTAATTTTGACTCCGGGACTCCGGCTCCGAAACTCCGGCTCCGGAACTCCGACTCCGTGTTATCCATGTTGTGATGTGGCAACGATGAATCAAAGCTAGATATTATTTAATAAAGTCATCGTATTGGCTGAACACTCCCGGCCTGACAGCTCAACATTGCTTCTGATTGGACGAGCATAGTAATTTGAATAATATGATTAATTCTTTCCTTTCATTTTTGAAATTCATTTCTGATGTCCAGGCTCAGGAGAAGAGAATTAATTAATCATATTATTTAAATTACTATGAACGTCCAATCAAAAGCGTTGTTGAGCTGTCAGGTCGGGAGTGTTCATCCAATAGGATGACTTTATTTTGCAGACACGAGGAGCAGGTGAAATGAATAATATGTGCTTTTGATTCCAGTTTGAGACATCACTTCAGCGCTGGTCTTCGAAGAATAAAGATGAGTCTACACCATGCCAAGAAAATTTCAAAAGAAATTTTTATCAGATTGCTATCGTCTTCAGCAGAAGAGAAGTTTAATAGAAGTTTACTATCTCTGACATACTGTCGTTGGTATTATACCAGGTAATATTCCTTTCCCTTTGCGTGTTTTATCAGCTTGTTTCATCGTGAGCTTTTGGGCTGAGGTTCCACGTGCCTTTAGTTTACGTCTTGAATGCCTCTCTCGTGTTGTGTTCAGCTTCAAATACAAACTTGCATAGCACTAACGTAGCTTTTATTCTTTTCATGCAGAATTTTGACGTATTAAAGCGAAGTTAAACGATGAAATTTGTGAACAAGAGATTGACGACCGATGAATTGTGGCTGAACTGGCTCAAGATAACTCGCCTTTGAAGAGAAAGCAAGTCTAGGCTTTTTCTGGGAAATATTGATGATATGAGAAAGGTAATATACGTCAAATCATATACCGTTGAGCCGCTAACCTTCCCTCTAACCGCACGCAAATTACGTTTGAATTGAGTTCTAAAGACCTAAGCAGTGAACTAATGGTGCCTTTTATTCTTCCAGGTGGAGTTTAAGAGTTTAAAACCAAACTGAATGAAGTGAAGTGGGCAAAAAGTCCGTTACTGTAGCTGAAATTGCCCGAGACGACTCGCATTTGACTCAAGATAACTCGCCTTTGAAGAGAAAGCACGTCTACGCATTTTCTTGGGACTTGTTGATGACATGAGAAAGGTAATATACGCTAAATCGTATGTGAGCCGCTAACCTTTGTTCGAATCGCAAGCAATTACCTTTGAATTGAGTTATAAAGACCAAACCAGTAAACTAACATTGCCTTTTGTTCTTCCAGGTGGAGTTTAAAAGCTAAAACCAAACCGAATATAGAAATGAGCTGGGAAAGAAAACCCATAGCTGAAATTCCCCAAGATGACTCGCATTTCAAGAGACGGCAAGTCCAAAGCTGCTCTTCAACACTTGTTGCTGAAATGAACAGGTAATTTTGGGTCTATTTTATTCAAAATAGGATGATAAACTTGAAACGCTTGATCAGGCATCATGCGTCCTCTCAACTGAATAATCACCGCAAGTTTTCTCCCGATATTTAAGCTCCCTTCATCGAAGGTAAATCCTTGAAATCGCTGTCTATGACAAGCATTCTTTTGGTTTTATTGCAGGTAGCGATTTAGCGGGTCAAGCCATTTGAAACAACGACAAAACCTGTTCATAATAAAACGTGAGTATTAAGCAATTGAACATTTTTGGATAAACCGAACAATGGGGAGTTATATGCATGATCCAGGTCAAGAACGATAACGGCCGCATGATAATTTGATATGAATAATGGCAAGGAAATACTTGAAAACCCAGAGGGGTTTTATAGATGTTGTTTTGGGTCTGTTTACAATCCCGATTTTACGTGTGTTTCTTCTCAATAAAAAATGTAGTTTGCTTATTTCTTTAGTCTTATTTCAGGTTGATGGGCTCTGTTGAGCTATTACCGACAAGCCAAATCGACGGCAAAATCTACGCCTAATGTAGGCAACCTCGACGGCAAATCTACGCCTAATGTAGGCCAACTCGACGGCAAATCTACGCCTAATGTAGGCAACCTCGACGGCAAATCTACGCCTAATGTAGGCAACCTCGACGGCACTCTACGCCTAATGTAGGCAACCTCACGGCACTCTACGCCTAATGTAGGCAACCTCGACGGCAAATCTACGCCTAATATAGGCAACCTCGACGGCACTCTACGCCTAATGTAGGCAACCTCGACGGCACTCTACGCCTAATGTAGGCAACCTCGACGGCAAATCTACGCCTAATGTAGGCAACCTCGACGGCAAATCTACGCCTAATGTAGGCAACCTCGACGGCAAATCTACGCCTAATGTAGGCCAACTCGACGCCTAATATACGCCAAAACTACGCCAAATCGACGCCAAAAAGCAACGTTCAGCGATGCCCGGGCATCGTTACAGGTTAGAGTAGCCTGGTGGTCAAAAAATGTGCATGCAGGGATTAGTCTGTGCATGATTAACTTAACGAAGTTAACTAATTTAGTTAACGAACTTAAGTTAAATAAAGTTTTAAATTCAGTTAACTAAGTTCTGGCCACCAGGAACATAGCTAATGCATGATGCATGTGAGCAAACGTTTCTTAAATTCGGTTAAATATATTTTAATCGGTTTTGCGCTTAGACTGCTCGCTTGTGCTTAGGGCTGCGCTAAGGTTTAGGTTGATAATTTGTCTGATAAAACTAAAAACATATATCACAATTGTTATACCCATATCTCACATAAGAAAAGGCTAAAAAGCCATGCACACTAACACAAATCACAGCCACAAATGGCAGACATAATCCCATAGGTTCTTTCCTCTTTCTCTATCTTGTCCTGATTGAAATCATCTTCGGCTCTTAATTGAAATCCGGTCAATTGCGGCTTTCGGAATTAACATTGTAAAATGAAATCCGGTCAATTGCGGCTTTCGGAATTAACATTGTAAAATGATAACTATAGGGTCACCATTCGGTCTGGTTGTAAAATTATTTGTATGTAAATACGTTTTTGATTTCTCAGCAAACATTGTAAATATACGATTATATCTTGCCTTACTATATTTTGTAATTGAACATATAATATTGTGTATATTTATGAAAAAACATGATTTATATCAAAATATGAACAGATACAAAACATGCACCATGCATACCTCAAGATACTGTAGTTGCACATAAAATAGACACGCACACGAGTAAATACATGGCAAACCATGGCCTATATAATGGCTTCTAGTTTATATCTGTTATCTATTGCATTCACTTAAGGCTACAGTTAATATTCAAGCCAGAAACATTGATTTTACGGCATATCTTATACTGTCTTGCTATTCTGTAATACATGAATTTATGCCATCAAAGTTAACACACACATGCTCTCAATTAATGAATTTGAATTTACTTGAAGAAAATAAGCAATGGATGGGGGGGGTGCATGCTGTTGTCTTGAAACGATATATGCCTTATTTCTACTATAGTTAGAAACCAATTACGAGACAAACATTGGCAGTGGCATTGTAACTTTATTATTTTTCCAAGGTCTCTGTGAGATTTCCAATCATTTAGCTTCGTCGAGCAGTGCTTATGAAAAGTAAGGCGCCACTTTTTGTCTGTACTGTTTGACTTTGCTATGTGGTTCGAAGTGTTAGCAGGTATCTTGGGATATCTAATAACGTTGCAGTGTTATTTTCATTGCTGTTTCTATAAGAGCAGCTTGCTTTGGCTTTATGCCTTAGCTCTAAAAGTTTTCAAA